GGTTATCCGAAGGAGTTTATTGACAAACATGAAAAACTTTCCGGTAAGAAGGTAAAGAAAAAGTCTGTCTTTTCACGGATCCCCTTCATAGGTGACGATATTGCTGTTGGAATAAGATATAGACTGAACTCTGTGTTGAAAACAACATATCTAGCAGTCAAGCTTACTTGTTTATATCGAATAAACAGTTATTTAAGATAATCAAAAGTGAACAAACAACCACCTCATGTTACGTCCAACTGTACCTACCAGATTACGTGTGTGTGCCGAAACACATACGTTGGTAAAATAGAGGGAGGTGTTACTATCGGCGTTTCTGAACACACCCAAGATTCTGAGATCAAAGAGATCACAAGCCTTAAATAGTGGAACAGCATGCCATTTGTTGGATATTGGCCACATTCTGGACAACCTGAATGAAGGCTTCCAAAGTGATCAACAGGCAAAAGAAACCTAGCCTGATTCGTTTTGCTTGGGCAGTCGCCATCAAAGGATTAAAACCAGGTCTGTATGCACAGAAAGAGAAAGTGGCTAACCCTATACCACTGTAGTGATTAAAATTACAAAACAAAGTTATACAATTTTGAATATGCCATATATTCTCCTGCCATTTCTCCTGTTCTATTTAGAAAGGGCCATCGTTTCATCTGGATGTCATTCACCTTACGCTGTTTTACCAGTTTATAAAAACATATTTTCTGTAGTTAGGTAACCTACTGTATTGATACACTCTTTCTAGTTAAACTTTGTTTTCACCCAAAAAGTTTTGAACCCTATCCCTTTTTTCACGAATACATATCTAATTATCCTATAAATAATTAGCCCTTTTAACTCCTAATAATTTACCTACTTACGTCATTCTGGACCTATGTTGCTTACAGTTCCTATCAGTTACTCTTAGTAATCGCACAAATTATTATTATTGCTCCCTTGGGTTCCTAGTGGAACATAGGGCTTCAACTGCACGTATCCATTTGCTTCTGTCTTCTGCTGTACTTTTCACCTGCATCCATGTTAGTCCATATTCTTTCAACTCCTCTTCACACGATCTCCTCCATGTCACCCTCGGACGTCCCACACGCCGCTTCCCTTTCGGGTTCCACTCGAGAGCTTGACGCGTGATATCACCCAGCAGTCTCCTCAGTGAGTGACCGATCCATCTCCACTTTCTCCTGAATATTTGTTGGGGCGATTGGTTCTTGTTTTGTTTGTTGCCATAGTTTCTTGTTGGTGATTCTTTCCGGCCATCTGATTTTCATTCAGTATAGAGCAAAGACAGTTGTTGATGAAGGTCTGCAACAGGCTGTTGGAAATATTCTTTGTGACCCTCCCGCCCGCCAAGTTTCTGATCCGTATAGAAGAAGTGACTGACTTGACGTTTGTATTGAAAATCCTACCGAATTTTGTTGTTGATGCTGGCTGAATGACGAAGATTTCTAGATTGGTTTCCGGTTGATGAATGTGTTCCTCGCCTTCCCGATTCTCGATTTGACATCCTCGTCCGTTCCTCCTGTAGTTGAGACAATGCTCCCTAGATAAGTGAATGAATGAAGTAACCTCTTTCAAATCCCTCCTGTTGATGGTGATTGGCGTTGGATGTTGCTGATGTTGTTGTTGGTTGGTTATTTTCATAACCTCTGTCTTGTTTATGTTTGTCTGTCGCACAAAAGTTATGTTCAAATTTTTACGTAATTTATATTTTTTTATTCTTCAGCTCTTAGACAGCTGAGAAGAAATGACGAAATACAAAAGATCTAATATTATCGTAGCGCATTTCCGGTTCTTGCTCTGTTTACGCTTTTATTTTAGTTATATTTCCCTTTTATATGCTTACATATAGATGATAACATCATCACACAAAAAGTATAATTCAAACCATGGTACATGCAAATCTCTCCCAATTAACTGAGCTATAACTTGCTTAGCCCTTGAATGATAAAAGCTCACATAAATCTGTAGTGAAGCTAAAAATTTTACTGCTAACTCAACTAGATCCTCAAGTGATCATCCTCTGTAAGAGTGAATTGTGTATGAAATAAACCTGTTGTTAGGCAATAGCCGATATTTATGCATCGATAGCTTTTAGCAGCCTATCGAATTCTCTTTCGATTACCCTAATAATATGGTCATTGGACTGAGTAAAACGACATTTTGACCCTAGTGACCCCAATAATGACGGTGGACTATTCAAGATCATCTTGTGTTGACAAACAACAGTCTGTTATTCATACTACAGGTAATAACTGAAGGTGATATAAACGCCTGGGTGACCGTAGGATTCTAACTAGCTGCCTCATAATTTCTCGTGAGGCACTCTATCAGCTGAGCTAAAACAGCTAACTATCAAGCAGGGGCTGGCTGAATATTACCTGTAACGATAGAATTGAAATAATGATCTTGTTGACAGTTCAATCTTGTAGGTCAGCTGCTTATAATCCTATCCGGACTGGAATTTCCATTTCACCTTCAGTTATCAGTTATTTAATAATTTCATCCTCTATTGATACATAAAATATTTCACTCCATAATTATAAGCTTTAGTAAGAATACATGTGAATATCATAAGTGTTCATTTTGTATACTTTATTCTCTTACATTTGTCTTAAGTTGATTTATTCGTCTGCTTTCAATCATTTGGGTATTTTTTTTGTATTTGAAAGTTTGAAAGGTTACGTAATCTCATTAGCATAAATGACAATACACTACTAATTCATCAAAAATAAACAGACATTCATTTCCTGAAAGTGTAAGCAGCAAAAACAATATCTGTGTTTCAACACCCTACGCTGTCATATACCCTCATGATGAATGGAAATGATGATTTGAATGAAATGTGATATACGTTTTGCATTACACTGTTCAATGCTAATGATGTTGTAATAACTAGAAATTTACATTTGGTTGTGGTCCCCTTTCATCAACAATTGTGTTCACCTGTGAGGTTAGGATGACTACAAGCATGTTCATATATGGTGTGTAATAGACGCGATAATTAATATGAACAGGTGCATGAAAGCTTAGTTCCTCAGAAAGATTCATATTAGTGACTTTTAGATTACAAGCCAGGCTATGCACAAGCAAATCATTCATCACTGGTTAGGTCATTAACGTTCAGTTAACCCAATACTGTCTTAAATACTTTTGTCAAATGACTGTTGGCAATATTAGTTAGCAGAGAAATTTACTCGAGTTGTATTCCTTTTTTCAAATTCATATTTAGACAATTCTGACTTCATTTCTTAAGAAAAGATTTTTTTCAAGTGTTGGTTTGTAAGAATTTGATTGGTTTCAGGATTTCATCATGAGCTGATATTGGTTAGAGAACCATTGGAAAACCTGGGAGTACTGGAAAGCTGTTTCGTCCCAGTTTGGGACTTTTCATAAGTACCCACCCACCGGGATTCGAACCCAGGACCTTCCGGTTACAAGGCGAGCTCGTATACCATTAAGCCACTTTTATCTAACTTTCATTATGATTTTTAATGAATTTTATCGTTAAAGAAGTAGATCTTATTAGATGGCTGGAGGCAATCGTCAGGAAGTTGTACATGCAACCTTGAAGGAATCCATGTCCCTTCTGAGACTCGAACTCACATCACCCAGTGCTGAAGTCAGAGACGTTACCACTGAGCTATTCAGGCTCGCGAATGACCATCTGTAGGACTGTACTGAATACTTTGATTGGAAACTAGTCGGCAACTAGTGTGATGTGTCTATTCCTTTGTTTGCTGCAGACTGTGTTCTATCAGTCAACTTCTCAATGAGACCACCATTTTAGGGAGCTCTCCATCACGGCATAAATTGATTTCATGATATTAGATGACTGGAAGTAATCGACAAGAAGCCTTGGACCTAGGTTTTGTGCTAGGTGGCAGTCGTCAGCAAAGCATATCTGCAACCTTGAAGACTTCCTGTCGATTACCTCCAATCATATAATATCATCAAATCAATGTGCACCGTGATGGCGAGCTACCTAAAATGGTGGCCATATTACAAATCTTGCTGACAGAATTCAGTCTGTACAAAAGAAAGGACTAGACACATCGCACTGGTTACTAGTGTTCAGTCACAAAAGTAGGTCAAGTAATGTGACAGCATAGTCAATACACTTACGATTTATCTTAGTTGCAATATTCACAGGTTTACTAAGTTTTGTAGGCTCCATGAATGTTAGGAACTACTGATTGACTGATATAAATAGTTGGATACCAGTCTTACCAAACATTAGTACTTGCCAACCAAGTTGAGGTGACCTGAACACTGAAAAGTTGTTTCGCTCACTTTTGAGGTGAGCTCATCAGTAGCAGTAGTATATACTATCATGTAGTGATACTTGCTTTCTTGAATTTCACCTACGGTATCAAGAAGATCACATATTCTGATTTGAATATTTTTGGCTTTCAAAAGAAACTATGATGAAAATTCATCTTGAACGAAGTAATTTCCAAATGTCAAATCTTACCCCATGAATACTCCATTGTCTCCATTTGTTCTACTCTTAATTTCATCGGAATAGTACTCAGTTCCTTAGATATCAATAGGTATAGTCAGTATACAATTGGTGGATGGTGGCTAGCAGTGGAATCCAGGATGCGCATTTCGTCCTATTTGGGACTCTTCAGCTAGACGTACCTGCATTTCTCAGTGAGTGATGATGTTCCCACTGAGGCTCGAACCCAGTGCCCATAGTTTCAAATGTCAAAGCGTTATCCACTAGATCACTTGGGCCACGAGAGCCACCTCTTGTGCAACGGGTCATATTAATTATTGAATTGAATATTTTTGATTTTCCCGTCGATTGAAACTATGGGCACTGGGTTCGAGCCTCAGTGGGAACATCATCACTCACTGAGAAAGGCAGGTACGTCTAGATGAAGAGTCCCAAATGGGACGAAATGTGCATCCTGGATTCCACTGCTAGTCACCATCCACCAATTGAACTTGTATGTGATTTAATAACTTTTACCTCCTTATCATTTGTTTCTTTTTTCCCTTAACAGATCAAAGAATTGTATTCACAAAATTGTATCCAGTAACTACAAATTTTTCATTCCCTCAAAAGTATTTTCATGATACAACAATGTCATCCAGTGTTAATACCTCATCACCTAATCAACCTCATGAAAAGATTAGACTAGTAAATGGTAGAAGTTTGAGTCAAGGTGAATTACAATTATGGCTAGCTAATCAATGGAGATCTGTGTGTAGTCAAAATAATCAGTAAGTTGACTTAACATAGAAAAGGTATACAGTGAAAATGAATTTTTTTAAAGATGTTTTCACCATTAAATAACAATATCTTTAGAAAATATTCCTGTATAAAATAATAATAATAATAAATCATATTATTTAGAAAATGAACAAACCTTGGTTTCCTAAATGTTAGCGTTGAAATCTCTCATGCCTATAATAATTACTGCCTTAGATTGTATATATCCCATCTCATTTCCTTCTTCTCCTCTACGCTGTTGTCTAGATTACAATCTTTAGATAAAGTGGATATTTCTGTTATCAGAATTAAGCATTCCTATTGAAAATTAATCTGATGCTCACTAGTGACTGGCCCTGTTCAAGTAGTTAACCTGGGGTTCCAGTGGGAAACCGTGACCAGTAGGGTACAGCAGGTTGAAGATGAGGCGATAACTCGTCGAAGAAGACATTGTGAAATGGTCGCGCTATGTCGTGAAATGACAGAAGTTAGAATTCAAGGACCACTGGATCGAGTCCCAGTGGCTTAGTGGTCTACGAGCTAGCATTGTAACCAGAAGGTCCTGGGTTCGAACCCTGGTGATGGGTGTGTACTCCTGAAGAGTCCCAAACTAGGACAAAACAGCTATCCAGTACTCCCAAGTTTTCCAGTGGTTCTCTAACTGATGTCAGCTCATGATGAAATCCTCCATGCATTCCTATTGTGTTGAAATTGTTATCATTTTGAATTTCCTATCGACTGACTTCATTGGACCGAAATGTTCAGTCTTTCTGTTGACAAACGCTTCGATGGTATATCGAGACTGACATGATGTTATTTCGGTTGAAAGCCACATCATTCTGAGAAAATTAAAAGATGCTTTGGATGTAAAACTCCGCCTAGAACAAGCTGGATTCAGGAAAAGTCAATCATATGCAGGACAAATTGCAACGCTTCATATCACTATCGAATAGAGCATCGAATGGAAGTTAACTAACTATCTCGTTTTCATCAGCCTTGAAAACGGCTTCGACAGAGTTAACTTCAAAGTGACTAAAAAATTGCCTCAGCACTACAAAGTGCAGTGCTGCAAACCTTTACCAACTTCATCCAACGACTAATGTGATAATGCCACGTATTAAGTGATTCACAACATAAAACTCAGGGATGCCTTTGAAGTGAAGACAGGAGTAGGACATGGTTGCCTACTGTCACTGATAATTTTAATGAATGCGGTGGACTCCATTACGTGTCATACTGTGAACAGCGAGAAGACAGAAATATGTCGGACCGGTAAGACGACTATAGAAGATCTGGATTTCGCGGATGATTTATGTCTAATGTTGTACAAATCCCAAGATCCACAGGCGAGAACCAACAAACTAGCTGCAGAAGAAGCTGCTGGGATAAACAAGACTTCAAGTGAACATGGAGAAGACAGAGTTGATGTCAATAACTAACCAACAACAACAACAAGTACCAATCACTGTCAGCTGGGTAAATTTGAAGGAAGCCACTTCTTTTACTTATCTAGGTTATTATTATTATTATTCCCTTGTGTTCCGAGTGTAACACAGGGCTTCAACAACGCCTCTTCACTCTGTCCTATCTTCTGCCATCCTCTTCAGCTGGCTAGCTCCACAAATACCCAAAATCTCTCATTTCCTCCTGACACGATCTCCTCCATGTCTCCATAAGACTACCCACTCGTCGCTTATCATTGGGTTTCCACTGAAGCAATGGCCTGGTGCCCATGTCATTCGACGGCCTCATCAATATATGCCTGATCTCTCTCCACTTCCTCCTACACATTTCTTGAGCGATCGGCTCTTGGTTGGTTTGTTGTCAGTCAGAGTTTCTTGTTACCAATTCTTTCTGGCCTTTCGATTTTCAGTATGGAGCCAGTGAATGCAGCTGTTGATGAAAGTCTGAAACCTGTTGAAAATTCTTTTCGTGACACGCATGCGAGTTTCTCACCCGTCTAGAAGGACCAATTCAACATAGCTGTTGGCAATTCGAATGTTGTTCCTTATGTTGAGTGCAGAAGATTTCCAAACTGGTTTTAGGTTGATGAAGGTGTGTCTTGCCTTTCAGATTCTGGCTGGCTGACTTTGACATCTTCATCCGTTCTAACTGCCTGTAGTTGAAACGATGCTTCTTAGCCATATAAGTCAACGAGGTCATCTCTGTTAAATCTCTCTCCCGTTGATGATGATTGGTGCTTGTTGTTGCTGTTGATGTTGGTTGGTTATTTCCATCGCCTCCACCTTCTCTATGCTCACTTGGCGTCTCGTGTTTGCTGCCTACCTCTTCTACCAGTTTGTCAGTTTTTGGCCTGTAAGTCATCAAGTTTGTATGATACTGGACATAGATCATCTGCAAAGTTTAGATCTTCTAGAGTCTTCTTACTGGTTCAACTTATCTGCGCTTAATTGTTATTGGTGAAAGTTTTGTTTTATTTAACATGGTTATTAAAATCAATAACTGCCTATTTTCTATCATTTAAATTTTCTGCTATCAGTATATGAAGTAGATACGGCCTTACGGGTATTTTAATTTTTAGTTACTGGGTTAATAGACGTAAACAGATTGGTAATTTTTTAAAAAATAATGTCGTTTGAGATCAATAATATTGCACGTATTACCGTAGAGTCTTTGTGTAACTGATTGGTTTACGTGTTCGACTTCTTTGTGTGACACTAGACATGTATCATCTGCAAAATCCAGATCTCATAGAATCTTCTCATTGGTGATCCAGCGTACTCCTGTCACCTCGCTCCCTACAGTTTGACACATAATTCAGTCCACCACAATTGAGAATATCATCGGTGATAATAGATAACTCTCTCGTACTCCTGCGTTCATTTCGAATGCCTCACTGAGTTTCCTGTTGTGTATCACCTGACACGTGGCATTGTCTTATAGCTGATGAATGAGTTTAATAAAGATCTGGAGCACTCCATAGTGTTGAGGTGGTTTCCAAATTACTTCTTGGTCAACGCTGTCGAAGGCCTTCTCGAAGTCAATAAAATTGAGGTAGAGGTTTGGTTGTCATTCTATGCTTTGTTCGATGATGATGCGTAGAGTTGCGATTTGATCAGCACATGATTTGCCTTTCCTGAATCCAGCTTGTTTCGAGTAGTGGCGGAGTTCTGTATCCAATGCGTCTTTTATTCCCTCCAGGATATTGCAACCTAGTATTTTACTTGGCGTGGACATGACAGTTCTTGCGCAGGCCTAAGTCGCACATCTTGGGAAATTTGACGAGGTACCCCCTTCCAATCAGTAGGCGCCTTTTCTTCTTTCCAAACTTTTTGCAGTAATGGAGTGAGAACATCTGCTGTAATGCCTGCCGCCGTCTCAGTGTTTAGGGAGGAATACCGTCTGTTCCTGCTGCTTTCCCTGCTGGAATTTAGTAGCTTGATCGTATCCAGGATTTCTCCTTTCGTTGGAAGACTGGTGTCCACTGGCATGTAGTTGTGTGTGTGCTGTCGGTGGTATTTCTGGGCGAGTTGCCGGTGGTGGTAGACTCAAGCGTCCCTTGAAGTGAGCAGCAGCCCTCCTTAATTATCTGGTTCCCCTGAACATCTTTTACTGGTTTCATAATCTTGCTTGATCTCTTTCCTGATAGAGACCTAGTTATCTGATAAAATGTCCTTAGGTCTCTTCTGCCTACCACGTTTTCTTCTCCGGTTGCCAATGTGTCGGGATATTGTCTTTTATATCTCCTAGCACTCTTCTTTACTGTTTTATTCAGCGCAGTGTACACTGAACTCAGTCTCTCTTCTTCTGTTACGCATCTCTGCACCGATTCATCTTCTCTTTCACCATCCTCCTCTCCTCTTCTCGATAAGCTACCAGGTGGGAGTCCATTGAGAGTCATTCCTTGTCTTGTCTCTTTTTTTCCTGAAGCGGCTGTAAACGTTTCCTTGAATATCCCCTTCAGAGAGTTCCGTTGTTTTTTCCACACACTGATGCCACGTAGTGTCTTTGACTTTGCTCTGATCTGGTGTGTAGTGAGGGCATCCCTTGTAGTTTTGCCCTTCACGTCCTGAATGTTGAACTTGAATTACAGTCGCCTGTCTCCAGTTATTTTCAGGGGTTTCAGATTCACTTTCAAGGTTCCTTTAACTAGATGATGGTCTGAGCCCACATCTGCTCACCTTTTGGACTTTGTGTCCAGCAGGCCAGCTGCGTCTTCACTTCCTTGAGCAGCATTGAGGTGAAATCTATCTGGTTTGTGGTGTGTCTGTCAGGCGAAATCCATGTTGTTTTGTGTATATCCTTGTGCTTATAGTCGCTGCCTCCGATTAGCAGATCATTGAAAGCGCAGAAGTCTGCAAATAATTCTCCGTTTTCATTCATTTCTCTGAGTGACGGCCTCTCGACCCATGATGAGTTTTATTCTTGTATTATCAGCTCCCAGTTCGGCATTCATATCACCCATGAGGATTTAGACGGTACCGTTTGGCATGTTGTCCACTACTGTCTTTAGCTGCCTGTAAAAATCTTCCTTCCTCTCTTGTCCCGCGTTGTTTTTGTGTGCGTAGCATTGGATAGTTTTGACCTTCCCTTCTTACTGGTTGAATCTTGCTGTCATGATCCTGCGGGATAAAATTGGTTCCCACTGCATTAAGACTTTGGCTGCCACTGGTGACATCATGGTGGCCGCCCACTGCCTCAGTGTGTTCGTGGTTGTCGTCTGAGTGACCCCACCGGAGTAGAATACTGACTCCTCAGCTGACAATTTCGATAATCCACATCCATTCCATCTTCTCTTACAGATAACTTGCACTTCTATGCCATATCTTCTCATTTCTTTGTCTACCTGGGCAGTCTTGCAAGTCTCGTGCATTGTAGGTACATTCCACGTCCCCATTCTTAGTCTTTTCTTTTATCGAGCGAAGACACATCGGCTGACTGGCTTCCCAAAGGCTTTTACCAGCCAGCGTCGCTTCGCCTTCCCAATTCCAGCGAAGAATAATATCGTTCTTTGAATTTTCCACATTTTTAATATTTTTTTGTGTTAAGTTTCTCTAGCGGTTTGATAGGTTTAGTAGTGTAGAGTTACTAGCCCCAAGCCCAACCCTCCCTCTTTACTCGGCTTGATACCGGTTGTAAGACCAGCAAGCCAGTTAACTAGACAAGGTTACTTATCTAGGTAGTTTCATTTAAACTACAAGCAGAGACACGAATGATGGTGCTGAAACCAGAATCGAATAGGCGAAATAGACCTTCATTACTCTAAAACTAGTTTGGAAATCTTCTGTATTTTTAACACCTGTGTCTAGTCATTTCTCCCATATGCTTTAGAGACGTGGTGTGTCACTGAAAGCATTCCAATGGGCTTCACACTTTCACCAGTAGCTGCCTTCACTGCATGCTGAAAATCAGGCTACAGTCCATAATGGATTAGCAAAAAAGAACTCATGAAACGAACCAACCAAGAACCTATTGCTCAACAGATGAGTCGAAGATAATGGAAATGGATTGGACACATACTAAAGAAACAGTTAAATGACATCACGCACCAGGCCATAGAATGTAACCCGGGTAGGAAATGATGAGTGGGGCCTCCAGGGTGGCGTAAAGCAGATCGTGTGGGTAGGAAATAAAAGTTTATGAGCTGATGTAAAGCCAACTAAAGACGACTCCAGAGAACAGGATGAAATAAGGTCGTGCTGCTGAAGGTCTATGTTTGCCTCAGGACCAAAGGGGATAACAATGATAATAATCTCATTCATGGCAACTATCGGCGGAATTTAGGACTCATCTGCATCCCCAGGTTGTAATGGTGTTTTCACTCAACCTCATCGCCTATTGTTTCAAGCTTCAGTTCTAGAAGTTGACATGTCCACAGAGACTGGAAATTTGCCTCTAATGAAATTAGCAAACGGGAAATTCAAAATGATAATTCTAACGAATAACTAATATCCGTCACAGCGGAAACGGCCCTCGTGGCCCAGTGGTCTAGTGATTAAAGGCTTGGCATTTGAAATGATTGTTACTAAATTCGAGTCTCAGTGGTAACAACAAAACTGGGGAATAGACATATCAAGCTGCGAGTCTCAAATAGGATGAGACGCACATCTTCGATTCCACTTCCGGCCGTCGTCAATCAAACAACATACCTGTTCACTGTTTCATTCAAAACCATTAATGAGGTAAAAAAAAATACTCGCCGAAGACATTATTATTATTATTATTGGCTAGCGGTTGCGCTATGTCGTGAATTGGCATAAGTTAGAATTCATGGGCTTACCATTGGATCGGGTCCCAGTGGCTTAATGGTATACGAACTCGCCTTGTACCCGGAGGGTCCTTGGTTCGAATCCCGGTGGGTGCGTACTGCTGGAGAGTCCCAAACTAGGACGAAACAGCTGTCCAGCACTCCCAGGTTTTCCAATGGTTCTCTAACCAATATCAGCTCATGATGAAATCCTGAAACCAATCAAATCCCTACAAACCATCACTGAAAAAAAAGTTATCTAGTAGCTAGTAAATCCGAAATTTCTCCCGGCAAATTATCATCTATTTTATTCCACCAATTCATGAGTACAACTTAAACATTGTAACCAAGAGATTGGTTAAACAAAAGAGTCTGGATTTTATCATTCACTGTTTCAGTTTAGAATGTCTAAAATTATTGGTCAACCTGATTCCGATAAAAGTAATTACAGAGTAATTCTGCTTTCACAAACCCCACCTGGTCTACTTAACAGGTCACAAGATTCGACCAGAAAGATATTAAGTGAATTTCATGTGTTTTAGGTCTAATCTCTGTCGAGGTAGGGGGATACTAAGTGATATAGTATTAGGAATGAATGAGTAATTCAGAGACATGAACTTTCGTAGAAATGCGAATCACTTCATTCTACCACATTTTGAAAATGTACACATAAGAGCAGACAGTATAGGTGTGGTGAGAGCTGACTGCTAGTAAAGTTGGTAGACAGTAATTCACGTCAATGTTTACGTCCCCAATATTGGTCATCATAAAAGTAAGAACAAAGACTGATTCAACAACCAACCACAGCAGACTTTGCGTAGGCGGACGCAGTTAACATATAGATGATCTGACACTCAAGAAACTGCCACAAAGAGATGCAAGGTTAACTTTCCGTGAGAAACAACCAATCAGAAGACTGTGTTTTTCTGCTAACAATAATCCATAATAATGTACATGAAAATCATATATATATATATATATATGTTGATTCCCTTAATAAACGATCTGTTGCCTGGCCCTTGTCTTCTGTTATCACACTGGTGTAATCAAAATACAATAAATAAAGGTGTACGAAGGTAAAAATAATTAGATGAATATTAATTAAGGTTTTGAGAATCTAGAGTGTATCTATGCTATTGTGAACAGTTTTAATTCATGTTTTCGAAAGTCTTCAACCAGTAGTTCAAAACTAGAACAAGTAATCTGTGTAAAGATAATTCTTCTTTTTTCCAAATTCTTTTTTCATCTATTGCATCTTAAATAGAACATAGGTCATCAGGCTTCGGGCTTTGAAGTTCCAGTAATCGTATCGTTTTATTACAGGGTGAGATTACTAGCCCCAAACCCAACCTTTCCTCTTTGCCGAACTTACTATAGACTAGGTGGGGTTTCCAAGTGCGTCGGTCGGGAATCAACCCCCTGACCACGTGAGTGTTTGGCTAACATTTTACTGCTGAACCACCTATGTTATTCCTTCACGTTCCCCAGTGGAAAATAGGGCTTCAAGCTTGTGGCTTGAAGTTTCTATAGCAGTGTTTATTTTACAGGATGGGGTTGCTAGCCTCATTCCCAACCTTTCCTCTTTACCAGCATTACTTCTGGCTTCGCGAGGTAAAGGAATGCGTCCGTGGCCAGGGATCGAACCCCGGACCATATACATGGTCGGTGAGCGTCCTCATCGCTAAGCCACCGACGCACTCTATTCCAAAATTAATGGTGTATTACTATTGTTATATAATTTCTTATGTTTTTAACTCACTGGTTCTTTTTGTTTATTTACTTACATTTTTGCTGTAAAAACTAGATGGAGTAAAGCAGATTCTCGTCTACTTTGTCAACAAATTGGTTATGCTGATGGAAATTTCTCCCTTAGTCCGCAGTCTGTAAATCGAACATCATATGTAAAAATTCTTAATCCCAACTGTTCAGGCAATGAATTAGATACTGATATGGGAGTGTTTTCTTGTCGTGGTCTCAGGGGAAATATTATTCATGGAAAAAATGTTTGCTGTAAGTTACTATTATTGCCTCTACTGATTTTCCAGTGTTTTTTTTCCTGCATATTTTCAAACTGTTTAAATACTTGTATCGTATTCAGTACACATGATCTCGCCATGCTATTATGTCATTTTCGCAGAGTAATCTATCTTAGAAATTGAAAAAAATGAAATTTATCGAATTAGAAGTTAGTTTTGTGAGAATATGATCAACGTTAAGGAAAATTTCTTCACTAATATGAATCAGCAGTGAGAACTCTTAATAGCCAGGAAAAATTAGGTAGTCCTTTCACCAGTCTTTGATCCTTTAGCAGTGCTCATCCACGACCACACCAGTGATCGAACTAAGGTCCTTCAAGTTATAGACAGAGTAGGTCAAGGCTTCAACCACTGGATTCAAGTTCAGTGTTTCATGTGCTGTAATTCCTGTCAACTAACGGTATAGCTCCAAGCCTATTCAATGTCATTGGTATGTAATTGTTTTAACACTAAACTCAGTTCATCTCACTAGTTAAAACTTGGCAGAGTGGTTAGGACTCTCGCCAACCATGCACATGGTCAGAGGTTCGATCCCCTACCAGCGCACACCTGATACCTATGGTCGGCCTGTACAATTTGGGCTACCGATATTCATGCTGAAAATTCCATACTTGTACCAAAAATACAGTGTGGAATCAAGCTGTCATCAAAAAATATAAAAAAATTAAATCCCCAGGTAAGTTATCTTGAAGTGAGTCAATAATAAGTGCTTAATTATTATTCAGAAGTTGGGTTTATGAAGATGTGATTGGTGAAGGGGAAACTCCACCACGGGCTGATTAGTTAAATCAAATCGTTTCATTTCCACTGAAATACCGAGTGATTGAATGGATGACTTGAATTGCCTTTGACTATTATTTTACTTTCATTCAGGGAGGAATTTTTAACGGCTGTTTCATCGTGTACAGGTTCCTACTAACAATCTAGCCTGATTAGCCTATATCTGCTATAGATTCAGATTGAAAGTACTTCCATATAATATCAAAAGTAGTCTCAAAGCCGTATGTTAATCTGTTTGAAAATCAGAACGCAGTAATAGCAACTTATACTCATTATACAGCAAGTGATCATCACATTTTAGTAGGCTATTAGTTATAACATTCAGTCAGTTTATACAACATATCAGCCTAGAGTAGCAATGGAAACAATGCTACAACAGAAAATATATATATCCGTCTATCTGACAAATATAAAAAGCGATGAAACATGTGTTGTAAATCTATTTACAAAAATCGTCATATTAAGAATGTAACTATTTTTCGAATAGGTCATAGCTTGGAAAATGTCTAGCTACACTTGGGTTTTTGTTCTACTAATACTTTTAATGTTTACACAAGGCACCATTTTAACTGACTGGGTCAAACAGTAGTAGCCTCAAAGAATTAGGTCTCTTACTTTGATTGATGCTGACCATCAATGAAATCCAGGATTTGCGTCTCGTTCCATCTGGAACCACCCCGGTCAGTGGTGACCCTCCGGCTGAGACTCGAACCTCGCACCCATAATTTAAAAAGCCAAAGCATTATACACGGGGCTCATCTCATCTACAACGAGTATTAGTTACCATTTCGTTTTTTGGTTAATTTGTATTTTCTGTCGACTGATTATGTCGGATGGAAATGATTGGTCTCTGAGACATACCATTTGCTGGTATAAACGCTTCGTTGCAAAAGAGGTGACTCCTCTGTACCCAGGGGCTCAGTGGCGTTTGAAACAGGACTTGAATCTCAGTGGGAACAACATCATGCATGTGAAACACTGAAGAGTCCTGAATAGGACGAAACAAACGTCCTGGTTACTTTCAGCTAAAATAACATCATGTTGATTCGCAGAAATCACCAAAGCTTGTCAACAAAGGCTCAGGATTTCGGTCCAACATTAACAATCATTGGGAAATGCGAATTAAGGTAAAATCTAGGTCTCCTACGTACATTAGCGTGAAAACTAATGCCTTTTAGTGGGTTCCGATCTATGTTACCTAGTGTTACATTCAGAGAGGCTTCCAGAGAACTATTCATGCTACAACAGATGATCTGCTGAATAATTTGACAGAGCATTGAATTTTTACCAGTGTCATTTTGCCTGGTCATTACTCTAGTATTATTTCCATGCAATATAATTTATATAAGGATAAATTTCCCCATTTTGTAATTTCAACCTTTTCATTAAATTACTTTTTCGTTTAAATCGTCATTGCCATCACTTATGTAACGACTAGAACTTAAGATTCTGTCTCATCTTTATATGACGGAATAATAGATGAACAAATGAAAGCACCATTCATTCATTCATTTATGCATTACAACTTGTTATGCAAACGCATATTTCCAGTGATTATGTAAACATTGAAAATAGGTGTGCTAGACTGTGCATTAGTCACATGTTCTTAAATCGATCACCCCGAAGGAACAAATGAATAGACGTCTGGTCGCACTTGTGTGCGCATGTGTATGTGTGTGTGTGTGTATTTGTAAGTGTATACGTTTCTATGCATATGTATAACAGAGTATTTATGAGAAAAGCAACTTATGAGTTAATCTACATAACAATGAAATCAAATATGTGTTGAAGAAAAACACAAATGAATCATACATGTCCAAGAAAAAAACACCTTGATTTAGATGTCTACAGTCTATGTCTTTTGTAAATCGATGCTGTTACCTTAACTAATTGTGACTAACATTCATAACACACATTAAAATATGTAAAACTTGAATTTTTTCACAATTTAAAGTAATTGAATTCTAGTTACATAACTATAAACACTTGTAGATTGCTATTACTATTGAAAGACTGTTTAGTTGATGGAGTCCAGCTAAACAATCTAAGATTTGTGTTTCGTCCTATTTCAGAATCATCATCTGGATTGTGTTCACAGTAAGACTCAAAACTCATTCCCATAGCTTCAGACGCCAAAATGTTAGTCACTTGGCTATTGGGTCACAAAAGGTAGCTCTTATTCAACAGATATTAGTTATTAAATGTTGAAATTGCCGCCCTGAACTTCCCGCTGATGGATTATATCAGAATATGGGAATACTTCTGTGATATCCAAAGGCTGATGTGATGTTATTCGGTTGACGATGGCTGGCTACTTTAAGTCTGGGTGACTAGTCTAAAGCAGAACGAAGCGAGAATCCTGGATTCCACTGAAAGCCACCATCAATTAAATTAGAGCAAGTTAGTCTTCAGGCGCCGTTGAAGTGTCCCCACTGGGAATTGGCATGTGGACAGAGACTGAGGATTTCGGTCCGATATCAATCTGTCAATGGGAAATACAGTTCAACCTGAACAATTATTACTTAAGTGGCTTCTTCCCAACATTGAAGATCACATGACCAGTGGGAAAGAATAGGTAACAAGGAACCCATACATCGAACCAACTGAGGACCTGTTGTCCAAGAAAATGCGCAAGGAAATGGAAATCGATACACACCCTCAGGAGACCGCTCTGAGTAACTTCATGCCTCAGACCCTATAGTGGAAAAAGAATGAAAAACGACGAACTTGACGTCTGAGTATGATATGAAGAAGATGATGTAAGAAGGAAATGAAAGCTTGCTGACAATCGCAATACCAGCCAAAAATAACTTCGGAGAACACAGTGAAATGGCCACGCGCTTCTGAAACCCTATGTTCCACTAGGTTCTTTAAGGGAATAACTTAATGATATTAACAATAATACAGTGTACAACGAATAAAGCCATTCAAGAAAAAGTCATATCTGCCTTACCACTCTATTTTATAGTGCATCTTTAATTATGGTAATTCTAACCTGTATAATTCAGCGCTAAAGCTAATGATTTTGCTACACAACTACCGAGACACTATTTGTCATCCTTTGAGGACTGAATAATCAGATTTTGAAAAAAGACGTTTTTAGTATTGGCTCAACATTGAAACTCAAAAGTTTCACCAATTGGGACTTAGTAACTAATTCATCTACATAATTGAGCCATTCATGGTTTCAATGATTCAATGACAGATGTCTTTGGTTTACACTCCCAGATGGAGCTTCCTGTTGACACACTTTGTTATTCTATATATCACTATTAATACACCATGCTGAGGGATTCCAGAGGCATTTGGTGGTGTTCCAATCCTAACAAACTATTTGAGATAGCTTTAGGTCGATAGATTAATACCGATTACTTATTAGCATATTGTAGATGCTTCTTTAGTATGGCATCATAAATGTCTTAAGCATCTAATGACAGGGTGAATTAGACAACTGTGTAGTGTTTTTCCTCCCTAATGATCGCTCCTAATCAAAAATGTAAATAAAATTTGAGCTTTTTATGGCAAATATGTCCCGTACTAAAGCATCCACCTCCCGAAGACCAGCATTGATAGACATTTCCAGAAGAAATTTATCGGGTTTGCAGTTTGACAATCCATTAATTGCATGGAGGATTTAATCATTAATTACTTGAAGAAAGGTAGTTTGGTGACGGGATCGTACATTTTCTTTTATCTGTTATCAAAAAACTTCCATTCAACCTTCGAATCATAGTAGTCATTATTCTCTGTTTCAGAGTAGAGGTGAACACGCGTATCGGATGAGACGATACTCATGGAATTATAACTCATCTAGATTCCATTTTAAAACTGAAATTTAACTGAAGACAGTATCCCTATTAGTATAATGCATCTCCCATCGTTATTTTGATGTTTACCACTTCAGGCATTCCATTGATATGATTATGAGAAATAATTTATGCTCGGAACGTCATCCAGTTCCTAATACTGCATCACTGTGTGATATGTGAAACAAACTTATCTAGTATGCAATTTATTTCTGATGCAACTTTATCCCAAAATTAATCATGAAATCCTTTACCAAGTCTCGCGTAATTTTGGATTAAAGATTAACATGAAATGTGTTTGTCTGTTTGACCGGACCAACAATAGGACTTTAAACCTGACAGCATGATGGCCTTGTACTCCAATGAGTTGTGAACGAAAAATACATTTCATATTCCACAACTGGGTATCAAAACACAAATGGTGTTATATTAAAACTTGGAGCAGTAGTAAGGCATCTTTTGACAAAATATTGCCCAACTAATTTGGTACAAAGTTAACTTATTATTAATTTTCTCTTTCGTTTATCAGTGGAACATAGGGCTTCAGCAACACATCACAACTTCACCTTGTTCTCTGAATTCTTTTTTAGCTAACCCCATGACTACGTTTAAGCTTTTATTTCCACTTCATGCAGATGCCCAACTCATTTTTAACTGTTCATGTTTACACTTGAGAGCTTGCTTCATGATGTGAATAACTATCTCAGTGTATTTCCAATCCATAAGAAATTTTAACACATAGTAACTTGGTTTGTTTATTTATGTGGCTTATTCTGAGTTTAGAGTAAAATTAACTACTGAATTCCAATCCTACGTGAATCACCTTCAGAAAAGTTTCTTCTAACACCAAAATCCGAAAGGGATCGACAAACCATTCAGTTAAGTAAAATATTTAATCATAAAATATAAGAATTGAATATTGATTGACAAACTGCTCATAGAGTTGTCATTTTATCTATTATTAACAAATGTTTAACCTCAATTTAAACAAGAGTAAACTTTCATTCAACGCGTATTTAATTCTTTTATTTATTTGCAAACAAACCGACCTAGTTTACCCATTACAACACATCAGAAAGGCTGCTTTTGTAACCACGATATACTTGAAATAATTTTAATTGTATGTTTATAAATTCACCTGCTCGTGTGGAGCTAGTTATGTTGACCGCCAAAAGTGCACAATTTCCAAATGCATCTCTGAACGTTATCCGGCATGGTTAGCAAAAGGATAATGCAAGACAGTTACTGGCTCAATTTTCGAGCACTTAGTGAATTCAAGCCACTTAGCTCCACCAGAGTCGTCTTTCAAGATCAACTACAAGGTGAGACCAAACTGTACATAGGTGGTTAAGTTTCGGCAGTTGTATGTGGTGAGGGCGTTGGTAATCCGTCGATACAGCTCCGAACTCTGCATATAGAAAACACTTGTCCAGTCTTAACCTCTTCACTGGTCGTTCCCTGTAAATTTTTATTTTTTAATTTTACTTGTAGTTTGCTCTTACTTTAATAATAAATTTACTATTATCTCTCTCATATGTTACTTTTGTATATTTTCACACCCTCTTCACACTTGTCAAGTGGACCATCAACCGCCCTTATTCTCAGTCAATAACAATTTTAACCTTATCAAATTTCTGAAGCTTCCTTCCTTTGTGCCGTTGAGTACTACGTAATTTATAAATTTTATTTTTTACTTCTACAGCCACTTCTGAGTAATTTTACCAATTACGTCACCCCTCTATTACTCAATAATAGAGTAGTATGTATTTTTGGTAGAAATAAACACTACAGTACAGCCTTTGAAAGTGATTTCGTCGATAAAAGAAAATTTTCTTCAGTGAATTATCTTTTATTTTCTTTATGACTCAATGAGTATTTTCGGTAATTTGAAAGGTTTTAACTTAATTACAAGTAGACGGAAGTAATTCCTAAATTTTTCCAAACATCTTTCGGATGGGTATATATTATTTTTCAATCTCTGTATTATTCCTTTTGCATATCATTCATTAGATTTACAGGACTTGGTCAATTTAAACTGTTGGGGTGTGAATAGTAGACGTTTTGTGGGATTCTGGAAAGGAATTGAAATTTTCAATGATACACATAAAGAAATAAGTATTCCTGAAGAATGGGGTGGAAGTCAAGGGAATACGCGTTTAAATGTTTCTGCTTCTATTTTTGAATATGTAGATATCCAATTTGCAGGTGAATCAAGTGTTTTTGATATATATATATATAATACTGATTATAATAATACTGTTTGAAGTGTTTTTGTACTAAGGTATGGTTTTGCGGAGAATCGAAGGATTTCAGGTTAGTTTGCTGCGAAAAGTAAAACAAGCCTGAGTGAGAACCCTTCCCCAAATCACTAGGTCAAAATTCAGTGAAAAATAGCTTCAGCTTTTTTACTGACCAAAGGCACTATATCACAGGAATTCAGTATCAGCCGGGAGTGATTTTTGTAATATTCTGCTTTGCATAACCCATCTGTAAGAATTTTAAGACTAAGAGCTCTTAATGTTCTTGAATGTCCTACCATTCTAGAAAGGTCATTTGAGTAACCGTGAGACTAAAAGCAGTTACCATTATAGTTTAGGTTTTTAAATTGTGTTGGGGTTCATAGGGTGAAGTCATGCTACTGTCCAGTAGGAGTGTGACCGCAGAAAAGTATTCCATTCAGACGATCATCAACCCAGTTATCGTGCATCCCTGATCTACGGAGGGGAGGATTGATTAGAAATCGACATTTCGAAATAACCTATTGCATCCTGTAGCCGAGACTTAGGTCTTCATGTGTACACAACTAAAAATCCACTCCGAAATGGTCACCTGTGACCAGCCACAACCATATTTCCCATGAATTTTGTGGTCACACAGAACTAATAACTTTCCTACTTTAGATACTTCAAAAAAGAATTAACATACACTGTGTACTCAACCAGGAATTAACAACTGCCCATACACTTTCATAGGTACAAAAAGCTTTTCTGTTCATCGCCTTCACCATGAACTACATTAATTATAATTCCTTTAACTCACATCTAATTAGGTGACCAGGTATTTTCACCAGTTTCCAATTAACTAATTTGTTTTTAATACGCACTACAAGCTACTGAAAAAATGTCAGTAGTAAAGTAAACGTCGGAATAATTTTCACTTCCAAAATAACTAACAATAAAATAGACAGAATAAAGATATAATACAATATAGCAAAATAATTAAAACAATTCCAATAGCTTTACATACAAGAAGAAGAATATTTAATGGAAATTACATTACAAACTGTACGTACATACATAGTGTGCCACTTTCACCATATTGAATAAAAGACAGAAATTTAACTTATGCATAAAACTGTTACAACTTTACTCTAAAGTACTACACGAATAAACAGGAAGGACAAATAGAAACTTAGAAACAGTGATGTTACTGCTTCATTTGCTCATGAAAATGTCATGTATTCGCAGAATACAAACAACTCAGAATTACTAAGCAGAAATTTATTTTCGAATGAGAAGTCCAAGAATTAAACAAACTAACGAAAACAGTCATCACCTCTTGTCAAAAGCAATATGAAGAATACATTTTTGCTGTATTCATACTGGCTTTATTAAATCGATAAATCCCAGTGTTAGTAACGACAATAGGTGTGTGTGTGTGAGTTAATACACCTACTACCTTAAAACTACGACCATTGTTTTAATTAAGAGAATCTTGTTAGGATTAATCCTTATAACCACGTTCATCGTAATGGAAATAAAAATTTAGTTAGCAATCTCTTTGCTCCAAAATACTGTCCCTTCATGAAATGCAGTCATTAAAGAGTGAAATCAAAATACTCATGGGTGTTTCTGTAGCATTATTTTTCCACAGTAGATGATTTCATTGTGCACATGAAGACCTCCAGTTCACCGAAATGTTCTTAGTTTCACAGGTTTTTGACTTTTAGGGCAAAACTCTTAGTTATTAATCTTCATACACCATCCGTTTAGTAATACAAATCTCTCCCCGTCTCTTATACATATATATGTGATATTCTCGTTTTCGGACCCTTAATTCTAAAAATACATTGCCACACGTAAGATTTCTTTTCTCAGTCTTCAGTAAATACACCTAACTGATACTCGACACTAATCTTTGACGCTTCTTGTTTCTCCTATAATATTTCCAAACCACATACCAGAAAAGTGAGAAAGTTTGGTGAAAAGTTACTGGCAAAACCCTTTTCAGTGATATGTATTCTTTCTCAGTTCAAATAACTCGAATTAATGAGCAAACTAACTTTCAAATTTATACTGCAAGTAAACTAATAGTCTATTTTTACAGATAAATAATTATTAATACAATTTTCTTAGCTTATTAGAAGCATTTCAGTATCTCAATGCATTAACTGTAAACTTTCTTGAACTCTTTTTTTTTAATTTCACATAAAGGTGTAAATCAGTCGCATTATCATTCAGCCGCACTCAGTTCGAGTCCTTATCCACCAGTATTAAACAATGTTCGCCTAGCACATAATGCCTATCATGCAATAGAATTTAGTAAAATTCGTGGTCCAGCAATACTTCAAAATGTTACAGTAAGTTGATTTTTTGTTTTTAATTTTCCTATTTTGTTTTTTTTAAACTTACCTGAATACACTTTGATGATGAATATCTGTAAGGAAAAATGATTAATTGAAGGTTTGGATAAAAAGAATCAAAGGAAAAATGTACCACTGAAACAGATTTTGTATGACATAAATTCCAGATTAAGGGGATAATAAAATAGGCTGAATACGTCTGAAAGACGATACTGTGCGCCTAAAAGTATTCACCTCAAAATACTTACTTTACTAAATCCCTTTTTTACACTTATAAAAAGGGAAACTAGAAATAGGCTACAGAACACTGCTCACTTGTTTGGCGTCGGTGGCACAGTGGTTAGGACTCTCGCCGACCATGCGTATGTTCCAGGGTTCGATCCCCTGCTGACGCACACCTGATATCAATGGTCGGCCTGCAAAATTTGGGCTACCAATATCCATGCTGAAAATTCCATACTTGTACCAAAAATACGGTGTGACATCAAGCTGTAACAAAAAAAAGAAATAAAAGATTAAACAGTGCATGTTTATGTCTACTTCTATGGCATAATTAAAATAGACAAACGAAATATTTGCTGTGTTGAAATCTGAACATATCCTTAGTGTTTTTTACACATATAAATTCACTATTGAATGGAATCCACTTAACTAGATTGAACTAAAAAATAAACCAAAATAGAATCGAAGTTAAGATCCTGACATCTTTAAAAATCCTTTACATTCTGCTAGGAACTAAGATTCTGAACTATCTAACCTAAAATGGGTTCAGTTATCAAGTGAAGAGTTTGACTACTGAGTCAGAAAATTTAAATAACTAAATCAAGTAGATAAGGCAGACATAATCGCCAATATAATTCATCTCACAACTCATAATGATTCACTCTGCTCATGATTGCCAATAAAGCTGAGAAAACAGTGGCCACAGGTGTTGTGATAGCAGCACAAGTCAGGGTTTTTCAGTGGACTTAGATCGACCACTTGAGGTTCGCCATTGAGGGGAGTTCGTATGACGGTAGGAGGAATTGCAAGGCAAGTTTGACCTAAGCATCTGCTGAATGGAGTTGCATAACTCTATCACTGCAGTGTCCTTACTCGATGTCTGTTTGGCAACTGAGCATATTTCAGTAACTGGCCGTTTAATTATTTCTAGAATTTTGTCTGCAGAAACAGCTAAGTCATCCATAAGAACACCCTGAATTGTCACAAGTATAGTCTGTACAGACTGTGGCAGTTTGGATAAGAAGAGTTCTCTGAAATGTTCTTCATCGAACTGAATTCGGCCAATAACCTCTCTCATTCTTATTAGCATGCTCATGGCTGACTGATCCCCTAACTCAATGTTACGAAATAATTGGTCCAAACGTTGTCGATCCGTGACAGCGTTTCTCCTGAGGAGGGATGATTTGAGCAACTCGTACGAGTCACTTATCTCGGAACTCGACATCTGCACAGTTACGCACTTGCTGAATTCCCGCGGTAGGGCGTGAATAACTGCGAGGAACTGTGAACGTTGATCGGTTATCCCATGCTCACAAAAATCAAACTCAGCTATCTGAAACCATGTTTTGGCATTATCTGGCCAAAAGAGTACGAGCTGAATGGTTTTAGCAGTTGGCGAATACGAATGACCTTGGGACTAGGATCACTCATGACGAAATGTATGTCGATTACAATATAGTACAAGAACAAATACAAAAAGAAACAAACTCACTGGGTTTATCTACGTATTTATCGAAGATGAAGTTCACGGTTTGGCTCACCAGTTTAGAGGCTGACAGCATTGACGTTCGCGAATTGTAAGGAGTATACTAACGCAAGATCTTATACCAACAACTTCTACAGTATTTGTTTCTCGTGGACCAAAGGCAGAGTAAAAGAACAGAATCGGCCGTCCAAATTACGAGATATATTTCGGGACCAAATCTTAGACTAAGATGAATGCTTAGCTGGCTAGTGTTCGTGCACGAACGTGACACGACGGAGTATCAAATGGCATGGATGCTTGATCGGAAGCCTTCAGCTAAACAAGTCGACTTAAACAGTGAGGGTCAGCATCGAATGTTCAGTGATGATTGCTGTGGTCAATAATTTTGGGAATTATTTGCCGCTACAGTAGCATTTGAACCTACAATCTTACCCCTGGGAGGAAGGCTTACAACATATAATATCTCATTCACCCAAATATATGAAATAACTTGATTTATCAAATACCATACAATTACTATGATAATAAGCCTATAGAGTCAGCCAGATTATCAGAACATAAGGACTTAAGTAGAACTAGAATGATAGACACCGTTAGGTTAAGTAATCTGGAAAAGTGCTCAGACATCGCTATACATCCATTTGCATACAATCATATAATAATTAAGAGCAAATTCAAAGTAATAAAGTATACTATAGCCGGATGAAAAAGGAAGGCCAGTCAGTTAATCTGTGCTTACCGGACCAACAACCAGCACATACATTGGAAATGATACAACATCAGTCCCGGATATATGGAAAACTTTACTTAGAAAGTGAGAGAAATTAAAACAGTGTTAAACTGATTTTAAAAAGCTATGTAGCTTATCTTCATACAATTATGTGAAATACATTATGCCCGAAAAGTTTTCCACAAGTTAATATTGTGTCACTTTACGTTGCACTATGCAAACATGTCTATTACAGAACCGTATTATAATACCACAGCGCCTTAATTTATTATATTTATTTATTTTTTTTTATCATAGCTCGAACCCACACAGTATTTTGGTACAAGAGTGGAATTTTCAGCATGCGATACCGGCAGCCCAAATTTAGTGGGCTGACCATTGATATCACGTGTGCGTTGGCAGGGGATCGAATCCCGTACCATGTGTACGGTCGGTAAGAGTCCTAACCACTATGCCACCAACCAACTTTTCAATCACGTGTATGCCAATTGCTTAAAATTTAGCCATACTCCGACTCTTAAAATATTCTAAAAGATCAAACTTACAAGTGTTTACTTTATCACCCCATGTTACGCGTAAACCAAACCCAAAACTCTGCATTATAAGAACTTATGCACTCAACACTCGTTTATCTCACACTCAGTCTTTCCTGAGTTAATTTTACTTCGATATTTTATCATCATAGTCGTTATTATTAGTCTTCTAGATGAACATTGTTAGCTGATGTTAGATAGGTTGGGGGTTGTCAGATGAAACCATGATACCATCCCATGAAGTCTTTGACTTCTACTACCTGTCTGGGGTCTTCACAACGCTAAGAATCAGTGGTTGGTGATCGTTAATAGTGTGACTTGAAGTAATTTGTGATGAGGCAGATACATTCATTCCCTTTCATCACTCATATTCTAAAACTTCACATCAACCTTTTTTCAAGTTACGAGGCGAGCTTATCGACTATTCAACTGCTTGGTTGAAATATATAATATATACTAATCGTTAAGGTGAGGTCAGTTCAGTGAAAAAAATGCTCAGAATCACAAAAATAGCTGCTTATAATAGATTATATGAACATTCAAAAAGTAATAAAGACAATTAGATGGGTATAGAATCTGACCAAGCTTAATTTGTTACCAGATAAGAATCAATACTCTGTGCACTAAGAATACTTGCGTTTAATTTTAACCTACTCATAAGTAGTTTCTTTACTTTTTACGAAATTAATCTGTATTTTTATTTACAGACAAATTATAATCATGGACATGGAATAAAAATCTCCTCAGTGATGGGTTACGTCAGACTGAGAAATGTTATTTCTCAAAAAAATTCTGGCAGTGGAATAAATATTCGATTATTAAGCGGTTCACATTATCATTGGCCTGAAGAAACCCTAGAATTAACTCACAGAGCATATTGGGTTTGTCGACTTGGTTCAATACCAGCTAGTCCAGTATTTCCATTTCTAATAGTTGCTGAACTGCCTGGGCCAACATTCAAAACAGATGGGATGTGTGAATTTGTAAGTAACTGAATCTATTCTACCAAATATTATGATTATTGATTCATAAATAAAGTCACTACCATTAGATGGCATTGAAACTTGGCGCTCTCACAGGAGTCCTCTGTTTGAATCCTGTCACGATCGAGGTATTTACTTCGATTATTTTCATTACTTCAATAAATAAATATTCATGAAATTAACTAAAGCACTCCACGATAATTTTATCTATCAGTCTTTCAGTAAGCTACGTTAGAATTCTGTTGATACTCGTAGGCTTGTGTGCTGAATAGTGAGTCACACACTTTGGAGGTAATATATACATATACATATATATATGCGTTTGTTAAGCTGTCTAGTTATATAGGCCGAACAACTAGACAGCTTAACAAACGCATTAATGAGCATCTCCCTTCATGGTTCGAAAAAGGTCAAGTAAAATCCATACGAAGTTCTATTTTGGCTCATTTGATTGATAGTGGTCACCAAGTGGACAAAAATAGTGCTTTCAAAGTTATTTACCGCATTCCATCGAGTTTTTCGAACGGAATCAGAACCCATCTTTTACACTTAGCCGAAGCCATGGGAATTCGAGAGAAGAATCCTAGACTTTGGATACAGTGGAAGAAGTTTGTCCTACCATTGTCTCTCCCTTGGCCTAGGTGAATTCTATTCAAAACCCTACCACCCTTTCTTATCATCCCTCTCCTTCGTACTTTTATGATATTTATTTAAACTCTGATTATCGTTCCATTTGATTTGACCTAATTTATTTATTTATTGAATTGTCTACATATATATGCATATACTAACTTTGTTATTCTTATCACCTATATAAGCCTTATTATCAATATTTTGTTATTATTATAATCATCGTTATTAACTACGTTCAAAACACTTACCATATTATTATTATTATTATTATTTGATCCACAAAATCACCTTCATTGGTTAAAATTTTATATATAAGTCTATGTAAATTAGAGTAAAGCCTGAAGAAGATCTAATTGAAAACAATATTGTTCGCTTATATGTCTTGTTCTAATATTATAAATGGGAATATTTAAAGATATATATATATATATATTACAGTTTTCTTGAGAAGCCCTTATCATCACTCTAGACAAGATCTTCAGAGCTAAATTCAATATGAAGTAAGCTTTCACAGTTTCCCATCAGTATGACAATCGTCAATCCTGATGACTTTGATTTATTTGGCTGCCTTTGGTGAGACGACTATTATACCCATAGAGAGTTCCAAAAGCCTAGTTTGCTCTGGATTTAGCACTGAGGATTTTGTCTAGAAGGAAAATAAAAGCTTTGTAATGTAACAATCTAACTCCAAAAACCACAAATATTTACATATCGATAAGCTCTTTATCAACGACTGTATGACAAATAGCATATGACTTACAAATTTAATGGTGACAATTTATTTTATAGTAGCTTTCCATTATCCAGAAATCATCTGACTACATAATAAAGTCAAAAAGCTTTAAAAAAAGTCAGTTTTCCAATCCAAAATAGGTATTATCATGAAAGCAAACGAAACGATTATTTACAGGATTTCATCATGAGCTGACATTGGTTAGAGAACCATCGGAAAACCTGGGACTACTGGACATCTGTTTCATCCCGGTTTGGGACTCTTCATCAGTACGCACCCACCACCAAGGTTCGAACCCAGGACCTTCTGGTTGCAGGGCTAGAGAGTTCGTAGACCATTAAAGCCACTGGGTCCCGAATCAATGGCCCATGAATTCTAACTTCTGCCAATTCACGGTTATTTCAGTGCCAATCATTCAACTTCTTGAAGTAAACCAAATAAGAATGACTAAAGGAGAATAGAAGAAACTCACAAGACAATAACACTGAAGTAATGTGGATAGCAGTTTGTAAATCAGATAGAAGAGAACAGAGGTAATTAGTGATTGTACAATTTATTGACATTAGGTTATGCAGGTGATCGACATAAATAAAAAGCCTGGGCAGAGGACGAAATCATAGAACAATACTAAAATTAGAAGAATTATGACAAATAACTCGTCATATTTCGTTTATGCCAAGTATGCATTCACAAACTGAAAAGAGCTGCTAGAGCAGAATTATAAATCGGCGCCGCATCCACGTTGTCCATTTACACACGACGATATATGGAAGTTTGATAGTGAATATGCTTGATGTGTATCCAATATATTAATGCCTCTGTAAGGGAATTCGAATTCATAAGTACAAATAAGGAGAGTTAAATAATAGTGCTGATCTCTGTTTCACAAATTTAATTTCATCTGATTATGAATATTTATCACAGCTCTTCTGTACTAAGGTTCTTCAGCTTTTCCGCTAGGAATGTCCACGCTATTTGTAGTGTCAAGTAGACTACATTGTTACTTATTATTATGTTTATCATTGCCTTGAATTCTGAGTAAAAAATAGGGTTCGACTAGCACATGTTCATTTCACCTTGTTCTCAATGATATTAGATGGTTGGAGGCAATCGGCAGGATGCCTTGGACCTAGGTTTCGTGCTAGTTGGCACTCACCAGTCAGAAAGGCGAATCTGAAACCTTGAAGGAACTCATGTCCCTTCTGAGATTCAAACCCACGTCACTCAGTGCTACAGTCAGAGACGTTACCACTAAGGTATTCAGACTCGCGATTGACCTCCTGTAGGACTGTAGTGGACTGTGATGCGGGTTCGAATCTCAGAAGGGACATGAGTTCCTTCAAGGTTTCAGATACGCCTTGTTGACTGGCGAGTGCCAACTAGCACAAAACCTAGGTTCAAGGCTTCCTGCTGATTACTTCTAACCATCTAATATCATCAAATCAATGTCCACCGTGATGGTGAGCTACCTAGAATGGTGGCCACATTACAACCTGACTGATAGTATTCAGTTGCACCAATGAGAGGACTAGATACATCACACTAGTTACTAGTGTCAGATCAAAATATCACTTTGTTCTCAGCAGTCATTTTTAGCTCACTCCACAATTGTCCATAAACTTACATCTTCACTACTCATGATTTCCTCGATATCACCCTCAGACATTCATTATCGATGTTTCAATACTATGTGTGGTAAGGAAAACCACTATGAGGTCTCACGTTGAAATTACGCATTTTATAAACCATAGTTGAAAATGAAATGAAAATATACTACTTAAATATTGTTTTTGATCCTACCATTTTAGCATGTTGCTTCAGATCAAACAAATCAAGTAATAACAGTTACTCTACTTGAGGTTTTACATGATCCAGTAGCTTCTGGAAGAATAGAAATATGGGATACATTTACAATGAGTAGAATTGCCAATTGGTTATTAGATAACCATACAGTTGTAAACAATTATTTCAAAAAGAACGATAATAACAGTAATCATGAAATTTCAAAGAATGTCAAATTAGGTCAACGCATAGGCTGTGTGTACCAGGGGTTTCTTCAGTAAGAAATGCCATCCTAATAAAATTTATATGGAAGAAATCAACCGACAGAGTTGTCTGTTCACAATTCACCCCATGTATCCGTGCTTTACTTCATATATCCGTCGGTCGGAGTAAGTTGCTTTTTACATAAAACTGAAGTATTGAGTTTATTTCCTTTAGTATTAATTAGATTCTCTTTTTGATGTGTATCATTGTGTGTATAAATAGATTTTTAAGGCTCTGCTTTTCAAATAGGTTAGGGTTCCAAGATATCGTCCCAGATAAAATGGTTATCACCGTTCAAAATTAATCCACTGAACATAATTTTCTTCTATTGTGCTATCATAAGCTCAGAATCAGAATGTATTTGGTTCGTAATCTGGATTCGACCGAAAGGAAACTGCAGGTCTACGTTTGCCTGCTTTTTTCCTTCACGTTCCCAGTGGAACATAAGGCGTCAAGCTAGTGGCTTGAAGTTCCTGTAGCAGTGTTTAATTTTACAGGATGGGGTAGCTAGCCTCATGTCCAGCCTTTCCTCTTTACCAGTATTATTTCTGGCTTAGCGAGGTAAAGGAGTGTGTCTGTGGCCGGGGATCGAACCCCGGATCACGTACATGGTCGGCGAGCGTCCTAACTGCTGTGCCACCGACGCACAAATATTCTTTGTCTCTGAAGCAGATATCATGCCGTTTATACAGGTGTTTATATCATGTGTGTACTCGAGAAATACAGCCTCGATATATGACTTGGTTGACAGTGACTAGTACGTTTGCTTGCCACTTAGTATCAGTAAATAAGTCAGACTAAGTTAGAAATCGTCAGTAAATTCAGCATAAATACAGTGTCAGGCATTGTCTCGTTAACATCAAGTGTTAACCAACTTCTCCTGGAAGAATTCAAATCCGTATAAAACTTTCATTGAAATAGTCTACTGTATAAGGTTCAATCACCTTAAAAACTTAACTTTCCTTTTATTAGTTATAAGCCAACAGATTTCTATATAATACATTCCAAAACGTTTTCAAAGCCATCTGCTTTTCGTTCCTACAATGACAAAATACTTTTACGTTACAGGATTTCATCATGAGCTGACATTAGTTAGAGAACCATTGGAGAACCTGGGAGTACAAGACAGCTGTCTTGTCCTAGTTTGGGGTTCTTCAGCAGTACGAACCCACCGCCACAGTTTGAACCCAGGCCCTTCCGGGTAAAAGGCGAGCTCGTATACCATTAGGCCACTGGGACCCGACCCAATGGCCCATGAATTCTAACTTCTGCCAATTCACAACATAGCGCGACCCCTAGCTAATGTCTTCGAATAGTATTCGTCCTTACACCCAACCTGCTGCACCCCACTGGTCACGGCTTCCCTACCTACCTGAATAGGGCCAGTCGCTAGTGAGCATCTCGTTGATATTCAAGTATTGGTTTGTAGGGATTTGGTTGATTGGTTATAGGATTTCATCATGAGCTGAAGAGTCCCAAACTAGGACGAAACAGCTGTCCAGTACTTCCTGCAGGTTTTCCAATGGTTCTCTAACCAATGTCAGCTCATGATGAAGTCCTGTAACCAATCAACCAAATCCCTACAAACCAATACTTGAATAGTTTTACGTTAATTTTACTGGATGTCATCTGGTAAATGCTATTATCACCATCACTGTCACTATTATTTCCCAACTTCTAATTATCAAATGGTCTATTTCAACTTCTTGAGTTCACTTTCTTTCTTCAAAAATTCTTCGTATATTTCACATACCTTAACCCCTCCTTCCTTCCTTAGTTCTAAATGTTTTTGTGCCCGTTCATATTGACGACTAACTGAGCCTGGCAATGAAATCGTTGGAAAGGAATATTTCTCCGGATGAATACATCTCTGTTTTCCAGTATTGGTTTGTAGGGATTTGGTTGACCAGTACTGCTGAAGAGTCCCAAACTAGGAAGAAAAAGCTGTTCAGTACTCCCAAGTTTTCCAGTGGTTCTCTAACCAATGTCAGCTCATGATGAAATCCTCTAACCAAATCTCTGTTTTATTTTATTTTCAACTTAATGGGTTTCTACCCAACGCATTTGCATAGCATTTTATTATTATTATTGTTCCCTTGGGTTCCTAGAGGAACATAGGGATTCAACTCCACGTCTCCACTTGCCACTTCTGTCTTCCTTCTGCTGTACTTTTCACCTGCATCCATGTTAGTCCATACTGTTTCAACTCCTCTTCACACAATCTCCTACATGTCACCCTCGCACTGACGACCAACTCGCCGTCTCCCTTTCAGCCTGGTTCCACTCGAGAAACGGCCTGACGAGCGCGCCATGTCACCCAGCGGCCTCCTCCTCATCGAGTGTCCAGTCCATCTCCACTTTCTCCTGAATATTTGTTGGTTGCGATTGCTTCCTGTTTTGTTTTGTTTGTTCCCATAGTTTCTTGTTGGCAATTCTTTCCGGTCCGGCCATCTGACCTCCAGAATAGAGCCTGTCTGCATAGCATGCAAAGAATAAACTGTCTAATTATTAATAATATTGGATTGTGTGTACTGGTGTAGATCGATATTGTTTCAAACTCAATAGACTATTTCAATTAACAGTGCTGATTGAATCCTGTTCAAAAATGAAGCGAAATGCTACAGCCTAACTCACAGGAATGATTTTTTTTAAGTGAAACAACACTGACGAAAAAAACGAAGCTCGCTCTCAGAATTTTATATTTTAACTCAAACCTGTTCGTGTATTTCTAAAAGGAAGATGAAAATGAAAAATTACTTATAAAAGTTACCTGATACAACCATTTTTTCAAATTATATTACGAAATGATGCAATTTAGTGAATCATTGAAAACCATAGTGCACATAGACATTCATGAATGTGTACTGCTGAACAGTCCCAAACTGTCCAGTACTAACTGGCTTTCAGTGGTTGCCTAACTGATGTCATTTTGTGATCTAACTTCCAAGTGAAAATAATTTTTACCGACATTAAAAGATGTATAGGTAAGAATAGTAAAGGTTTTTTTAAATTTAAGCTCTCAATTATTTGAGCACTTTCAGTAAATGCCGGCGAAATTAATAACAAAGACTCATGTTTTACGGGTTGATCACGGATTGATATCACTTAGAGAACCATTGAAAACCAGGGAGTACTGGACAGCTGCTGTTTCATCCTAGTTTGGGAATCATCGGCAGTACGCACCCACTGGAATTCGAACCCGGGACCTTCCGGTTACAAGGCAAGCTCGTATACCATTCAGCCACTGGGACCCGATTCAATGGCTCGTGAATTCTAACTTCTACTAATTCGTGATTTAGCGCGACCCCAACCATTGTCGTTGGTGGGACATCCATCCACACACGTGACATCTAATTGGACCTCACTGGTCACGACTTCTCACTAGAACTCAGGAAACTCCAACCTGTAGCAAGTCACTAGCGAGCATCAGATTAACTTTCTATTGTTTGGTTTGTAAGGATTAGTTATTTTTTACGGGTTGATCACGGATTGATATCAGTTAGAGAACCATTGAAAACCAGGGAGTACTGGACAGCTGCTGTTTCATCCTAGTTTGGGAATCATCGGCAGTACGCACCCACTGGGATTCGAACTGAGACTCATGTCTCATTTTCACATAAATTTCATTTTATTTTAACCACTCTATTTTTGTAGCCACATCAGCTGAAGTTGTTATCAAAGATTCTGTTGTCAGTGGAAATATTCAACATGGTCTACACTTACTTGATCCATGGACGTATATACACCTAGAAAATAATACCTTTCAACAAAATCAGCATGAAGCGGGTGTGAAAATTGAAGGTGGATCAGCAGACATTTTTGTGAATAATAATAGGTAGGTATTTTGCATACTTACATTTGTATTAAAATTTCTTCTATTTATTCTTAGACACACAACTTCTTGTAATGAGCACAAAAACTAAGTAGTACCAAGGAAAATCTAAGACAGGAAGTGATAAACATAAAAGAAGCCTTGAAACTTAATAATTACCCGGATAAATTAGTCAGGAAATATGTAAGGAAATCTAAATATAAAATAAATAATGGTAGTAGCGGTAGTGATAATAATAATAATAATATTAATGCCTACACCAACAATAAGGAATCTAAATCATCAGTAGTAATTCCATACAAGGAAGGAACCTCCGAAACCTTACGCAGAATTTTTAACAAGGCAGGAATAAAAGCGAGTGGCATTCAAACCAACCACAAACTCAATTAGAAACAAGCTTTGTCTGTTAAAGGATCAATCCTGTAGAGCCATTAAAACAAAACAATTTAGTTTATCTAATATCCTGCCTGTGATGATTATCAGCTCAAATACATAGGTCAAAGTAGTAGAACAGGGGCAGTCAGGCTAGCCGAACATAAAAACCTAGCAAAAACTAGATTGGTTGACCCGAATAAGATAAAAATCTAGAGAAAAGTTCAACTACACCACTCACTACGTGCATTTACACACAACCATACAATAGGATGGGATAGGATGACAGTTTTAAAATCTAATGTCACAGGGTGGAGGGAGAGATTGATAACAGAAGCTTTGTTTATCGAATCAACTGCAAATACATGTAATAGGAATGATTCATCACCTGTCCCTGATATCTGGCAAATTTTACTACCCCTACGACAAATGAGAGAAGACAAAGATAAAACTCAAGTTTTGAAGTCGTTTGATTACAATTGATATGATTATGAACAATAAATTTTGTTCGAAACTGTGTCATCCAGTAAATAATACTGTTTCGCTCTGTGATACATCTAATAAACAAACTAATATGGAATTCTTGTAATGAGTTTTATGTTTGGCTGTAGTAGTCGATATAATTCAGTGCATTATTTGTTAACCATGTTGTCCTTGATGTCTGCGAGCTATGTCCGTTGAGGGGGTGGGGGTGAAAAGCATAAGATCGTTACACAGCTCTTACCATATGTGATTAAGTAGCATTACTTACTCAAGTTTATTGAAAATTTACAGAAAATGGAGCGTAGAATAGGCGTACACTTCTTGTAAAAAGAAGATAACGATTACTATGAATTACCGTTATTCTAGGAAAATTGCAACACAAAGTGACACGTAGAACACAAAAACAAGATCACTTTCGAAAACAGCTGTCTTATAACCCAAGAATTAAAATAACAGAAAATAAGTCTGAGAAAACTAAATTTAATTTTTAAGCACAGATTTATAAGGATTCGAATAATTTCAAGTTAGATCATGAAATGACATCAATTAGAGAACCATTGAAAACCAGGTAGCACTGAACAGCTGTTTCGTCTTGGTCCAAGATTCCTCAACAGTACATACTCATGGAGGAGGGTCATGAGTGCCTGCGCATCCAAGAGACTAAATTTAAATGTAAGAAGAATCACTGCATTATCGTTATATTTCACATGGTGGCCTGCTTGAATAACTGGACTACCTGAATTTCCATCCAACACAACACATTATATTTTCACTAATTACTATTGTTTCAACCATTCTGTTATGTTTGCATGGAGGATTTTATCATCAACTGACATCAGTTAGAGAACCATTGGAAAACCTGGGATTACTGGACAGCCATTTCCCCACCCACCACGGGGGATCGAATCCAGGACCTTCTTGTTACAAGACGAGCTCGTAGACCATCGAGCCACTGGGCCCATATCCAATGTTCCTTGAATTCTAACTGCTGCCAATTCACAACACAGCGAGACCATGTAGCAATGTTTTCTTCACCATCAAACAAGATCCCTACAAATCCAATACTTGAACATTCCGTTATGTGCACATTCTTCGAAGATGAAATTAAAAAAATCATAAAAGATTAATTAATGCTTCGGATAGAACAGCATTGCCTCACATGATGTAATACAGACCGCCATTTCACTTGAAGACCCTGGATAAAGAGGAAATATTATGTGATAACTGTGTGTATTATGTAAACTCTTGTCCAAAATTAATCTGTTTCTATTATTACATAGGCTTTTGGCCAAAATATAAGCTAATTCTCTGCATACAGTTATAAACGTCATCTAAGCCGCTAACATAAATGTAAAAAAGTGAAGAGCTAGTTATAGTCTGCTGTTATTATATATATGGTGAAGTGTCAACGATTTCCCTATCTTTTGTTAAAGGAGTCCATTGAATTTCCCACCTGAAGAAGACAAAGAAATAATATACCTTTGGTTTATAGTACTTACCAAATAATTACTTATTCCTGAAGTGATTTAAAGAAAGGGGTTTCAGGAAAAGAAATGCTCTAGCCCCAGTTTGTTCTAGTGAACTCAAATTTATATTGAAAAAAAGTTCTCATTAATAATAGGTGAACATAGATAAAACAGAGGTGATGGAGATTTCTGGACAACACCAACAGCAACAACAACAACAGACAACAATCAGCCAGCATGAATAGGAGGAACCTGAAAGAAACAACCTCCTTTACCACCTACCTGGGGAGCATCGTTTCAACTACAGGCGGAACTAACGAGGATATCAAAAATTTGAGAATCGGGAAAGCAAGACAAGCTTTCATTACTCTCAAGTCTGTGTGGAGGTCAACAGCACTCAGCATCAAAAATAAGATCTGGATTTTCAACTCCACTATACAATGAGAGACTTGGCGCAGCGTCACAAAGGGCGCTTCGAACAAACTACAGACCTTCATCAATAGCTGTTTTCGCTCATTACTCAAGATTAGATGTCCAGAAAAGATCTGCAACAGGGATCCCTGGCGATGAGCGAACCAACACAACAGGAACCGACTGTGAAACAAATATGCAGGAAGAAATGGAGTTAGGTGGATTGACCATACTCTGAGCAAACAAACCATCAAGTGACATCACTAGACAAGCCGTTGCTCGAGTGAAACCCAAAAGTAAAGTGGCGAGTTGGTCATCAGTGTGAAAGTGACATGGAGGAAGTCATGTGAAGAGGAGATGAAATCATGTGGGCAGACTTGGAACCAGGTGAAGACTTTAGCAGAGAACCGAACGCAATGGAGACGCGTGGCTTAAGCCCTATGTTCCTCTAGGAATTAAAGGAACTAATAATAAATAAATAACTTTTAAACCTAATTAGAAAATTTTCACAACCTTTGTGTGGATAATGTTCATCATTACACTATAGAGTCTACCCGATGGTTATAATTAAAGCTAATATATACAAAATATATCCAAACCAAGTCCACTTTTAATATGTTGAAAAAATTTGGGCATTGAGTATATGACAATCATTACAATAAAGGTTTTTCGTATTTCCCAATGAATGAAAAAGATAAAGAAATCGCTTTTGCTGACGTTCCGCTATTTAGTGCTGCTAATAGCTTTATCAAAGTATTATTAAACTGGAATTTACAAAATCTCAGCTTATATATAACAACTTAATCATCGTTCCTCAGTATGGGGCCATCTCTGCGTTGTCAAATTGGCCAATAGGTAAAGATAACAAAATCAGTGTAGATTGTTGGGTTTGACAAGTGTATAAAATTATAAAAGCAGAGTGTGTTTAATATATGTATGCGTATGTTTACACAATGAAACTGCTTATCACATTAATGTTGATTTGGTCATATAATGCAAGAAATTGGAGGTGTTGTAACCAGGTCAAATTCTGTTATAGTCCATCATTCCTATCTCCATTCCACTTGATATGAAGTGCTTCTGATATTAGACGTTCTTTGTGATTTATGAAATTTTTCTGAATTATTTCAGTAGTGTCAGAATCAATTTCGTGGCCTGATTCTATAGCGTGTAGACCTATGGCTGATGATTTTTCAAGCTTTTCTAGTTCAACCGGATTTCTCATTGGTCGAACAGATGCTCTACGGTGTTCGTTCTTCTGATTTTGATTTCTCGAGATGTTTATCTGATGTTCATTGGATCCCATTCCAAGCATTATATTTTATAGACACAATTAGATAGAAATCTTAAGGAATTTGGTCTTTTACATGTACAAGGTTGTTGCGCGGTGTGTCTGATGTTTTGAAGAAAACTCTAATGTCGAGTTGATTGAGTACTCTTCTGATATCGTCTGAAGTCTCTGCTCTATATGGAATGACAATTGTTGAGTTCCAAGTTTTCAGAATACGTTTTCTACCATCCTTAATGTCAATGTTGAATTTGTAAATGTTCTTTGGGTAGTTATTTTTCTTGAGAGTCGTATTAATGCCTGATATTTCTTCTTTATTTTCTTCCTCATGTGTTATCAAAAAGTGTACTCGTCTAAGAAGACTTTACCAAAGGAACAATGCTAACTATTTTGACAAAAGACAATGTATAACAGAAATTTACTTCATTTCTATTATTAGTCTTTTAAAGCTTCTAAAACTTATGACCGAACCGTAGATCTTCAAGTATTGGTTTTGTAGGATTTTATTTGATTGCATGGAGGATTTCATCATGAGCTGACATCAGTTAGAGAACTACTGGAAAACCTGGGAGTGCTGGACAGCTGTTTCGTCCTAGTTTGGGACTCCTCACAGTAAGCACCCACCGGACTTCGAACCCAGCAGGTCGGGTGTGAGGACAATACTCGCCGAAGACATTGGCTAGGGGTTGTGCTGTGTCGTGAATGGCAGAAGTTAGAATTCATGGGCCATTGGATCTCGTCCCAGTGGCTTAATAGTCTACAAGCTCGCTAGCCTTGCAAATGCATGAATCGTAGATGACTCATTCCGCCCAATAATCTTTATTAATTCTATTTAACAGTTCGAAAAGTTATGAAAGTCTAGTCCACCACAATTATCTCACGCATTATTTAGTTCATGATGTAAAGTTAATAATGTGACAAATTTCAAATGACAGACTTAATGGCAAGGAAGTATGAAACTTGAAGAAATGTACTCGCTGAAAATTTCACATTTACAAAGAAAGTCACTTGTACTCACAAACTTCTTTATCACTCCTTAATTATTATACTAGAACTTACCGAGAAAAATAACCGGTCGTCGGTTAGATTTTCTTGAAACTTAAACCACTCCACTTTTCGTAATTGTCCTGTGATCCCAGATTGCAATATACATATGTGTGTGCATATACATAAGCCATGTGCTTCAGGACTATTTGAGAGTGAGAAGGATCTAAATCGTCCTTCATTCTCATCAAAATTGAAGAAATCAGATGTTACATACAATTTGACGGAGTTCTTGAACTGTTTTGATAACTGAAATGCATCTGTGTCAGAGTATGACTTTGAGAAATAATGATTTAAGGCAGTGTGTGTTAATAGTATTAGAAATGTTATAAAATGACTATAATTTTAACCCAATTATCTTAATAACTTTAAGAAGCTCAATAGCATTATGGATACTGTCAGCCACCTCAAAGTGTGTGTTTGTGTATATCACAGAATTTATTTTTATTCCTTGCATTCCAAGGAATATAGGAACTCAGGCTTTGAGAATTATATTTTCAATAAGATAAGTTGTCAAGGAACTTAACCCTAAGTTCCTATTATTTGCAAAGATGTTCCGAATCGACAACTGCTAGGTATGATTATCGACTTTAACTCCAAAACGCAAAGACTTGTATTAAGAAAATATATTCTTCAACAGTTAAATTCGATATTTCATACAGAGTCAATAAACAAATGTTTTACAAATAATGTACTGTACTTTTATTCGTATTCTATCGTCTTCTTCCAACTTGTACACGATTGAACCATTCGCGCCTTCTAGTTGCCCCCCCAATGGCGACAAGGCCAATGAACTAACCAACGTTCAATGTTCACGTTCATATACATAAGTGTTGAGCTTTTTTTGAGAAGTAGGTAGGCCAACCTCATGCCCAAGATCCCCCTTTTCCTGGATTATTACCGGTTAAACAAGGTTTAGGAATTATAACAATCAGATTGAAAAGATCATTTATTAACAAGTGATCTATCACTTTATTTCTATAGTTTATCATATGCCTGCTTTTTGTATTTATTCTATTCTAAGATTTATTGAAAATCAAGACTGTGGTTTAAATATTAGTGTAGCAGGTGGATTTAAACAAATTAACAATTCATTGTTCAATAATAATTTTGGTCATGGTTTAATAGTATGGAATTTGAATCAAACTAATACGCCATCACGTCGTTCAAATGGCCCATTAAAAACACACGTACATCTATCTAATTTTACAGGTAAGCTAAACCTTTTTTTTGGACTCTTGTTGTATTGGCTTCAGTAAATAAAACAATCTATAGAAAGTATGCACTATAATTATAATAATGGCTTTTATTCAACAGTAGTAGTAGATTCGATACAGTGTGAAAGAAATATTTAGCACTTAGTACAGTATTACATCTAATTTTCTCTTTACGTTTTATATAAGGGAGAAAATAATTTACAGGGCATATATTTTGATGATAATGTTAGAGAAAATATGAATTTTATATAATATATTAATGATAGAAAGGACAACAAGGTCCATCTATTAACTGCTTCTCATGAAGTTAGTAGTCCTATGCCTAACACTTTCCTCATTATATAGAATGCATAACAAAAATGGTATTGTTGAGTTTTATACTCAGTCATCTGAACACAATGTCTTTTATAATTGATTCTAGTCCTAACTAATGAGATGCAAGCGGAAGGTTGTGTATAATAATGGTGCCACACGCGTCGGTTATGACTCTCGCCGACTACGCACATGGCCCGGGGTTCGATCCCCTGCCGATGCACACCTGATACCAATGGTTGGCCTGCAAGTTTGGTCTAGCGATAAGGCATGCTGAAAATTCCATACTTGTACCAAAATACGGTGTGGAATCAAGCTTTAATAAAAAAAATGATATTCCCCAATTTCTTGCATGAGTTCAGGTGTCTATCGACAACAGTACTAACGAATCAATAACAATAATAACAGCCTTATTCCAAACAGTATTTGTAGTACAGGTATAGAATTTTCAGCGTGCATTACAATATATTGCATCTAATTACTTCATAAATTTTATAAGATTTTAAAATCAAAAGCAACACCCAAGAAAAGATAAAAAAAATAAAAAGAACAGCGTTGCGTTTACATTTTAAACAATGCGCCACAGGATAAGAAATATAAAATTAGTGTGTAATAGAAGATGAGAACAACAGTGTAATAGTAACAAGGAAAGGAAAACAAAAAGTAATAGGACTATTTGTTAGAGTGCCGCAGTAAGTTGATCGTTTCACACCTAACGGATTTCTCATCACATAACAGCTGTGCCAGAAATGGTATTGTGGAGGTTTTGTATTTGGTAGTCCTAGCATATAGCCTCCTATAGCTGCTTCTAGTTCTACCAGATGAAATGCAAGGAGACAGCTGCGTATAGAGAGGATGCTCGGGGTCTGACAATATTGTATTCGCTAGTTTCTTACATGACATTATATGTCTATCCACAATAGTGTTAACCAGTTGGCTTAACGACATCCCACTTGCACTACTAACGGATTTTAGTGCCATTCTCAGCAAAGCAAAGTCTTTCTTAAGTAGTCCAGGAAAGATTAATGGGGAGCGGTAAAGGGGATGGGTAGAATACAAGAATTTACAAACTGAGAAAGCAAAGACTGCCTTATGACAGACTGCCTAAATTTCAACTTAACCACACATCACTCACCCTACCAACTGCTCCCATTTCCCTTCCCAATGTCACAAAATCTTTCTCAAGTAGCCCAGGAAAGATTAAGGGGAAACAATAAAAAAGGATAGCTAGAATACAAGAGTTGGTAAACAGTAAAAATAGAAACTGAATGACACCAAGTTGTCCTAACTTTATACCCTTAAGGTTAGATAAAATATCTTTTAGGAATTAAAATGATGCGGCAAGACGAGAAAAGATCATAGGAAGACATAGTTCAAGGCAGTTAACATTTAACTAGTTTCAACGTCAATGCCTTTTCATGATACAAGAATCAAGGAGACCAAACAGTTGATGCAAATGACGTCCTTCTCTGAAAATCAAATTAACAATCTGACATTTGAAGGAATTCAGCATAAAACCATTTGAAAACGACCACAGACTAATTTCTGATAAGAAGTTATTCATTTTGAAACAGTTTGACTGAGTAGTAACCGTCATGATACAGTCACATTTTGGCCTTCTGAATGAAGTAAGTCATGTAGGAGGAGGTAGAAAAGAAAAGGAGAAAGAATAACACCTTGAGGGCCACTGGCTGTAGTAAGTAAAGCGGTGAAAGACTTTCCTATATATATGCAGTATACCGCTTTTTATCAGGAAAATAAGAATGTAACCATTTATCAATCTGGCACCGGTTATTTGAGTTATTAAGAAGACAGTTGCAGCAAAGAAAATTTTCTTTTCGATGGATTCATCATCTAGGCTGTACATTCGGGTATTTATGTCAATGGATGGGAAAGTTCCAGAATAATTTGCGGCTAAAGATCAAATTAATAAAAATTACAATTAGGAATTGAAATACCATAATAAACAGGGGAACGGATAAAACTCAAACAAAGTAGCATCATAATTACTAAGAAGATTGACATTGTGCAATTGGGTGTTAGAAATGTAGAAATAGCAAAAATAGACAGGATGTTTGGATAAAAAAACTAATGTGAAGAATAATTGTTTATGCAATCAGGGATTAAATATGTACGACAATGCTGCATGCCAAGTAATCCACAACGGAAAACTTACGGAAGCCTTCGAAGTGAGGACGGTAGTGAGACAAGGCTATCTACTATCACCAATGATCTTCTTGATTGTAGTAGATTGGATAATGAGACAGACAACGGGCAATGAGGAAACAGGCATAAAATGGACCCACACAAAAACTTGGAGGATCTGGACTTCGCCGATGATATATGTCTGATTTCCCACAAATTGGAAGATATGCAAGTGAAAAGCAACAAGCTGGCAGAAGAAGCATCGAGAGGAGATAGGACTTCAGGTGAACATAAATAGAACAGAGGTGATGAAGATTTCTGGCCAACAGCAACAACAACAATCAGACAGCGTAAATGGGAGGAACCTGATAGAAACAACCTCCTTTACCTACCTGGGAAGCATCGTTTCAACTACAGGCGGAACTGACGAGGATATCAAAGCCAGAATCGGAAAAGCAAGACAGGCTTTCATTACTCTCAAGTCTGTGTGGATGTCAACAGCACTCAGCATCAAAAATAACATCCGGATTCTGAACTCCAATGTGAAGTCAGTCCGTGCTACTATACGGATCAGAGACTTAGCGCCACGTCATGAAGAGCACTTCAAACAAACTTCAGACCTTCATTGACAGTTGTCTTCGCTCAGTACTCAAGATCAGATGGCCGGCCAGAAAAGATCAGCAACACGGATCTCTGGGAGCGAACCAACACAGCAGGAACCGATTGTGAAACAAATAGACAGGAAGAAATGTAGATGGATCGGCCATACTCTGAGGAAACCATCAAGTGACATCACTAGACAGGCCATCACTCCAGTGAAACCCCAAATGGAAGCGGCGAGTTGGTCGTCAGTGAAAGGGTGACTTGGAGGAGGTCATGTGAAGAGGAGATGAAAGCATGTGGACAGACTTGGAGCGGAGTGAAAAAGTTGTCAGAAAACCGAACGCAATGGAGACGCGTGGCTGAAGCCCTATGTTCCTCTAGGAATTAAAGGATATAATACTAATAATAAGCAGGAATTAAGAAAAACTAAAAATTACATGAATAAACAGGAAGTTTAGATAAGAAAGGCGGTGGGATGGTCATTATTAAAAACTACCTGTTTATGATGGCCATGGCAGGGACAAGGGTTGGACGTATTTCTTTTGGATACAAAGCGTAAGTTTGAGCTTTTGGATAGCTATTGCCTCGGCTATGCCCAGATGCCTTAATTTCACTCCCTTTGATAGGTTTGATTGAGTCTTGTATATTACTTTGAAGGATTTTTCAAAAGGCGCTGATTGTCCTGAATTGACCAGATGTTCTGTCGCTGAACTGTATACACGCTTTTGGTCTCCTGTTACTAACCAGGCTGGGTAGTGTTCACGAGTGCGTCTTTCAAGCCGGTGCATAGTACGGCTAATGTACTCAGCTCCACAAGAGCAAGTAAACTGGTACATGCATGTTGAGGTGGCCCAATGCGACAGCTTGCGTTTCGCGTCCTGGCTGAACAGTTTCTTGCAGGAAAACGTCAGTCGTAGGCTCGTGGCGAATTATGTTTTCCTCAGCGATTTGAAGAGGCATTTACGAAGGATTTCTGCTACAATATCATCTTTGAATTCTAAATTAGGCAGATGTATTTTCTTTGGATCGGACTGCATTTGTTCGGAAGTCTTCTTAGATTTGAGATTCTTGTCTATGAACCTGGGCGGGAAACCGTTTACCATCAAGGTTTTTCGGAGATTACGCAGTTCTCCTTCAATCACTTCCTCGCTGCATATCTTCCGAATCCTCGAGGAAAGAGCGTATGTCAGGTTCCTCTTTCTGCTTAGGAGCAAGAACCTTTGAAAGTTGATGAATTGTCCATTCCATGTAGGCTTTTTTGTGAAATACGAGTTCCAATCCCATTCAAAAAGTTCGATGGAATACGATAGATAACTATGTAAATGTAAATTGAGTGAAAGTAAGTTGAGCTTCATACACATTTGTTTGAATTTTTCCAGACCATGAGGGAAAATGCTTAGCAATGCGCTTGTTAAGCTGCCTAGTTGTTCCCCCATGTAACGTCCTTCACAGGAGCAGGTGAATTTGTAAATGCATGTAGAAGTAGCAGAGTGATGATAACTGGTTGACTAAGCATGAGCACGTAACACAAAGGTAGTAAAAAAAGCCTTAAGATATTTAAACTGTCTCTCAAATTATTTTTATGTATAAACAGAATTTTTCAAAACGATGCTAAATTTCGAAGGAAAAACAATAAAGTTGACCACGGAATTTTACTTAACAACTAAGGTATAGAATAATTACAAATTCGCAATTAACAAATTGTACATTTTGAGGTGAAAATTTCCGTGGATACCCAAAATATTCAAATAATTACATTTGATCTGACTCATTCAAATAAACAGCAATTAAGAGGGCGAGCATAAATTCACGATATATATACTACTGACTTATATATGAGTAGTTTGAAACCAAACACATCAACCAGTAGTGTTTCCTATGTAGATGGAAGTGATCTAAATAACGAAAAGGTCTTTCACCACCACACAGCCATATGGGCTTTATTTTAATTGTTCTCTATGGCATCAAGCAGATCACATATTGTGGTTTGAATACTTTACATCTTCGATGGGAACTGGTGTGAATTTTGATCTCAAACTGTGTAATCAACAAAACGCTGGTAGCATTTCTACTTCTTATTACTTACTCCGAATAATTCATCATATAACTCAATTGTACAAACTGTTTTTGCTCTCTTGAGTGAATCATTCCATCTACACCTCTAATGACCTCTGCCTGAAAAAAGTGCGAAACAACCGTCCAGTGTTGAAATCACTTAGAGCTGGATATCAAGTACTACTATTTGACGTTAGCAGTTCTCAACTGGAACAGACAGAACTAATTTCATGTGTGAATCGTTCAATGAAATTTTTCTATACCTATTCCTCAGTTAACCACTTCATTTATGCGTGTAACACAAACAGAATGGACAACTCTTTGACAGTAGTTCATTGGATTAAGTCAACTGTGTAGTAGAATAAAGCTGTTGATGGGGAATAAAAGAAGAGGTGTAGTATTACGACAAATGATGCAAGCGGACTCCAGACAATTATAACCAATATTTGAGATTTTGATATACAGTAATATGAAGGATTTCATCATGAGCTGACATCAATTAGAGAACCATTGTAAAACCTGCAGGGAGTATTGGACAGCTGTTTCGTCAACCTAGTTTGGAACTCTTCATCAGTGCGCACCAACCCACCAATGGGGTTCGAACCCATGACCTTCTGGTTACAAGGCGAGCTCGTATACCATTAAGCCACTGGGATCCGATCCAATGGTCCTTGAATTCTAATTTCTGCCAATTCACGACATAGCGCGACCATTTCGCGATGTCTTCTTCGATGAGTTACTGGCTCATCTTTGATCTGCTGTACACTACTGGTCACGGCTTCCCACTAGAACCCAGGTCAACTGTCTGAATAGGGCCAGTCGCTAGTGAGCATCAGATTAATTTTCGAACCCCGGTGGGTGCGTACTGATGAAGGGTCCAAAAACAGGACGAAACAGCTGTCCAGTATTCACAGGTTTTACAGTGGTTCCTAACTTATGTCAGCTCATGATGAAATCCTGTAACTAATCAACGGAATCCCTACAAAACCAATACTTGAAAATATACAGTAATATTTGAACAATTTGATAAACTTCATTTTAGTTCACCTAGGTGACATTTTGTATATAGACTCAGTATTTTATTTGTTTATGCTGAATTTATTTATCATATGTGAACACTTTCTGCAATGCCTACACATTAATTTTTTTAGGGAATTATTACGACGCAATCCGCTTTTATAATTCATGTCTAACTATGGAGGTTCTAGTGAATTTTACATTTTTTATCAAAAATCAACGTGATGCAATCAGGGTTTATTCATGCCTTTGCACAGACGTCAATGTAAGTTGAGTCACGCCTTTTTTTACTCTTGTTAAATAATTTCCTCATATAATCATACATATATATGTTACTATTCAGTATATCCACATAATGATATATATGTCAGGGAAACCGAATGATTCAACGTTGTAGAGAAACGTGGAAACGTGAAGGGAATACAAAGAAACGCAATATGAAGGCTAGAAGTAGCACAACACGGAAGATCTGTGGAAATAGTGATTTGAAGATAAGGTGTACATAATTTGTTACATAGCGACACCTAATTCCAAATGAACAATCCTTTACCAAGTCTCGTTTTCTACCGTTACAATATAACTCCTTGATAGAAGTAGCTAGGAATCACCCACATGAACTAGTACTGCTTACTAGTTAGATCGAAGTGACCTGAGTGTCGAACAAGTCGAGCTAATCGGTTATGTAACCGGTATGACTGACTGACCTCAAACAGGCAAATCAGTTCGACGATTTCTAGACTGAAAATTTATTTCCATCAAGTATTACCCTTAAGTATAACCATGTCATAAAATGTTACATACATATACGGGTAAATAATACTTAGATTATAACGCGTTTGGTTTCTTTGGTGTTATGGTGTTTTCTGAGCTAGATGACCTATCTGTGAAGCTTTCCTTTATTGTTCTTTTAGACAAAACTTTCTTTTTAAGTTAGTGCTGAAAACACTGTCTAGTATGATAGCGAAAGCCTTACAACACGCCGAAACTGACAGCATCTACTTGATTTAGAAAATATCCTACATAATTTCATAACTATTTACCTCATCGTATGAAGGTTACTGGTTCGAACTCTGTCACAAATTCACATTTCAAATCCAGTCATTATCTCCCTACAATAAATATGTTTTCCTTATTTTCCTTAACGTTGTTGTATAATTATTATTATTGTTCCCTCGGGTTCCTAGTGGAACATAGGGCTTCAACTGCACGTCTCCACTTGCCACTTCCGTCTTCCTTCTGCTGTACTTTTCACCTGCATCCATACAAGTCCATACTCCTCTTCACACGATCTCCTCCATGTCACCCCTGCATTGACGTCCCACTCGCCGTTTCCCTTTCGGCTTGGTTCCACTCGAGGAATGACCTGACGCGCGCGATGTTACCCAGCGGCCTCCTCACGAGCGAGTGTTCAATCCATCTCCACTTTCTCCTGCATATTTGTTGGTTGGCGATTGGTTCTTGTTTTGTTTGTTTGTTCCTAGCCATAATTTCTTGTTGATGATTTTTTCCCGCCCGGCCATCTGATCTTCAGTATAGATCCAGCGAAACAGTTGTTGGTTGATAAAGGTATGCAACAGGCTGTTGGAAATATTCTTGTGACCCACCCGCCAAGTTTCTGATCCGTATAGAAGAACCACTGACTTGACGTTTGTATTGAAAATACTACCGAAATTAGTTGTTGATGCTGGCTGAGTGACGAAGATTTCCAGATTGGTTTCAGGTTCATGAATCTGTTTCTCGCCCCCCCCCTCCCCGATTCTCGCTCGATTTGACATCCTCGTTCGTTCCGACTGCATTTAGTTGAGAGAGTTCTCCCTAGATAAGTGAGTGAATGTAGTAACCTCTTTCGAATCCCTCCCGTTGTAAAAGGCTCACATTAATCAACGCTGTGGTGGTCCAAACGCTACACGCAATGAGAAATAAAAATTAAATCGGAGAGTTACGTTGCTAAAGTCATCAGTAATTATGTGTGTAAAAATTTTAAATCAATCAGCTACCTGTGAGTAATAGTTTACTCCAAACAAACACGGAATTTCACAGATGACATATTTGTCGGGTAACAAATCTTACTGAAGATTATGATGGACAGATTGCCAAAGGTCATTAAAATAAGGTTGAATAAATGAACGAAAACAAACATTAGAAAGTGAACATTACAGATGAACACTTGCTTTTTGCTAAGAATAGGGAAAACCGACAGGACATTTTGTTCATTTGAAGGTGAACTCTTCATTATTCGTATGCTGAGACCAATATTTTTCAGAATCCTAATATCAGGTATTAAAAAATCATTTTTATAACTCCGGTAATAAAATACTTTTGGATACTTTCGCTGATGTTTCTAATAAGTAAACAAATTAATACAAGCTGACCACCTAAAGAAAGTGAGTGTAGTAAATTTCATTTGTTTTTGGGAAAGCCATAATAATCAGTTTTCAGATAAGGGGCAGGGTGTTAATCGAAGAGGAAGAATTAGTCTACGGCTTGTAAAGTTACATGAATAGATATTGCTGGGACGCATGTCATCACCCTCTTCATGGAAGAATGTTAAGCTACATAGAAACAGTTTATAAAGGAGTTGAGCACTTTCGCAAAAATACATGATATTAACTCATGAAGTCTTTGACTATTGGTTTGAGCAATTTAGGTAGGTGGAGATCGCTTAGCTGGGACCCTCTTGGTACCAGACTTTTGGCGGTCTCAGGGTGCAAATATATTCTTTCCTTATTCATTTCCAGAAGCTGTAAATCCCAATTGTCCTTCGAGTTATTATTTGCATACCTTTATGTGAGCTTCTTCGGACCATGGCAAACTGAAGTGCTGAGCTTTTGAGGAAAATTCTAAATTGAAAATTCAACTCACTTCGATGGAATAATTTAGTGTTAGCACCTCTGACTAGGGCAGTCACTTTCAGGGAATCAGCCTACCTGATGGACACCAATTGAAACGATTAACTATATTTAAAAACATTCATTTATTTCGTTTTGATAGTATCATATTACTTGTAAGTAGCGCAAGCATTAAAAATAAAATATTTTACTTCATTTAATTGTAGACACTAACTAATTTCACTGTAGCCTTTAGTCATTTCATTGCGAATAAAGGCAATTCCATCAAAATTTCACCAATAATTCATATGATTGGATCAATTATTAATTCCACATTTGAACAACACCAACACGGGGTAATATGGGTTGATAATTCTAATGATGATATACTGAAATCCCAATTCTATCGTCATTTCCCTGTTGACTATACAATTAGTTATAATGAATTTATGCATAATCAAGGTGCATATGTGATTCATTCACGTTTAACAGAATCATCTAAATTGCAACATTTAAATTTGATGTATAATAAATTTTTAAATAATCGGTAAGAAATACTTTTTGCATTCTATTATAACCGTATTTTATAATTTAACTTTTCTATATATTAAATATTCCCATAGTAAAATTTACAACAACACATTTAAGCGAACAATATTGTTAATACAAAAAGCACATTCACAGGTCAATACACACACTTCCTTAGTTACGTGCCTATCAAATATAAAAGAGATGTTGTTAAAGGCCTTACGAGCAGAGTAAGAAAGATATGTACGGATGACCTTTTACAAAAGGAATTTGAATATATTCACGATTCCTTAATGGAGATGGGCTATCCGAGTAGTTTCATAAAGAAACATGAAAACATCAGAGAGAAAATCTGAGACTCTGACTGCATGAAAAAAGCCTCTGTTTATTAAGTTACAATTTAATGATGACTTATCTAGTGAGATTCTATTCCAAAGACTTTCAAGGAGTATACGAAAAACATTTTACGCAGCACACCTATGTTTGTCATTCTCTAGCCGACGAATGATCGGGGCGCAAACGAAGGATAGATAGCTAGATAGTTTTGCCACATCTGTATGCATTTATCATTTCAACTGCACCTACGGTGACAGTTATGTCGGACGTACTACTAGAAAGCTTAGCCAGCCACCGTGTTAGTGAACACCTCCCATCGTGGTTTGACAAAGGACAGACAAAAACAATCCGTAGCTCAATCTTATCACATTTAATTGATAGTGGTCATGTAGTGGAGAAAACGAAAGCTTTCAAAGTAATTCATCGTATCCCACCGAATCTTTCAAATAGACTTCGTATTCGTCTACGGCACACAGCTGAGGCGATAAGCATTCGAACTATTAAACCTAAACTATGCATTCAAAAGAAGTTTGTACAGTCATTATCCCTCCCTTGTTGGCCTATTAAGACATAACCAACTAACGACTTCTACACCACCCCTTGTTTATATTTTCAACCCCTCCCTCTCTTATCATCCCTTATCACATCTTCATTAAAAATCTGTTTCATTTACTTCCCTTACAATCTACCATTACGTAATTAGTTCATTTGTTTTTACTAGCCTTTATCGACTACTTCCACCTGAACAATTGTTTGTTTAATCATACTGTTTTTCGCTATTCGTGTTATCACAGATTGCCTCAATTTTTCACCCTTATCATTGATAAAACCATTATTATTACTATCATTATTATTATTATCATTACTACTATTATGACTAATTGCACAATTTATATTCACCATCGTATTATCCTATAGACAAAACACCATGATTGGTTTATATTTGAATTTTTATTTGTAAACTTATATATATTAGAGTGAAGCCTGATGAGATCTAATTGGAAAAAAAATATTGTTCGCTTAAATTTGTCGTTCTAAATTTTCTATATATATCTGAATTATTTCTATTTATTTTACGATAAATTGTAGGTATTCTTTTAATTATGCCTATAACATCAATATTGTAGTTAGATATTACTTATGCTTCCAAGGATTTTCTTTTCTACAGAGGATATATGATTTCATTAAGAGATCAGATATCTGCATAAAATCTCACTACCTACTAATGACAAGCTTATAGAAATCCATTCTGACTTTGTAATAGGAAATAGTGAAAGAGTTGTGTCGATTAATCAGCCGTATACGTGCATGTTTACTCCTAATTTACAAATCGTAGATTATTGGATTCTGAGTAATTTACTGTAACGACGAAAACTCAAGTACTTCAATCTGAACACAGGAACTAATTAATACCCTATTCTGTTTAAAAACAAAAAATTCAACAAAGAAAATTCTCTTTTCGATAATTTCATTTTCATAGCTATGCAATCGCTTACATATACATGAATTACACTAGATAATAACAATCAGTTTTACTGTGTGTGTGAGTAGGTGGGTGTTACAGTTTGACTGTGATTGGAAATACTACAGTGCGATAATATTGCTGCGTAGGATTATGAGTCACAAATGAATTGGTTAAATACATGAATAAAAATAACTAAATAATTTGTTTTGTAAGGGTTAGTTATGTTTTTACGAGTTGATCACGAATTGATATCAGTTAGAGAACTATTGAAAACCAGGGAGTACTAGACAGCTGCTGTTTCATCCTAGTTTGGGACATTGGCAGTACGCAACCACTGGGATTCGAACCCAGGACCTTCCGGTCACAAGGCAAGCTCGTATACCATTAAGCCACTGGGCCCCGACCCGACCCAATGGCCAGTCTATGAGTTCTAACTTCTACCAATTCGTGATTTAGCGTGACCCCAACCAATGTCATCGGTGGGACATCCATCCTCACACGTGACATCTGTATGGACCTCACTGGTCACGACTTCTTACTAGAACTGCAGGAAACTCCATCCTGTAGCAAGTCACTAGCGAGCATCAGATTAATTTTCTATAGTTTTGGTTTGTAAGGGTTAGTAATGTTTTTACCAGTTGATCACGGATTGATATCAGTTAGAAAGACATTCAAAACCAGGGTAGGTAGAATTCGTGAGCCATTGAATCCGGTTCCAGTGGCTGAATAGTATATGAGCTTGCCTTGTAACCGGAAGGTCCTGGATTCTAACCCCGGTGGTGGTTGCAAACTAGGATGGACGAAACAGCTGTCCAGTACTCCCTGGTTTTCAATTTTCTCTAACTGATATCAATCCGTGATCAACTCGTAAAAACATAACTAACCCTTACAAAACAAACTATAGAAAATAACTAAATAAATAATCCAGTAAATTATAATTATATTTCAATAGTTAACATACAATCATAAGATTTGTTTTTTTGGTAATATTTCCATCAAAATTATGAAATAAAAACAAAACAATTCCAACAGTTGTGATCATGGGCAGTAATTTTGCTCGAAATACTACCGAAAACGCATTGTGTGTTAACTACTGAAATATAATTATACTTTATTCGATCTTTCAAGCGTTGGTTTGCAGGGATTTGATTGGTTTCAGGATTTCATCATGAGCTGACATTAGTTAGAGAACCATTGGAAAACCTGGGAGTACTGGACAGCTGTTTCGTCCTAATTTGGGACTCTTCAGCAGTACGATCTATTTCACAATGCTCAAACTTTTTACTGACATGGAATAAATAATAATAGTCAATCTGAAGCTCAATAGACATGCGTGAAATAGATGACTGGTAAATAAAATACATTCGGAAATATGATTATGTGAATGTAATCTGGTGGAGGTATGAGATGAGTGAAATATTGTCAAAACAGTAGACTAGACTAGATAAAATGTTAGAATATGAAGCAAATTTAAAACAATTAGTTCCCTTTATGAATTCAGACAAAGCAATAATATGACACAATTTGTCTGAATCTTGTAATGTATTTGCGCAACACATTTCGAGCAATCTGATCGACCACACACGGACTTGTCATAGGAATATATTGAAATTAATAAAGAGTTAAAAGGTGAGAAAATAAATTTAGGTCAAGTTAAAAGGACAACGTGGAAGATCAAAATAACAATTAAGATCACTACACCAAACAACAGAGGTAATAGTACGCCTGCCCTGGTTGGTATCAACACAAAGTTTAACAAGGAACGTAGTTTTAGTGTGATGATGAATTGTTGCTTTGAACGCATAAAGTTGGTTTTAAACTTTCTAAATGCCAGCTAGGGCTTCCACAAACTTTAGGACAGACACCCTCCCCCAAACGCGTTTTACAGATAGGTTTAAAAGATGTGTAAACATCAATTTTATGTCTTGTCTCTATAATATGTATGGCGATAGAGGAGTTAGTTTGTCTTTGTCACAATTAATGGGTTCTAGGGATTCTATTTGCTTCCATAGCCATTTAAGAATATGCTCTGAAGCCCTTACCAACATAATTGAAACAAAATAAAATAAAAATGGAACACGGAATAAATAAGGATAACAAAGTTGTTAAGTGAATTACACACTTGTCTACTGAACTTTAAGTTGACCTCTATTTATTTAAATAAATTTTAATTTTATTTCAATAGTTTACACACAATGATAAGTTTTTAGTTTTTGGTAATATTTCGAGCAGAATTACTGCACTTGGTCACACCAAATGTTGAAAATGTGCATAGTCACTCCTGTTAAGTGTAACAACGGCGAATCAGCACAACTGTTAAAAACTTGGAATATAATACTGAATACACGAAAATGAATGAACAAATAAATGAACTATGTATATGAGTACAAGTCATAAATGTCTGAATTAAAAACAAAACAGTTCCAACAGTTGGTATGATCACGGACAGTAATTTTGCTTGAAATATTACCGAAAAAACATTGTGTTAACTATTGAAATATAATTATATTTTATTTGGTCTATTACACAATGCTCAAACTTTTTACTGACATTAATTCCATTTATTTAGTTATTCATTCATATATATTTAATCAATTCGTTGTGACTCATAATCCTACGCAGCAATATTATCGCACTTTAGTATCTCCACTCACTGTCAAACTGTAACACACAAGAAAATTGATTGGTTACAGGATTTCATCATGAGCTGACATTGGTTTGAAAACCATTGGAAAACCTGGAAGTACTGAACAGCCGTTTCGTCCTAGTTTGGGACTCTTCATCAGTACGCACCCACACCATGGGGTTCGAACCCAGACCTTCTGGTTACAAGGCGAGCTTGTAGACCATTAAGCCACTGGGACTTGATCCAGTCCCAAACTAGAACGAAACAGTTGTCCAGTATTCCCAGGTTTTCCAATCGTTCTCTAACTACCAATGTCAGCTCATGCTGAAATCCTGTAACCAACCAACCAAATCCCTACAAACCAATACTAGAAAACTGACTGTTATTGTCTACTGTAATTCATATAAATATATATATATATATATATATATATATATACTTCTGTACAGCTATGAAAATGAAATCTTCTGTATAACTTCCTATCCTTCTTCGAATAACTCATACTTCAAAATTATATTGCAAAAGTATCAAAACAACAATTTGAGCTGATAGAATATGTGGCAGTATTCAACAACAATAATAACTTATATTAAAGACATAAAAGTAACTGAACAATACCGTCTGGCTGTTATATAATCCTAGGTATCTCAGATACAAAATAGGCAATGTACACAATAAAATTAACTAAGCAAAAACAATTATAGACTATTTATAATCAATGAGAATATCTCCAACACGATGAGACTAAAACCCTGTTTTCAAACTCTTTCAAGGCCAAGCTATCGCTTCACGGCAAAACCATAACCACTTAAAAAAAGTCGTAGCCGTAAAACAACATATTTTTAACATCACTGCATACTAGTAGGGAGAAGTATTTAAAACAGGAATCAGTCAAAAAACGAAGACAAATAATAATAAGGATTAATTTTTTTGACGAGTTTGACTACGGATGATATCAGTTAGAGAATAATTGAAAGCCAGGGAGTCCTGAACAGCTATTTCATCCTAGTATGGGAATCACTGACAGTACGCACCAACCACCAGGGTTCGAGCCAGAACCTCCCGGTAACCTGCTACACGACAGAGTTTCCTAGAGTTTTAGTGAGAAATTGTGACCGGTGAGGTCCAACCAGTCAAGTATGAGAATGGATTTCCCAACCGATGAATTGGCTGGTGGTAGCGCAAAATGCATCACGAATTGGTAGAAGTTGGAATTCATGCACTGGTCATTGATTGGGTACGGGGCCCATTGGCTGACTGGTATACGAGCTAGCCTTGTAACCGACACGTCCTAGGTTCTAAACCTGGTGGTAGGTGCGTACTGTCCATGATTCCCAAACTAGGATAAAACAGCTGTTTAGGACTCCCTGGCTTTCAATTATTCTCTAACTGATATCAATCTGTGGTCAAACTCATAAAAAACAAATCTAATCCTTACAAAGCAACTCTTGAATAAGGATTGTGTCAAAAAGAGATATGTAAAACGTCACAGCAGTGATATATGGATAAAAAAGGAAGGTGAAATTATTACAAAGTTAGCTGAAATATTTAAATAGATATCAGTTTTGTAAATAGATTGTTCACGTAGGGATTTTCAAGTCGGTTATTCTTCCGCATCTGTTGACTTCATACTAATGTCACCTCAAATCGTTTCGGTTTCAGATGACTTGAGAATTCGAAAGTACAAATTAATGAACGTCAAGCGCTCTTAGGTTTTTAATCGCTCTCCAACCTGTTGCCCAGCTTGATATTACGGCCTGATGATAGATATTAATCGCTAGTTATTTCGAGTACTTCAGAAAGTCATGATTATTCAATAAGAATATATTTAAGAGCTGTTCAACTGTTACATACACACATTACTTTCCACATTTAATCTATGGTCACCTGGAATTATCCAAAGTAACTGCTATATGATATGTCTCCTGAAAGTAGAAGAACATGTAAAGATTGCCAGTTTCTAACTGTTAGTGCCTTTATTCGATTGTTCAAATGAGGTGAAGCCTCACAGCAAAGAATTCTGTGGCTAGGATATGCATTATGTATATTAAGTCATCCCGTTTCACTGATGAGTAGTAATATTTGAATTATGAATAGTGTAAAATAAACCTGAGAATAAAATATAACATCCATCCATAATCTTTGACTGTTAGATTAAGATATGTAGAGAATCATCTCACAGGAGTCCTTATGACGTTAAAATCATTTGATATATGACTCAGAATAATTTACAGTGGGAAAATGTTCAACTTTTCTCCCCTGGTCTTTATTGAGTTATTCTCCTTCATATAAATGAATGAGTGAACACTTCTCAAACGTTAATTTCATGTTAGTTTGTTAATTTAGCAAATCACAATGTAATACTCTAATAATAATGATAATAATAATAATTTGCTTTATTCCAAAACAGTACTTGTGATACAGAATGGAATTCTCAGCTATTCACTACAGTATTGCATCCAGTTTGTACATTAACAATAAATAAAATTCTACATAGATTATGGGTAATCTCAGCAAGTTTTGACAACAACAAAAAAGAGATAGAGAGAAAAAGGGAAAGAAAGAAAGAAAACGCTGTACCTATAAATGATATGTGTTGGAAAGACGAGATCCAATTGTTCTACTGACCATTTAATAAGTTATAGGTATCACGCCTAATGCTTTCTTCGCCGCACATAACATGAGCCAAGTATGGTATGGTTCAGTTTCTGTACTTGCTAGTGAGAGCATATAGTTTTCTATATATCTTCTGGTTCTGCCTGATGAGATACAAGGGCAGAGTTGTGAATGAAGAGGGTAGTGTGAGTTAGATAGAATGGATTTTGCCCATTTTTCACATGAGTCCAAGTGTCTGTCAACCAGAATATTAACAAGCAGGTCAAGTGGCACGTTGCTTACCCTGCTGACAACCTTCAACATCCTGCGTAATAAGATATAGTCTTTTTTCAGTAGCCCTGGAAAAACTGAGGGGGAACAATAGAGAATAAAAAGCAGGATGCAAGAGTTAACGAATCGTAGGAGTAAGGGTTGGGTTATACCAGAATGTCTTAACTTCTTGATGTAGATGGTAAGACGGAATATTTTCTTAGAAATCATCAAGATATGAGACGACCAGGAAGATCAGCAGATGGAATGACGCCAAGATGTTTAATTTCCGACTTGGTCCCTATTTCAGTGTCGTCTATGTTGCACACCTTGTGAGTTCTAACCAGTTTGTTTAGATCAGATTTGTGCTTAAAGGTGAAATTGACTGTTTGACGTTTAGGGGATTTAAGGTAAGACCGTTTTCTTGGACTACTGGCTGATTCCTGATAAAAAGCCATTTAGTTTAGAGCAGTCACTTTGACATTTGACATGATGAGGTTTACTCTAATGTTTTTAAAAGTTACTCTATCCATGTTCATTAACTCAACTTAAAAGCTCAAGGTTATAGAAGGCTAAGATCTGTGAAACGAATACTCTCCTCTTCTGTTACCACTCATTTTAAAGTTGTTTGACGCATATTTATTTCAGTTTCTTATCGTTTGCTGTATCATCTTTTTTTGGAAGCATGAATTCTAAGACCCACGTAAATGTGTTCACTGAGTTATTCTCTTTCACGATACCTGGGAGTGAGATCTTAATGAAAGGCTTCATTCTCTTTCTCATAACTTACTAGCTAGACATACATGTGTATTAGTGAGAGTTTGTTTTTCATGTGGATTTTAAATGAAAGATCTGAAGTTTTCTAAAAGGCTTAATGATGCACAAAGCCCATGAAATTGATGTTATCAATTCGTCTGCATTTTACTCAAGACGAGGATTAACGCTTACACGTGCTTTCTTATTTTTGATACTTACCGTTTTTTTATTATTGTTTATTTCTGTAAAACATTTCAGTATTCACAGTAAACAATCCGTGCTTAAACCGCGTTCAACACATCCTGGTGTAATTGTAATTGGTTCGTCGAATATACATATCTGTCGGAATCATTTGTGGAATCCTGACTCTGAAATGTAAGTCAGTTTTTTATTTGTGAAAAACAGTCGACCTCTTTGGTAGTTTGACCATCTGATTACAGTAAGAGTACATATGGGACTTACACTGAGATGGAAATTCAGATTCAAATCAACAGCCTCTAAGTTAACTGACTGGTACTTCTTTGAGTGAGCTACGAGAAACAGATGCTAACCAGTTTGAAACTCCACTTAGGTCATATAGAGTTGGATCTAATATTCATGTTGACAAACGGCACTCAGCAGTCAGATACACTATCAACAATAACAACGTTGTCTGCTTGGCCAACAAATCTAAACGTTCACTGCCTGACATACTGACGTCATTCAAGTTTTCGTCTCAGAATCAATCACCACATTTCTGAAATTTCATTTTCAAGCAAACAAAATGTCACGTTAAAAATGTATCATTCTGAGGACTTGGAGCTACAGCACTGTCTTGCTAAAAGTCGTTCGTTTTTTGGTGGCAGCTAACAGTGAAACCGTGAAAGAGTGTCCTTTCTTAATTTTCACTTATCACCTTGATGCATCTGCTCCCTAGTGAATGATAGTTTCCTTCCTAAGACGTATTCCAAGCATCCATCACTTCATACGCCAAAGAGTTGTCTTCTAGACTACTGAACCACAACACATAACTCTTTTGTAACGCCTGTGATTTAAGACGATTTACAAATGTAGCTAGAGAGTTCTTTGTGGAATAAATGTTCCTTCCGAATTCCAACAAGTAACCTTGTTTAATAATCACGGTATAATCGAGGCATCTATTTAAGGAGCTCATATGCCAAATGATCATTTAGGCCGATAAGGAACAACGAGAACCTGAAAGTTGGAGTAAATCAACTATTTCACTATTAAAAATTCCAAGTGATACTTATTAATAAGCATCTTATATATATATATATATATATATATATATATATATATATATAGTTAAATTCTTGTTGTTTATCTGTGTTACAATTGATCAGTTTACGCTGACACATTAACTTAGATGTTATTTTACTTAATGATGTATAATTCTAGAATATGTGATCAGATCTACAGTCTGACTACAGTATCGTAAGGAGGAAACATCACGAGATCACTTATATGTCATTTATTTGATAACATAGAATACGAAGAAGGAATTTAGGGTTTATATCTATAACCTTATTAAAAAATTCAGGCTGTAAATAGATAAACGACAAGTGTCTATAGACTGAAACAAATTATTATGGCTGAAGTCAAAATCTTAATGTTACTATAACCAATATGAATACTACTAAAAGTGTTATTCTCAGTACTATCACGATTACGAATAAGACTATTACTGTTCCTGTTACCAGCACCACTATTACTATTACCATGAAGGGTGAGTATTATATTCTTGTTTTAGTAGATGTGATGGCGTTAAAAGCAGCCTGGTTAAATAGTCAGTAAGTAGTGTGGTCAAAGCTCAGTTCTGGCAGGATAGATGACCACACAACAATCACAAGTGGTATTTCTAGTTAAAGCCAGCCGGAAGCTGGATCGAAGTGGTTCAGGCAACTTAACTAACAGGTTTTCTTTGAGATTTGGTGAGCCTGAAGTGATTTATGGTTACTCCACCACTTCCATCCAGTGCATTCAATGTTACACAGTTATATGTCCTTTCACAACTACTTGCATTAGTACTACTAATTCTCACAATAGTGGTAGTCAGTTTCGCCTGACGATATTACTCGTCATTCCTTCCCGATACTCAATTAACAAATCACAAGTAATATGAGTCATTTTTCTATCTAAAGCCTAATATAAAAACATGTGTACTTTTCTACAGCGGTGTATTAACCATTGGTTAAATTCCTTTATGGCTTTATTTTTTCTTTCATTTCAGTGAACTAGCTAGTCATTTATCTTCTCCAGATAAACAGATAAATGCCACATTAAATTTTTGGGGAAATTTACATGAATGGCGTTTAAATGACTGGAGTATGGTACATGTGGCTGTATTTAGCAGAATATTTGATCAGAATCATCGGTAAGGCTGTAATAATAAATTAAACATCTTTGTTTCAATTTTCCTATGGTTATACAGTCATTAAATGTATGAACAGTTTTTGTTAATGAGGAATTTGTCTTACTCCTTTTTATTCGCAGTGGAACATAGGGCTTCAAGCTAGAGGCTTGAAGTTTCGGTAGCAGTGGTGTTTATTTTTTACAGGATGGGATTGCTAGCCTGATGCCCAACCTTCCCTCTTTACTAGTATTATTACTGGCTTAGCGAGGTAAAGGAGTGCATTGGCCTGGGGAATTACCACTTGTTATTTGTAATTGAACTGTGAGTAACATATGATTTCTGGTGATAACAATGGCTGGAGAAGATTCTTTTTGGTAATATGAAGCTTGTGATGTTAAGAAATACAAGTAAATTGATCCCGTTTCCTTGAATTATCATTAATGATCCTTCCATATAATGTGAACCTTTTAAATGAGATTCCTGCACAAGTCAGTGATCCGATGTCAGATCAGTATAGTATCAATACGTTTCACTCTTATTTTCAACAATTCCTGAAATTATTACAGTTCACGACAAAAATGTATTACCAATTTAAAGTTCATCTGATGCCTTGCAGTATACTTGGATAACAAACTACTCGAATTTTCGGTCAGCAGGTGAATAGAATACTGGCCGAAGACATTGGCTAGGGGACGCGCTATATCGTGCATTTGCAGAAGTAAGAATTCATGGGCCATTGGATCCGGTCCCAGTGGCTTAATGGTCTACGAGCTAGCTCGCCTTGTAACAAGAAAGTCCTGGGTTCGAACCCTGTCGGTGAGTGCGTACTGACGAAGAGTCCCAAACTAGGACGAAACAACCTTCCAGTACTTCCAGCTGGTTTTCCAATGGTTCTCTAACTGATGTCAGCTCATAATGAAATCCTGTAACCAATCAAATCCCTATAAACCAACACTTGAATAGAATAAATTACTTTGGAAATAAAAATGAAAAACACATCCCTATACAAATTAGTGAATAAGTGAATTTCTCGGTGAAACTATCAGTCGTAATACGCTGCTGAATGTTTATAGCTTATTTTGTGTAGTCTAAGCGTGCTTCAAGATTTGATTTTCTCTTCCCTAGTCTATCAGTAATATTTTAGTCAGAAGTGTGCCGTATTTGATATAAGTATAAAACTTTGGCACTGTGATGTGCCGTATTTTTCGTTAATATTTATCAAGGCATTTTAAAAATATGTAGTATGTCGATATTTGATTTTCTTTATTGAGTTAATTGAGAGCTTTTATTGTTATTGTAAAAGACATCTTCAGTACTAACTCCATTGTAAAGCGAGTTCTTAACATTCTTATTGTCTTGATGACCCAGAATGTGAATGCTCAGCCCTGGTGAATTTCCCTTGATATCAATATTCATCGTTTCGTTGACTAGGTATTTAACCTTTCTACTTTGTAACTTGATCTTTATTAGTCGATAAACTTGATCTAGATCATTGTGTCGTTTGATTACAAATTAATATGTGTATCAGGATGGATGGATGGATGTTTATAGTTGTCCAGCACATCAATAAGAGTGGTTGTATGTTATGCTTTTTGAATACTAATTTGTGTTCGTGGGTGTAAAAATGAAGTAGATGTCCGGTTTGGCAAATAGTGTATTTTTCGAATTTGATTCCACCGAACGTATAGATGATCTTAGTTTTGTCTTCGTTCACTTCTCAGTCTTTTGATTCTCATAACACAGAGTGAAGTGACCTTTTGGTTTATTGGCCGCATCTCTCTAACTTGATTGATTTGATTCTTTTTGGCTGATTTGCCGCTGAAGGTCAGGTGCTTTTAATCTATCGTCGTCGTGTTGCTGTTTGACTTCCTCTTCTTAGTTTGTGTTGTTGAGGCGTTATCGTTGAACGAAAGTGAGATGAGTGAAATATTTATTTAGAAACCCTAATACATCTCATCCAACAGTTATACGACAATGCTGCATACCTCCAAGTAATCCACAACGGGAAACTTACGGAGGCCTTCGAAGTGAGGACGGGAGTGAGCCAAGGCTGTCTACTATCACCAATGATCTTCCTGATTGCAATTGATTGGATAATGCGACAGACAACGGCAACCAACGAGGGAACAGGCATAAAATGGACTGACACAAAAGACTTGGAGGATCTGGATTTCGCCGATGATATATGTCTGATTTCCCATAAACTGGAAGATATGCAAGTGAAAAGTAACAAGTTGGCAGAAGAAACATCAAAGATAGGACTTCACGTGAACATACATAAAACAGAGATGATGAAGATTCCTAGCCAATATCAACAGCAACAACAACAACAACAGACAACAATCAGCATAAGTGGGAAGAACCTGAAAGAAACAACCTCCTTCACCTACCTGGGAAGCATCGTCTCAACTACAGGCGGAACTGACGAGGACATCAAAGCCAGAATCGGAAAAGCAAGACAAGCATTCATTACTCTCAAATCTGTGTGGAGGTCAACAGCACTCAGCATCAAAAATAAGATCCGGATTTTCAACTCCAATGTGAAGTCAGTGCTACTTTACGGATCAGAGACTTGTCGCCTAGTCATAAAGAGCATCTCAAACAAACTTCAAACCTTCATTAACAGCTGTCTCCGCTCAATACTCAAGATCAGATGGCCAGAAAAGATCAGCAACAGGGATCTCTGGGAGCGAACCAACACAGCAGGAACCGATTGTGAAACAAATAGGCAGAAAGAAATGGAGATGGATTGGTCATACGCTGAGGAAACCATCAAGTGACATCACTAGACAAGCCCTCGAGTGGAACCCGAGAGGGAGGCGGCGAGTTGGTCGTCCAAGGGTGACTTGGAGGAGGTCATGCGAGGAGGAGATGAAAGCATGTGGACAGACCTGGAGCAGAGTGAAAAAGTTGTCAGAAAACCGAAGGCAATGGAGGTGCGCAGCTGAAGCCCTATGTTCCTCTAGGAACTAAAGGATACAATAATAATAATAATACAATAAACTAAACTAATTCATCTAAAAACTTCAATATAAAGTAGAATCCCAACAAATACGTAGAAGTGAAGTACTTCACTAATCAGATCACAAGTTGTCTCAATAAAACCGTTGACAATTCACAAGTAACAACGGCTAAGTAGAGACATAAAAAGCGGCAGTAAGTCAACCGACACTTTCTTCTAATTATTTGTCGAGAATATTTAAAGTCCACTTCTTGGTGAAGAAGTAATAAACAAAATACTTGGAATGTCGTTAAAACTCCCGAAATGAAATTCAAAGTTCGGAGTGTAGAAAATTGATAAATCCACCTGTAGAAATACATACACGTTTTAACTATTTAACATTCGACGACGACATAGAGGCAATCATGTCAAGAAGAAATGAAACCTTATGGATAGTCATGAAGACGGCTAAAAAAAGGCAGAGAACAAAGTAAAATTAAAATGGGCTTCTAAAGCCCCATGGTCGACTCGCAGCCTATGGGCAGAATAACAACTATAATGGGTGGTGATCAGAAGTAAAACTAGAATAAGGATAGTAAAATTTAAAAGGTTTCACCGATGAATAGATCGACTGTCGAACTACCAATTAATTGGCCGTCTGCTACATCCCCGATGAGATTTAGATTCCTGTTTTACTTTCTCCCATCAGTGTCATAGACAGCTTGAATTAACTTTCTATGTGTTATAATGATTATGTAGAGACAGCTTGACAGCTTATATTGTCCAAAGCGGCAACAGTTATTTGTTGTCTGCCCTCAACTATTGGAAATTAATCTGATGTTGGCTAGTGACTTGCTACAGGATGGAGTTTCCTGGAGTTCTAGTGAGAAGTCATAATCAGTGAGGTCCATCCATTCAAGTGTGCGGATGGATGTCCCACCAATGACGTTGGTTGGGGTCGCGCTAAATCACGAATTGATAGAAGTTAGAATTCGTGTACTGGCCACTGAATCGGGTTGGGTCCCAATGGCTGAATGGTATACGAGCTTGCCTTGTAACCGGAAGGTCCTGGGTTCTAACCCTGGTGGTGGTGGGTGCGTACTGCCGGCTTTTCCCAAACTAGGATGGACGAAATAGCTGTCCATTACTCCTTGCTGGTTTTCAATGGTTCTCTAACTGATATCAATCCGTGATCAATTCCTAATAACTATACAGATAAACTGCAACTTCAAATGTTGATTTTACCCATGTGAATTGTTATTCTGATTTGACTAGCCAAGCAAAATTATAACAATATGAAGTATTTTTAAGGTTTTTGTGAATTTTTACTCACTTTAGAGTAGGTTTCGTCACTAACCGACATCACCTAGCAAATTAGTGGGAATTATGTCTGTGCCACTATATGGCGAACTGACAGGAGTTAGAATTCACAGGTGTCTGAATTACACCCTGTGGATGAAGGATCATAAGACCTTACTCGTAATCTAAAAGTACCAGCTTCCATCCCCAGCGTAGTCGTTTGTGTTTACTGCCTGAAAGTCCTAGGATGAAACAGCTGTACACTGTCTCCTCGTTTTCATGACAAAATCTTCATTGATATAATGACATTTATTCTTCATTTTATTTTATTCCTTTGCGTTCCCACCAGAACGTAGGGCTTCAAGCTAGAGCTTAGCAGTTTTCGTAGCAGTGATCTCATTTTTACAGGGTTGGATTGCTAGTCTGATGCCCAACCTTCCCTCTGTGCTAGGCTTATTATTAGCTAAGAGAGGTTTAGTAGTGCGTCTGTGGCCGATGATCGAACCCCGGATCACCCAAGTGACTGGCGAGCATTCTACCTCTACGCCACTGACCCACCTTTTCGGACTGATTAACAATGGATATCACGATTTACTAAAATGAACTTCTCTAGTAGTGACAAGGCAACATGTCAATGAAATAGTCTACAAAAATCGTAATAAACACACAGACAGTAACTAATCTAAGATTTATCAGACCAAATAAACACTAAGGATATGTTTAAATTTCTTTTTTGTTTTTTTGTTTTATTGTCCATTTAGTTATACGTTGGCTAGAATTTCTTATCATCCATTACTGAAAGATGTAAATCTTAGAAGTGTATTTACTACAGCTAATGAACCACCATATGTACCAAGCTTTATACAGACCTCATCAATAAATGGCATAGTTTACCTTGGTGGAAGATTACCAGTGGAACAGAATAAGCAAGTGATTTTACCTCCATTAACTGATCCAATGAATTATTATCATGTTACTAAGGATATTTTTATTCCACCAATGGGAAGTCTAATTATACATCCTGGTGTTAAAATACTCTTTGATATAGGTGTTGGACTTTTTTCACAGGTAATGTTTCTGTTTTTGTTTTCAGTTAAACTTTGTTTGCTCTTTTATTTGAAGATTCGTTATTATTACCTCTCAGCAGCAAAAAACAAAAATTCTAGAAAATCTAGAATTCATGGTTTTCAGACACATTAATGTTGAAAGTATTCAAAATAAGCTGTCGTAACCTAGCAGCTTGGTGAATAGCGCTTTGGCACTTGAAACGATTGATCTAGGATTCGAGTTTCAATGTGGATAAAGCCACTCACTTGGAGTGCATGGACATCGCAATGATAGCTACCAAATTGAACGAAATCCATATCCTGAATTCCACTTCTAGCCCCTGTCAACTGAAAATGACAGTATTTAAAAGAGCCTACTTTTAATAAATCAATATTAGTGTAGTACACTGTGACAATCAAATACTTAAGCAGCTATGTGAATTGAACTCTTCCACATACCTGAGCCGCCTAGTTGAATTGCGAGGTTCTCATAGTCCTTCTTCATATCTTCATAATTAAGCCATGAAGCTCAAAGCACAACTGAGCTATAAATTTTCGTCATTATTTCAAAAGCTGTGACTCACAGATATTTTCTTGTATTATCACTGATAGTAGCCCTTGAAACCTATTTTCCTCCGTATCGTATTGTTTACTTTTGGAAATGATGTGGTCAGCCATTGATATGTACGTTTGTTAGCATTTGAATATATGGACGAACGACATCCCTGTTAATCAGTTTTGCCGACATTATTCAGGCATTCTCTGAACACTAAAACTTTCATTGGTTTGACCTGTTGGAAGTCTGCTTTACTACAGGATGTATAGTTAAGTTTGTGGACATTGTTTGATTATGTCATTTAAATTCAAGCAGGTGGATCTGGGGCTGAGGAACTAGTGCAGCAATCAACATCTAAAGTGGACTATCATTCTTAGAATTTTGTGCGTCGGTGGCACAGTGGTTAGGATTCTCGCTGACCATGCACATGGTCCGAGGTTCGATCCCCTGCCGTCGCACACCTGATATCTATGATCAGCCTGCAAAATTTGGGCTACCGATATCCATGCTGAAAATTCCATACTTGTACCAAAAATACAGTGCGGAATCAAGCTGTAATCAAAAATAAGGAATAAAAAAATAAAAATAAAATTGGCATAACTGAGCCTCTTCTTTTACAATTAATCAATTCTTGAATTTTATCCATCCTTCTTTTACCTAACTGCCTAAAGAAAGGCATCCTATCTTATATGGGACTTTGAAGGCCGTAACCAGGCTTGGTGGTCTGTCTATGGCCCAAATGATTAACCTAGTTACTGACAGGTATTTAAACTAATCCAAACAGTTTGTCAAGATCATCTTGTCAGTTACTGAACATCCCCCTTGTCTATAAGTTCTCCTTTGTATTTCCTTAAGAGAAACATCTGGAAATTTCACAAGAATTTATATTCGTAGGGCTAAGCACAAAAACTATGCTATACTTCATTTAAGAAGCGCCCTGTACGCTGAAAGAAATGTTAGCAAAGAACTAACTCTCCTAATTTTTGATTAGTGAATAGGTAGATGATATATTTCCCGTAGAAATGCTCCAGTATATATGTATATATTCATATATATTAATAGTGCTATTAACACAATCCAGCTCCTCCGATTGTTTCTTCAGAAGGAGAAACTGTTTACAACATTACACACTGAAAATTCAGGAATATATCAAAAACAGCCTTTGAAATAAAATGACTATTATTATTTATGTTTAAAATTCCTTTTTATCCTAATTATGTATGTAGTGTTCTGTCGTAGCTCCTTTTTTATACGAAGTTATCCATCAAATGTAAATTTACTACTATTGCAACTCACCGTGACCCAGGTTTACTATCCATTATGATCGTTGTTTATAAAATATTTTGTATAAATTCGGACTGAAGGTTAAGGTTTGTTTCACATTCTAACACGTATGTATATCTGTCAGTCTCTTCTGAGAAACCCTGAATAAAACGAATAATTTCCATTTCAACTGTATAGACCAAACGATCGAGTGGCTCATAAAATCCAGAACATAGGATGTGTCTAAAATACGACAATGTATTAATGATGAACAATAAGAAATTACAAATATCTCCACTTGTCAAAATGTGGTCTAATCCGCGTTAAAAATAGTTTCAGGGTGTCTAAATAAGACAAACAACACAGCTCTGTGTAAATCATTCTGTGACAAACAAAGAAGGCTCTAAAATAGGGGAAAAGGTTAAAGGATTAGAATAAATAAGGTTCAAGAGACAGTGGAACATAAAGAAATACCTATAATAGGCAAGTTTTGATCATAATATGAGAATTACCATGCAATTCTATGGGAAGGAACTGCTACGATTACATAGTAGCATTGCAGTTAAAATGTAAGCTTATACTTCTTATGGGATTTGTTTCGTGCGTATTTTAATGCGTAAAATTTCGTACCCTTTATTACCTGTCTGTTAAGTGCATTAGAAAGTACCAACAAGACTTTTCGCGTTGAAATTCATTTTCATCAACCGATTTTTTGCATCTCGACACATACTACTAATCAGGAAATAAGTAACTAAAGACTATCAGAAATTTCCTTGTGATGTTTACCAGAGTACTTTTTACAAGAAGATTTTACTCTTTCCAATATTTTTTTTCTTCACTACTTTTATAGGGTGAGATAAAACTTGAAGGAAGCTTGACTTCTCCAATTATATTTGATCTTTACACTCAAGACAATGAATCTAACAAGCCAAGCCATACTATTTCAAATCAAATCGAACTACTCAATGATAATAGCAATACTATACGTCTTTCTGGTGGTCACTGGTCAGTAGATAATAATCGTTATTATGGACGTTTAGAAGTATGGATTACAAGAGTTAATCAAACTACTGGTTTGGAATATGCTAATTGGGCTGTTGTTTGTGAAGATGGATTCAATGAACATGCAGCAATGTTAACTTGTCTGAATCTAGGTTTGGTTGCACACCCTAAAGTAAGTGTTCCTGTTTTTCTAACAGTGACGATAATTTTCGAATTGTCATGTTCACATAGATACATATATATATATATATATATATATATATTATTTAGGTACTTGGCGTTATATTGTGAATTCGTGAAATTTGATGAGGTGTTTATTTGGACGGCTTCAGAGTTTTTACCAGTCTGTGAGAATAAACAGTGCGACACAGTCATATCTAGACTTCAGCTATCAAACTTTATTTTCATTCTCCTTAAATATTTAGACATCTAAGTTTAACCAAATAGTGTATGACAATATTAATGTAAAGTTTTTCAATATACTCAACTCTCTAGAGTTTGTATTCAGGAATTTCAAAGACGAATATTTGCCTATGACATTCGCTGGCAGTCGCACTATATGGTACAAATTGTCAGAAGTTATAGTTATTGGGCAACCGGATTCCCTCGTAATGATTAAATGGCCAGTGAGCTCGCCTTGTAACCTGAAGGCCCCAAGATCGATCCTCTATAGGGTCATGTATGAATACTGATGAGGGCTACCAAACTAGGAAGAAATATATGTGCAGTATTCCCAGGTTTTTCATAGTTTTTTTTAACGCAAAATGATGCTCAGAAGATTTCAATATGGCAAACCTATTCATTCAGATATCGATAAAACACAAAATATCGAGCAAAGAATATTCTTTCGATAAATTCCTCTTCTGGCTCTACAATTTTATATATGTTTATATACACAAAATATTCAAGACTGGTAGTTTCATAGATATCTGAATGAATATTTTTGCTATATTGAAATCTTCTGAGCATCATTTTGCGTTAAAAGTACTCAATGAGTATTTGAAGTATTGTGCGAGGCTCAGTGAAGCAAAGACTACTGCTGACTTTATCCACCAGTGTACTGAAACAAACCGGCACCCTAAATCTTATTGGAAATCTCTACGCCGTAACAGAGTTCTGCCTAATGATAAGACACTCAAACGCCATGCACGTGACCAAATTGACTCAATTCATTCGTGTATTACTGAGCTATCGAAGAACGTAACAGAAAGGTTCTATGCTGTCAGTGAATAACCAGAAAACCTAAAGAAACTATTTTTAGATTATGTGGATGTAAGTCTGTCTGTTTTCGACATAGAACTTTGCACAAATGTGCGGAAGTTCAAGTCGCCACACTCCGTGTAGCACGCGAAGCAAGAGAAGAAAGTACAAGAAAAGCATAATAGAGACAGTGAGCAGAGGTGTGAGACAAAGGAGGAGTAACGAAGAACAAAACAGTTTCATTGGAGATCATAAGTCACAAGGAGTGGATGCATCTGCGCTAGCCACTGAGAACGATTTTGAGCCATGTCACCAATTGTTTCCAACCATAGATTTTTACCGTCCCGAGGACCCCAGCCTGGAAGTCTACACCTTCCTACGTGGCTTAGACCAACTGTTGTGGATTTCATTGACTGGTGCCAAGTTTTTGTTTGACCGCCGCTAGCTTTTTTCCAGCCTGACCCTATATCCGCAAACATTTCTCGTCGAGGGAGGCGATGGCTTGGCATACGTAACACATGTAAGTGTGAGTAATAGGAAAGAAAAGAAACGCATGAAGCTGGTGCAGAGCTTAGAGAACAAGGCACATGAAACAAGTTTCCTCCGAACCCAAATTGTTTTGTGTTTAATTTTTCGTATGTAAGACTTAGTGAAGTGGATCTACAGGTTCTATCGCTTGGCCCTAAATTTTGTGATAGTCATGTAAAAATTAACAAAATGGACGGACAAATTCATTTCGAAAGTCTCTACACCCAAACGGAAGGCCTAACCCCCTCATCAACGGAAGATGTTGAAAGACTCAAATCAACACTGGTCGACTGTTGCTATTATTACATGAATAGTAAACGCAATTCGTATAGTATCTTAACCAAGAAACACAGAGAAGCTCTGGATAATCTACGCAAAAATGAAAATATAATAATAACAAAACCGGATAAGGGCTCAGGAGTGGTCATCATGAACAAAACGGATTACTTTGAGAAGATGAATACCATTCTTAATGATAATCAAAAATTCCAAAAAATCTCCTCTTCTCTGGATCCGATTGAAAGGATAGAGAAACAGCTAACGGAAACATTGAAACGACTGAAACAACAAGGGTTCATCTCACAGAGTCAGTACACATCCCTTAAACCCACTGGAACTTTTACACCAAGACTATATGGCTCGCCTAAAGTGCACAAAGATGGTGTACCGCTTCGACCAGTGTTAGATATGTTAATTTCGCCATACCATCCTGTAGCCAAATGGCTAGTCGAAATCTTACAGCCGCTTCATACCGAGTTAGTGAAACACAGTGTAAAGGATACTTTCGGATTTGTGGAAAGGATAAAAGATTTAAATGTTGACAATAAATTCATGATATCATTTGACGTATCTTCCTTATTCACCAATGTTCCACTTATGGAAACAGTGGATTTTGTATACGAAGAACTCAAAAGACGAAACATCGATGTTGGCATTCCTATATCTTTTATGAAAGAGCTTCTCTTGAAATGTACAATGAATGTCCACTTTTTATTTAATAAGGAACTATATAGACAAATTGACGGTGTGGCAATGAGGTCACCACTAGGACCCATTCTAGCCGACATTTACCTTGCGAAACTAGAAAATGGGCCTCTGAAGGATGTTATTAGTGAACTCGAATTTTATTGTCGGTACATGGATGATACTATTTTGATTATGAAAAACGAGAAGGAAGCAAAGAGCATCCTGGATAAATTTAATGAGGTACATCCTGCAATAAATTTTACCATTGAGAAAGAAAAGGACTCTAGTATTCCATTTTTAGACGCCTTTATGACCAGAAAAGAGGATGGTACAATAAGAAGAAGTGTTTATAGAAAACCTACATCAACGGAACAGTACACACGTTTTTTCAGTTTTGTGCCGTTGAAATATAAACGCAATTTGATAAAGTGCCTGGTTCACAGAGCAAGAGCGATTTGCTCGGACGAATGTCTTGATGAAGAACTGAATAATATATGCTAAGTGAGAATGGTTATCCTGAAAAGTTTATTGATAAGAATATGAATTTGAAACCAAAGCAGCCGAAGTTACCAACAGTTCCAAAAAGGCCTTATTCTTTCAGATGCAGTTCCTTGGGGACAACACTAGCGAGATACTAACACAGCGCATTAGAAATGCGGTAAAAAGAGCATTCCCTGCTGCTGAATTACGTTGTATCTTTAAGACCACTCCTCTTCTGCGTTCGGGAGTAAAAGACAAACTGCCTAATTTCGCCTCATCCATGTGTATCTACCAATTTAACTGCTCCTGTGGAGCCAGTTACATAGGCCGCACAATTAGGCGTGTTTCTCGTCGAATTTCCGAACATCACCCTGCATAGTGGTTAAGTAAAAGACAAACAAAATCTATTCGTAGCGCTATTCCATCTCATTTTGTGGATACAGAACACAAGATTGATGTTAACCAGGCTTTAAGAGTTATTTACCAGATGCCAACAAATCTTAACTTCGCCTTAAGAGTTCGATTACTAAATATTGCTGAGGCTGTGGAGATCCACATTAACAAGCCTAATTTGTGCGTCCAAAAGAAGTTAGTTCAGACACTGTCCTTACCTTGGCCATCTAGGTTTGAATGATCCTCAATTTTTGGGGAAATTTCCTAATTTTAGTTGATATTTCATTTGCTAATATATCCCTATTATTATTATTATTATAATTTAAGCATCTTTAATGAACTGTAACTGCATTGATCATACTTTACAAGTCGATATCATTTAAAAAACACTAATATTGTTATTAACTACCAATCTAGAATATTCCATGTATATAAACATATATATAATTGTAGAGCCAGAAGAGGGATTTATCGAAAAGAAAATTTTTAGATAATCAGTTTCACAGCTTTTTGACATAAACTTTGTTCTATGGAGTTGGGTTTCACAGATTTTGGCCTAATAGCTTCAATAGTAATTCAACTAAGATGAAAATTGTTACTTTCAAAATATACTCTGATGATCTGTAGATTCAAGCTGCTTCTTAACAGAGGCGTTAATTAGGACACTTGCTACGATTAGATACTGAAAATAGTACAGTGAAAGTCTTTTTATTATAAATTATTTAAATTAATCCCAGCGTGTTTAGAAAATCAAACAAGATTTTTATGAACGTTTCGCCGTGTAAACCACAGCTTCTTCAGCAGATTTATTCGGACTTTTATTAATCATCAAAATATATAGTCAAAATTTTTTTTACATAAATTGAAGTCAGTTTATTTGAAGGTCATTTGATCATGGACACTTTTTACCAAAAGAAATATGTAAGCAGTCATTATGATGCTACTGCTGGAGAAGATGTGGAAAGAGGGCAAAGTTCCTGAGGATTGGAAGAAAGGATACTTATTCAAACTACCAAAGAAAGGAGACTTAAGTCAATGCAAAAACTGGCTCGGGATTATGCTCCTGTTCATCCCAAGCAAAATACTAAGCCGTGTCATCCTGGAGAGAATCAAACAAGCCAACCGGGATGAGAACAAGCTGGATTCAGGAGAAACAAGTCATGTATTGATCAAATCGCCACTCTACGGATCATCATTGAACAAAGCTTGGAATAGCAGTCACCTCTCTATCTCAACTTCATCGACTTTGTAAAGGCCTTCAGCAGACAGCGTCGATCGAGAGGTCATTTGGCAACTACTTCGCCACTACTGTGGGGTGCCATCGACAATTATACATCTCATCCAACAGTAATACAACAATGCTGCATGACAAGTAATCCACAATGGGAAACTTACGGAATCCTTCGAATTGAGGACGGGAGTGAGCCAAGGCTGTCTATTATCGCTAATGATCTTCCTGATTGCAGTAGATTGGATAATGCGACAGACAACGGGCAATGAGGAGACAGGCATAAAATAGATCCTCACAAAAAAACTTGGAGGATCTGGACTTCGCCGATGATATATGTCTGATTTCCCACAAACTGGAAGATATGCAAGTGAAAAGAAACAAGTTGGCAGAAGAAACATCAATGGTAGGACTTCAGGTGAACATAGGGAAAACAGAGGTGATGAAAATTCCTGGCCAACAGCAACAACAACAACAACAGACAACAATCACCCAGCACAAACGGGAGAAACCTGGAAGAAACAACCTCCTTCACCTACATACCGACCTGGGAAGCATCGTTTCAATATCAAAGCAAGGATGGGGAAAGCAAGACAAGTTTTCATTACTCTCAAGTCTCTGTGGAGGTCAACAGCACTCCACAGCATAAAAAATAGGGTCCGGATTTTCAAATCCAATGTGAAGTCAGTGCTACTCACTATATGGATCATAGACTTGGCACCACGTCATGAAGAGCACTTCAAACAAACTACAGACCTTCATCAACAGCTATCTTCGCTCAATACTTCGCTCATGATCACATGGCCGGCCAGAAAAGATCAGCAACAGGGATCTCTGGCTACGAGCGAACCAACCAGGAACCGATTGTGCAACAAATAGGCAGGAAGAAATGGAGTTGGATTGGCTGGCCATACTCTGAGATAACACGCCATCAAGTGACATCACTAGACAAGTCATTGCTCGAGTGGAACCTGAAAGTGAAAGTGGCGAATTGAGCGTCAGTGCAAGGGTGACTTGGAGGAGGTCATGTGAAGAGTAAATGAAAGCATGTGGGCAGACTTGGAGCGGGGTGAAAAAGTTGGCAGAAAACCGAACACAATGCAGACGAGTGGCTGAAGCCCTATGTTCCTCTAGGAATTAAAGGATATATGAATAATAACAGTAGTAATCATCACATATATTTGCAATGACTAATGTCAAATTGTTGTTGTGTTCAATCTTTAATAGTTGACTTGTGAAGATTAGATTGTATGTGTGTGTATGTATGTTGTTTGTCATATGGAAAATAATCCATGTAATATCCACGTAGTATCATTTTTATCACATATACATACACAAACATGGATACAAATCTAATCTTTACAAATCAACTATGGAAGAGTGAACACAACAACAATTTGACATTAGTCATTACAAATATATGTGAGGACTGCTTACATATTTCTTTTGGTAAAAAGTGTCCATGAACAAATGACCTTCAAATAAACTGACTTCAATTTATGTAAAAAAAATTTGACTATATATTTTGATGATTAATAAAAGTCCGAATAAATCTGCTGAAGAAGCTGTGGCTTACACGGCGAAACGCTCATAAAAATCTTGTTTTGATTTTCTAAACACGCTGGGATTAATTTAAATAATTTATAATGAATCAATCTGACTCGGCACTCAAATTATTCCGGGAAGTTCGTAACACCTACGGTCTGGAAACCTATAATCTTATTAGAAAATCTTTTAATTCTGGAAGTCATTGTGGAAGTAATAAATCTCAACGTACTTCATATCACTTCTGAATATCACTCGAAGAATCAGTTGACATAAAGACCTAAAGTAGGGCAGTTCGTCTGATGTTTGGCTCCCACTTATAGAATAAGTAATAAATTCCAGGATATGAAGAATAAGTGCGTTAACTTTCAAGATTATCTTAGACAAACTTAGATGATTTCGCTAATCACTTCACTGACGTCTCGTATTATTCCATTTTAATCTACTTTATTTATTTTTCATAAAAGAGCTGGTTTCCCCCAGACAATGAACGGAAAGCTGCCATAAAAAGAGCAAATGATTTACTAAATAGCTCAATGATTCAAATGGATCGTATGTCCTATATTGAGTGTCAAGGTCATGAAACTGATCTATTCGAATGTGAATTTGACAATGAACCCATTACCTGTTCGTCGAATACATGTTTCAATTCAATGGATTTAGTAATTCAATGTCATCGTCCCGGATGGACTGGAATACGTGTTACAGCTTCAGATCCTGGATCTCGATCAATTATTTCACATATTCACATAAATCATGCTGGTCTATTGGATTATGCAAGTTTAGAATTTATGCCAAGTTTACAGTTGGACTATTTTGGTGGAACTATAGCAAATTTGAATGTAAGTCATTTTTAAATAAATGGATAACAAGAAGAATTTAGAATGTCACTAAGAATTTCATCGCTTTAATTCATCTCGCTTTGAAATAATAAATACACTGGAATACTATAACGAACAAGCAAAAGTCTAAATGTGTTATTACTCATTCATGGGATATTTAAAGTCTACTGAGGAGCTATGCAAAGGAAATTAGGAAATGTGTTCCATCTCATTCTGCATCCCTGTAAGTGAGGGTATTCTCACCGAGACTCCAACTCAGTATATCTATTCGATGAGTCTAAAATGCACATTATGAATTCCCCTGCTATCTGCCCACAGGTTGACATCACTGGTATCATACAGTCGTCCATTCTACAAGGTGAGCTCGTTTTGTAACCAGAAGGTCCTGGGTTCGAACTCCGGTGGGTGCGTACTGATGAAGAGTCCAAAACTAGGTTGACGAAACAGCTGCCCAGTACTCCCAGGTTTTCCAGTGGCTCTCTAACTGATGTCAGCTCATGATGAAATCCTCTATGGAATAACAATAAGGACAACATACATGTCAAAAATACACAGAAAAAATGAAAAAACCAACAATATGGAATTTAAAACATCAACAGAGTCCCCATACAAAGCAAAAACCTCAGAAAACTTACGTAGAATTCTTAACAGTACAGAAATGAAAATAACATTCAAACCCACAAACTCAATCAGAAATAAACAAAATAATTTAGTGTATCTAATACCCTGCAATGACTTTCAAGTCACATACACAGGCTAGAGCGGTAGGGTGCGGTCAATCTGACAAGTGGAGCACAAAAACTTAGCAAAATCTAGATTATTATTATTATTGTTCCCTTGGGTTCCTAGTGGAACATATGGCTTCAAATGCACGTCTTCCTCCACTTGCTTCTGTCTTCCTTCTGCTGTACTTTTCACATGCATCCATGTTAGTTAGTCCATACTCTTTCAACTCCTCTTCACATGATGTCCTCCATGTCACCCTCGCACTGACGTCCCACTCGCCGCTTCCCTTTCAGCCTGGTTCCACTTGAGCAATGGCCTGACGCGCGCGATGTCACCCAGCGGCCTCCTCAGCGAGCGAGTGTTCAATCCATCTACACCTTCTCCTGCATATTTCTTGGTTGGCGATTGGTTCTTGCTTTGTTTGTTTGTTCCCATAGTTTCTTGTTGGTGATTCTTTCCGGCCTGGCCATCTGCTCTTCAGTATAGAGAGAAGACAGTTGTTGATGAAGGTCTTTAATAGCCTGTTGGAAATACTTTTTGGGACCCGCGCGCCAAGCTTCTGATCCGATCCGTATAGAAGAACTGACTGAATTGACGTTGTTTGTATTGAAAATCCAACCGAATTTTGTTGTTGATTCTGGCTGAGTGATGAAGATTTCCAGATTGGTTTCAAGTTGATGAATGTGTTTCTCACCTTCCCGATTCTCGCTCGATTTGAAATCCTTGTCCGTTCCGACTGGCTGTAGTTGAGAAAATGCTCCCTAGATAAGTGAATGAATGAAGTAACTAACCTTCTTCAAATCCCTCCCGTTGATGTTGATTGGCGCTTGATGTTGTTGTAGTTGTTGGTTGGTTATTTTCATCACCTCCGTCTTGTCTATGTTCACCTGTAGTCCTGTCTTCACCGGCTGCTTCTTCGACCAGTTTATCGGTTTTTGCTTGTAAGTCTTTGATTTTGTGTGACATCAAACATAAATCATCGCCGCGCGACATCCAGGTCTTCTAGGTTCTTCACGTCGGTAGGTCCAGGATATCCCTGTCTTCTCGTTTCCCACTGTCTGACACAGTTGACCCTAATAAGATAAGAAATCCACAAAAAAGATCGGCTATGACACTACATGCAATTACACACAACCTTACGAAAGGATGTGATAAGATGTTAGCCTTAAAATCTAATATAATAGGGTGTGGAGAGAGAGTGTGTGATAAAGATAGCCCTATTTATCTAATCAACTGAAAACAAGTACAATTCGTTCTACGAGCCTAACATGGGTCGATCATATCATTCCAACAGAGCAAACATCAGAAAGTTGACATATCTTAAAAAGATAAAACCAGAGCTTAAGATGCTGTTATTACTTGTGTGGGAGTGTCATACAGACAACGTGACCAACGGAATATTATTCTCACACTAAGAATCATTGTATTTATTGGTGTTAAAGTCTGATTACTATACCCACACTTCAGTACTGCACTGGTAATAGAATACTACATATGTTTGGACATTCTATTTTATGTCACTTAATATATATATATATATATATATACATATTGTTATGTACTGCTGCGAGTGGTTAATAGTAGTTTTCCCCGTCGCCAATTATGTCATGTACTCGTCGAGTAGTTAATAGTCCTGACGAGGAAAGAGGGAATTCAGAAGACCACGAGGTTTACGATGATACTTGTATTTCCCAGACAAGGAAAATAATTGTCACACAACTGTGTGAGTGGAAGGGTACTTAAATGTAGGAAATGTATGTGAACCAGAATAATGTACAAGTGTCTAATGCAAAAGTATATATGAAAATGGCTAATACACATGAACCAATAAGATAACGTCTTACCATGATTGGCTGTAATGTCATGTGATAACAAGGTCATACATTGTTTATTTAGTCAGTGGACAGACAAAAGCACATTGTCAGTTATAATGAAATATCAATCCATTTACACATAGCAAAATATATAATAGACTGTCCAAACCAGAACACACACATCATGTGGGTACATATCATATATATAGCTGTTTGATCAATGCAAAATATACCTTTGCTTTCGTGTCTTGCCTTCTGCTGTTTTACTTTTATTTTCATTCGATTATTATATACTGGACTCCATAAGTGTATTCATGTCTCAGCGTTAATATGCTGTCTGAATTTACAGTACTTTTTAGATTGTAGAGAAAAATTTCACATACCGTGAAGATGAATCTTTCTCACCATATCTGATGACTGAATGATGGTGACTAGTTGACTACCAGAAAACAAGGGACCTCTGACGGGTGTTCCTGCACAGCTGATAATCCTTCAAGACTATGTACCTACGACACCATAAATAATAAAGCCTAGAAGTTTTAATTCTCTACAAGGCATACATGTTATCACTGAGTCAGAAACCTAAGTTGTATAAAACTGATGAATTCACTAACAGCTTCGAATAATGGTCACTTTATATCTCGAATGAGCGTTTCACATATCGACTGCTTTAGTTTCTGATTAATCTATCGGCTGAATGATAATGCTCTCTCATCCACAACTCCTAAAAGTTCTTACCTATGAAATTCTGATAACTTCCAAAATATAGTGATACAGTTATTCGGCTTTTTTTTCTTAGCCTTCCCTAGCTGTTTAACCGATATCAGTAAATGATGACATCTAACTTTGCCTAGTAGAAAAGGATTACAAATGTGAATTAAAACTATTACCAGTTTGTGTAGTGATTACAAGGTATTCTCGAGTGTTTAAGCTATTGACTAGAAAATCGACGAAGACTAATTAATAATACTAGTCATGAAGGAAATGACAGCGCATCCGGTGAAATTAATTCACTGTAGGAATTACGCTCAAGTTTTCTAAAGGTTATTCCTTAACAAAAATAATTACTTTCTTTATGAGGAATCTGTGAAACTATCACCATAGAGCTTCTGTGAACTATATGAAATTTAACAAGGCACAATGAAGCAGACACTTTTAAAAAACACTGAAATTGGTTTAACTTATAAAATTGTCTTGAGTTCTCTGATAATTCAGCAAAGACATCTGAATTCACACTTTACACTAATCTTGGTTTAATTTTGTGATAAAAGGTTCTGTTTTACATTCTACTCCAACTTAGGGGTTCTTCAGTTTATAAGGAGAACCAAGTTTTTGTTCAGTGAAGAAATATCTCTTTTCAACGACTTCATTTTCAAGCTGTACAGTCGTATTCATGTTACGGAAAAAGGCATTCCTTGCACTAGAAATTGCTGTAAATATTGCATATATGATAAGAATAAAGATAATTACAATAATGTACTAAGGGAGTAGACTTGAAGTGGATGAATTAAAAAACTTTTTAAAAATTATTAAATGAGTGAACTGGTATAAGATTTTAAAATTGTAGGTCAAGTGTTGTCTAAAAGATTAATAGTGTGATGGTGATAACAGTAAAGACGGCGAAGGTGAAGTGAAGTGGAGTGAATTCAAGTGATAAGATAAAAATATAAAAAAGACATAACTATGACCAAGGTAAAGAAAGGGGTTTAGTAAAACGTTTTTGAACACATAATTTAGGGTTTTGTCCATGTATAGCCATAGCTTCGGCTTTGCATAAGTGGAGAAAACGTAAGTTTTTAGAGTGGTTGCATTTGGTCCTTTAAATAACTTCGAAGGGTAAATCGCGTGTGGTGGGTTGAATGACCTGACTCCAGAATATGTTCATAAATTGAAGACTTTTCCGTCCTATGCTCACCTTTCATTAACCAAATCTGGTGGTGTTCAACTACGCGTTTTACGGAGAACACGATGACAACGTCAGATGTAATCAGCTCCACACGAGAATGTGAATGAGCATATGCACATAGAGGTGGACATAAGCGGTAGTTCATCCTTAACTCATTGTCGATATTTCGGTTGATAAATACTAAATATTAAGTCAGTCTTCAGTTTTCCCTTCCACACAGACATTTTTTTTCTTTTCAAAATGTAATTAAAATGAACGCTGAGCACTCAGAGATGTTCAATTTGTGAGTAACTTCTTACTTATTGATTTGGCTTTTTCAATCAACGCGAAATCTTATTCGTTTTTGGTTGATTGCATTTCGCGATCCCTAGTGGCCTGATGAATATTGCTTTGGCATTTGAAACGGTAAGTGTAAGGTTCCACTTTTAGTAGAAACATTTAGGAATGCAAGTACATCTGTCTGATAAGTCCCAAATAGGATGATTCCACTGGATTTCACTTTGGCTACCACCCACTCAGAAACAGTGGAAATGTGTGTTCTAAAAGAGTGTGCAACGGTAAATTTAAAACACGTAACTAACATACCCACATTTATTCCTCTTTTTGGTGTTACTTTGTTTTCTCACTTTTTGGTCTAATTGCAAAACTTTCATTGTTCCACTAGACAGTATCTCCAGCATTTACTTCAGTGGTGGCTTCGACTGTAATTGACTTTCTTCGGAAGCTTGCTTCTTGTATTAATTTGTATTAGTATGCATAGTTTTGTTGACTTAGTATTTGGCGTTTTGTCATGTTACTTGTTCTTTACTGAATGGTAAATTTGATCTATGTAATTGTGTTTGTATAGTGAAGATTGATTCGAGTATCAGGCTTCTACGAATTCTCCAGAATTTTTAGTAATTCCAATGTTTGAAATTTTTCCCTTCTTATATCCCCAGTTGTCTACTTGTACTGATTTGAAGGAATACAAGTTATGCCTTTTTGACAGCTGATTAATGTTCTTGAATGCAGAGAAGAAGGAAACGTCCACTTTGTCCAGTATAGTATTTTTCACAGTTGATGCGATTTATCTTGTATATGAAGTTGATCTTTTCTCCTTTTGCTCTTTGATCATTCGGTTTGCTTACCAATGAATGTAGCAATTGTCTTGGTTTGTGTGCTGTAGCTATTCCTGGCAGTAATTTCAAAAATGTTCTTCATATGCAGTTTTCATGGACGTCTTTGTGCTTGTCATTTGATTTGAGTGTAGACATATTTCAATGAAATTGCAAGGATGTTTATTTTTCTTGAAGACTGTCAAAAGACATTCGTCTTCTATTCTCCCCAGAGCAGGCGTACTACAATACCTTGGCTTCACATGGATAAAAATCACTCTGAAGACAGCCGTTCACGGTTGTAAAGCAGGTCGGTTTTATCGGTGATGTGGAACCTCGAAAACAACTCACACTAAAGTTAATCCTGAAGATTTTGTCTAGGGGGACAATTAAAGCTTTACAGTCAAACTATCCGACCGGGAGAACACAATGGCACCAAAATATTCCACCTGAGCTACAGATATTCGCCGTCATTTCAACATAAACCTTGTTTATATTTTTGAACTATAAAAACCTTAAAGACAATGTCTCGTTAAATAATCTATGTCCACTAACCCAGTTACCTATTAGGAATTCTTCGTGAAGACGTAAATTACTTTCTGAGACATACAACCCTATTCCTCTCACTTCTGTTTGAATAACTCGGTAATCTTTTTTTCATTCCTATGAGGTCTGAGTGGAAAAAAGGCCTTCAAACTTTGAGTTTGAGTAGCGGTGTTGTCGACTTGCGGTGTGGGATTACTATCCTCATACGTAACCTCTCCTTTTTCCTTCACTTACTACCACCTGGTAAACTAGGTGGTCAAAAATTATGTCAGCTGGGAATCAAACCTGGACTACATGCGTGACTGACAAACATTCTATCATTGAACCACCGTCCCTACGTGGTATCACAAACCAGTATTCATAAATTCTTATTCACAGCCTAGTAAAAATGCCTAAATATGACAACTGAGTTGCCGCTTAGTACAGAAATAATCACCAAAGTAAAATTTTAGTAGATAACTGGTGGATGGTAACTAGCAGTGGAATACAGGATGCGCATTTCGTCCTGTTTGGGACTCGTCATCTGGATGTACTGCACTCCTTAGTGAGTGATAATGTTCCCACCGATGCTTGAACCCGGTGCCCATAATTTCAAACTCCAAAGCGTTATACACTAGACCTTTTGGGCCACGACAACCACGTCTTGTGCAACGGGTCATATTGATTATTCAATTGAATTGGATAGCGCTTTGGCGCTTGAATCTATGGGCACTGGGTTCGAGCATCGGTGGGAACATCATCACTCACTGCGGAGTGCAGGCACACCCAATTGGCGAGACCCAAATAGGATGAAATGCGCATCCTGGATTCCACTGCTAGTCACCACCCACCGATTACCTTCTAATCACATGCCTAGACTTCGTCAAAGCATCTGCACAAGAAGCCGATAGGTCAGCCTGAGACCAAACACTTCAGTCCAGTCAGTCGACGGGAAAATCTAAAATTCAATCAAATATAATTTCAGTTGACAATAGGATTCAAATGCGAGAAATAATCATTTTTGATTTTCTCATATTTATTACAGATTACCAACAGTTTATCTGATGGCCTTGTTGTTCGCCACAGTGACCCATTAAATGGTGTAACAGTGACTCATAGTCAATTTATCAATAATTTCGGTTCAGGCATATTAACGCATACTCCATGGTTCAATATAATCAACTGCCAAGTGACAGGCAGTCAAACAGATGCTGGAATTCATTTCAATCCATCAATGAAAACAAAAGATCGTATTTTATTTCATGGTGGTATTGTGCCTACACTGACGTTATTCAGAAATTTCCAAGATGATATAAACACTTCTTTTAATCACAGACTGACAACAGTTAAATCATTACCTCAAGGATGGAATATTGTAGAGACTTATGAGAAACTTCATCCAACAGGTATTACATTTGTTAATGTACCTGTCGGTAAGAGTATTGAAAAGGTAAGTTGCTCCTCTTTTTTTTTACTTTTTCATGAGACACGTTTTATCAAACCGTTTTAATTTGTTTTATCTCATTTTTTTTTAATATTTACACAACGGGAAACTTAGCGATGCGTTTAAAGTGAATTCAGGAGTAAGAAAAGGCTGTCTGCCTATTATCATCGATGATATTCTTAAGTGTGTTAGACTGGATCATGCATCAGACCGTGAGTCGAGAGCAAGGAGACAGGAATACACTGAACCACCGATAAGAAGACTCTAGAAGATCTGGATTTAGTGTGTGGATGATATCTGTCTAATGCCACACAAACTTGGAGATTTACAGGTGAAAATCAACAAATTGGCAGAACAACAAGCAGGCAGCGAAGACAGGACTGCAGATGAACATAGATAAGACGGAAGTGATGAAGATAAACAGCCAATAGTGACGATAACGACATCAATCAGTATCCACCACTACTCTAACCGAAGAGATTTGAATGAGGTAACTTCCTTCGATTATCTAGGAAGCACTTTTTCCAACCATAGGCGGAACGATTATGTTGTGAAAACCAGCCAGAATCGGGAAGGCAAGACACGCCTTCATCAATCTGAAATCAGTTTGGAAATTCACTGCATTCAACATAAAGAACAAAACTCGGATTTTCAACACAAATGTTAAGCCAGTCAGTCTTGTATGGGTCAGAAACCTGGTCAGAGTGTCACGAAAAAGAATTCCAACAAGTAACCAACCCTTATCAACAGTTGCCTTCTCTGACCCCATGCTGAAAATCAAATGGCAGGCCAGAAAGAATTAACAGCAAGAAACTATGGGAACAAACTAACCAAGAACCTATTTCTCAAAAAATATGTAGCAGAAAATGGAGGAGGATAGGGCATATACTGAGGAGACTGTCTAATGACATCGCACTCTACGTCATCGCTCGAGTGAAATCCGAATGGGAAACAACGATTGAATCGTCCGAGGGTGATATGAAGGAGACTAGTGCGAGGAAGGAATGAGAGACTATGAGCAATCGTGGATCTAGCTGAAAAGGACTGCAGGAAATAGAACAAAGTGTAAATGTGTTGTTGGACACCATCTAATAAGCGCCTTTTTGTTCAGATGACTGTCATCCCATAGCCTGAGTGATAAATCATTCACATTAATTAATGCCGTCTTTCTGAAATCCTGTCTACGTTAACAAAAAAAAATGGTTTTTACTCTTTCAGTAGAGGATGGGAGGAGACAGTGCTTTGCTTGCTGTTTGGGACTCGTCAGCTGAATATACCTGCTCCTCAGTAAATGATATTGTTCCTACCTGTCAATTCAAAAGCCAGTGTTATGTACTAGGGTAGTCAGCCACAATGCTGGTAAATGCAGTATGCATATATCAATGGGAAATAGCAGTCATGAATGAAAAATAAACCAATTTTCTGAGTGCTTAACAAAAAGAAAAATAGCAAAATAATCTGTAAGATGGTTTATTTACTTAGGTGCCTTACATTTTAGCACTGTGTCTACATTCAGACAACATCGCTGGAAGTCTGATATACTCTATATTAAGTCGTTTTAACTGTTATTCCGGCTATCAATCGAAGAACACGTGTACAGCACAACAATTCTTCCACTCCTTCGTTGTGGCTGTGAGATGTGGCCATAGGAAGTAAAAGATTCGAAGAGACTAGCTGTCTCTGACCATAAGTGTTTGCGTCCCACCTCCCTCGTTTTGGTACAATGTAGTAAATAATAATAATAATGGGGTTTACCGTACAGTGTTGTGTGAGAAGGGAAAATCAATAGGTGAAGTTGTGAAGCTACATTGACTGAGATGGCTAGGACACGTGTCGTTACACAGACCGAGTCATCGCCTCCCTCACTGAGCAATGTTAGCTGACAAAAAATAGGGATTGGAAAAGGAATAGAGGTGGTGAGATCAAAATCTGGTACCAATTCACGAAATCTTTGACAGCAGGCTTGAGATACATAGGGAAATGTAGTCTGCTTGATAGGGATCGTCAAGATACTGAGAATAAATGATTGAAGATCATTGGTGATACACCTCAAAACTGTTCACTTTTTGTCTACACTTAGCAGACAGTTTTGTGCTTTGAAATTAAAATTTAGACTCCAATGGGATGGTGGACACTTTGAGCAATTTTAAACCAATGGGACAGTTGTTAACTTCCAACCATCAAAACCCAATTAATGTGAAAACATGCTCTCCTTATCACTGTATTTATCTATTTAAATAGAAGTAAACACGTCACTTTTATCCTTATACATAAAATTAAGCGTTATTACTAGGTATTTTGTGAACACTTACTAATTCTTCTTCAAAATTATGTATAACTGTCACTTTGGAAAAGAATCCGAACTTTCTAACTAATATCTGTGAAATAGAGGCTTAACAACAGGGAAATAATATTCATATTCTTAGTCGTTGACCTTGTCGTCAAAATTATCCCGACCAGTCAAACTGCTTTCCTTGTCTATATGACTTATCTAACATATTCACAACAAAAAACCAAAATTCGGATTCTCCATTTCCAAATTACGAAGTTCAAGCTGAGATTTCACCTGAATTTTTTTTAGATAAGGAACTTGTTTAGATCAGAATAATGTGATCAGCTTGATAACATTAATGGTGACCAAGAACAGTCTCAGATCAGTCGTATCAACGATTAGTGCTTGCTAACCAGATGGAAGACTACACAGATCCCTTTCAGATAGCATATTTAAACCTGGATAATTTAGGTTTTCAAGGGAAAGTGTGGTGAATTTTCACCTCGACATGCGTAAATTGCAAATTGCGAGCTTAACTTATGGTGTCACTGGTTTGCTCAAATAAGTAGCCGAAATTCAGATGATTTGGAATGATTCAGCTCTCTGAGCTTAATCAAACTGGGTACACCTCTAATTAAATCGTCCCTAAACAGACGAAACGGCTGTCTGGTGTGCAGACCACTTCAATCTATCTAGCAAAAACTACCGATGGATGTGAGTGGTGCACAACTACTCATGGCAACCAATCAATAGTGTATAAAATGCAAATCATCGTCATTTCACTGTGTTTTCTTTTTTCGTATTGACATTTTCTTTTCTTATCGTTCTTTCTCTTAACAAACAGACAATTTATAGAACTGAGTTAGCAGCCAACGATGCATATCATCTACATCAAATCATTATTGATTTACTGGAAATTCCACAAGGCAGTATTCTTCCGACTAGTCAACAACAAGCTGACAGTTATCCCAAGGCAATTATTGGTCCATCAATTACTCTGTCGAATTCAATTCTTCCAACAATGGTTGACAATAATGACAATACTTCTAACAGCTTTACAAAACGCACATTTCTCAATGAAACAAAAGAAGAACTTATTATTTATGATTCAGGATTTTTAAATTTTAATCCATCTCAAGTGTATAACTGGAGAATACCAAGAGATTTGACACATTTTCCAATTATATCATCAAATAACAAAGTGATTCTTGAATTACGCGTTAATGGATTAAAATCTGGTCAATATTTATTTGCTATTCAAACTAGAAATTTATTGCCTCATCAAGATTATTCAGAAAGACGGATAAATAATGAACGCCTCCACTACACTTCTGTTTCGGATAGACCAAAAATAAACTATTTGAATTCACGTTATCTAACTGGACCAAGTTTCCGTGTGGAAAATACACTTTTACAAGATAATTTAATCGGTGCTATTTTAAATCATTACAGTGATCCGTTGGATAGATTTGGAAATCAATATTGGCGGCATATACATGAAGATTTCAGCTTTCATAATGTTAAAATCAGGTAAGCTATCAGGCACATTTAAAGACTCAACAAAGAGACTCTTTTCAACAAAGAATTTATTATCAAGCTGTACAATCGTATATATATGGTTTTATAAAAAAAGTATATCTGGTGAGGGATTAAGTCAAAGGTGTGTGTGTGTGAATACATGAAATAATAATAGTAGCATGAAATGCAATTAAAATATTTGTGATTATAATCACAGTTTAATGTCAAGTGGCAAAATAATTAATGTCATATATAGAATAATGCATAAGGTGAATAGATTTTGGAAAGAGGTACATTATTATAAGATTAGTAGACGAATTTAAAATGTTGCATAACATGGTGTGAAATTTGATAAGATAGAATTCAATATTGTAAAAATAAAAAGTATACAAATTAATAATTTTGGATTTGCAATTACAAGTGGAACAAGTGTAAAAGATTCAGAGGGAGAATAGGGATAATAATAATGATGATAATAGTAATAATAAAATTAATCGAAGTAATAATGGAAAGGTACATAGTATAACAAAATAAATAAATGTCTATCCCTCTATGGCCAAGCCAGAAGTAGGGACTATACGTACTTCTTTTGTACACAAAGGTCTGGCTCAAAGTCTTGAATCGCCAAGGCCTACGCTGTCTTTAGAAGTCTGTAACGAAGAAAACGCGGGAAGTTACCATGAATTCCATATATATGATCTTGAAATCATGGTCTAGGGTTGACCGAGTGACAACAGGGAACGTCTTACTGACCCACTCGACATTTTAAACCCAAAATTGTTAAGTTGTATACTTTTTATTTTTACAATATTGAATTCTATCTTATCAAATTTCACACCATGTTATGCAACATTTTAAATTCGTCTACTAATCTTATAATAATGTACCTCTTTCCAAAATCTATTCACCTTATGCATTATTCTATATATGACATTAATTATTTTGCCACTTGACATTAAACTGTGATTATAATCACAAATATTTTAATTGCATTTCATGCTACTATTATTATTTCATGTATTCACACACACACACCTTTGACTTAATTCCCTCACCAGATATAATTTTTTTATAAAACCATATATATACGACTGTACAGCTTGATAATAAATTCGTTGTTGAAAAGAGTCTCTTCGCTGAATATTGTGTTCTTAATGCTACAATGGGAATTATTAAATTACATATAAAGATGCCTAACATTCATTAATTTCTCAAATGTGTATTTAAAACAGGAGTCCAGTAAAAAATATCCTCCCTTCTAATAACTCTGACTATTCTCTGAATCGTTGTAAGGATATAATGTAAGCGTAGAATTTAGATACTGTAGTAGAATATAAATCCATATTAGACAACACACTGTGTCACACTATTGATAACTGAATGAGATTTCACCCAGAACTCATTACTCACAAATATATCAATAAGTTTACACGACTTCGTAATTTGATTTCTTTTTCCTTCACACCACCAACTGTTATTCATTGCAGTTTTCTATATATCAGGGATGGGAGTCGTGTCATTTCTGTTGCATCTCTTTTGTACTGATTCAATGAACAAAGACTAGGTGTTTTATCTTCCACCCTGTCCCACCCTATTGTATGACTAGATGCGAGTAAATTCATTGCGACAGCAGAGTCATTTTTCTAGATTATTAAACTTAGCATATAACTGGAACATAGAAATCTAGTTAATGCTTAAAATAATTCACCATGCTAAGTTAAATAATTTAGAAAAAGAACTTGACCACTGAAACGCATTCACTCACATACAATAACATATTAGGATGGATAGGGTGAACACATTATAAAGTAATATAGTTAGGTGGAAAGACAGGTTAATCACCGAATATTTGTTCATCGAATCAACACCAAATATATGCAACTGAAATGACTCAACGCTTATGCCGGATATATGCAACATTGAAGTAAATAACAAGCGGGGTTGGGGAAATACATAAAGGAAACTATGAAATAATGTGTATTCATTGAAATGATTACGAGTAATAAATTCTGTTTGAAACTCCAACTAGTTTTGATTACTGTATATTAGTGAGTTATAGAGAGAGACTGTCTAAAGCAGTTTTATACTTAAAGACTGATTCCAATGTAATCGGTTGATGGATGAAACTGTAACAAAGCCTAGGTTATGGAAGCCTCTGGCTCTAACTTAACACTTAGAGATTACTACGTAAGAAGATAGTTTTATCTAGCTTCCTTCTGAATGACATAACTGTCTCTACGTCATCTAACTAGTTTTCCAGGTGTCTTTTTGTTATGTACTCGTCGCTAAATTATTATTATGTACTGGTCGAGAATTTAATAGTCCTGACGCAAGAAGGCGGAAATCAGAAGACCACTACATTTGCGATGATACTTCTATTTTCCAAGCACAAGGAGAAGCAATAAGTGGTATCACATCAAAAATAAGTGGGTCACACAAGACTGTGTGAGCGAAATATATATGAATGTCCAGACAAGTGTGTGAACAAATCAATAGACAGTCTTAACATGAATGGCTAATTATAATGGAGTGTCGATCCATATATACATAGCAAAATATAGCAGACATGTCAACAATCACACATATAATATGGATATCTGTCACCAAGCAACGGACTGTCAACAAACACTCATGTTATATATAATATAAGGGGAGTATACATTGTTAAAGGAGACAGGTTCATCAAAATGAAATGGTCACAGACTAAGCGAGCAACAGAAAGAGAGATCACCATACCCACACACATATATATATGTGGATACATATCACTTTTCATAGCAGCTGAAATAAAACAGGAGGCGAAAGTGGTCGAACATTGTTTTTATTTATGAATCCGGTAATGTTCTTAGTTTTCACATCAACTTCAGTCGTCATTCTATCTACTGCATTGAAATCAGTCCGTTTAAATACGATCATCTTGGATGGCCTCAACAGTAACAGGTCTCTTTTTCTTCTCCTTATTTCAATACTGCTGCATATGAGACTAGAAAACCACAGTATGAAGCTAGTGTAACTATGAGCAGTCAGTTATGTATTGATCAGTAACATAACCACTGGTTGATAGGAAGATTTGTTAGGTCAATAAGTAAAATGAAGTTATCCTCTTCAACCTCCTTCCAAAAACTCACCGTGTGCAACAAAAATGTTTTAAAATCTTTTACTTTCGCAGTCTTCCCAACTGAATGAGAGGTAGTATTTCCAGTCATCTCTGTGGAAATAAATCAAACTTCTAACCTCCTCAAAGATCACATGATACCTCAAAGCATTTTAGTCCGTTTTCGAGACATTCGCTCAGTTCAAACTAAATTTCATCAAGGTCTATTTCGCAAAAACCAAAATGCTCAGATTAAGGTGCGTGACCTGCTTGAAGTAATTCGGTTGACTGAACTAAGTCAGTCAGAATACATGTTTGCTGAGTAGGGCTCAGAACGAGGAAAACAGATGCAGGATGTTCAGACAGTCTTGGTTTGTCTGACTACTAACATCAGCCAGTGGCATGTTTTACCATCCCTAATTTTGTTTCAATAAAATATAATTTCCTCATGATCGCACTGTCGACCAAATTTAGGATCTTCAGGCTACGAGGTGAGCTCGTTGACCATCCAGCCACAACTAATTTAAGCGGAGAGAAATCAGTAAATAATAAGAAGGGAACAAATCACAGTATAATCACCAATGATCTCACTTCTGATCTATTTCCAACAAAACTCTGAAATATGAATCTTCAATTTTTCCTGAAAAACAATCGTTTAAGTAGTCATATTCCCATGAAGGTTTACACCTGCCTAATATGTCTTCAGTGCAACTTCAAACAAAGTGCCACAGTTCAGTTTTCTTGTAAATTACATCTAATTAATGTAATAGTGTAATTATATCCCACATCAGCGTGATGATGTTCCACCCACATACTATTTCCCTTCCGTTAGTTAGCTTGTTTAGATACCTGAAGTCACATGTGACCCCAGAGATAAACATATTCCTGTAGAACTTTTCTGAAATTTATTGCAAACATTTGAACTACTTATAAGTAGGCAAAATTCTTACAAAAATATATTTCCGTAGTGAATATTTCTTACCTAACTTCTTATAATTATCCAATTTCAGAAGAAATCACTACACCGGTGTACAAATCAACTCAAAAACACAATTCACCCATGAATGGTTATCTCCTCCTGAGAATGCAGAATTCAGACAGTCAGCTGAACGTCTCTCATTTATCAATTATACTATAACAAATTGTGAATTTTCTTATAATGCCTATGGTAGTCTATTAGTTCAGCATAATCCTATAGAATTTGCAAATAACATTTTATCTTTCTCAATAATAGATAACAATTTCTATCAGAATGGTTTACTTAATAATGAAACAAATATGGGCAGACTTCTGATTTCACCAATGATTATTACACATGGGTTAAGCATTCACCTACCCTTTATCTCAAATGATTATGATTGGCGTGATGAGCCTACAGTCTATTCCCATCATCACCATCACATTGAACTGTTGGACAATCAATTTAAAACAAATCATAATTTCAGTATTCAAGTCTCCGGTTATACTGGAAACATAAAAATTCAAAAGAATCAATTATTAAATAATTTATGTTCAAATATTCAGATGAACAATGGTCAATCAAATGGTCTGTTACATTTATATGGTATGGAACGTGAAATTCTACTCATAGATAATTCTTTTATTGAAAATACAAACTGTCAATACATCATTCGAATACATGGTGAAAGTCAGCCACCTCAGTCAATGGTGTATCAATCAATTATGCAGAGAAATATACTTCATGATAATGAAATATGTATGCGGAGAAGAAATCCATTTATGAATCCATGGGAATGTTATGTGATTGGTGTTTTTGGTACACAGAATATTACACTTCGATATAACAGTTTTGATAATTGTAAGGTGAGTTGTTAATGCGGTAAAAAGAAGCGTACGAACACTAAAAATTTACTAACGGAAATTGGGCGTCAGTGGCACAGTGGTTAGGACGCTCGCCGACCATGTACATGGTCCGGGGTTCAAGCCTCGGCCAACGCACTCCTTTACCTTGCTAAGCCAGAAATAATGCTGGTAAAGAGGAAAGGTTAGGCATGAAGCTAACAACCTCATCCTGTAAAAACAAACACTGCTAAAGAAACTTCAAACCACCAGCTTGAAGCCCTATGTTCCACTGGAAGGTGAAGGAAACAACACAACGGAAATTGGAATATCTTTCCCTTACTTATCTTTTCTTTAAGTTGCTAGGAGTCTATTGATTTTTAAATGGCTTCCCTTACAGATCGATACAGCATGTTAGACTACTGATCACTAGGTAGCTATTTTTTTTTCAGCATTGGCAACTAACTTTTTCATACCCAATCAGAACTTTACACACTTATTTCCTTTGATAGACGAACAAGGCAAGAAGATCACAATAAGCAGGATCAAATGATGTTTGTATATTTCGCTGATTCCTGTCATTTGCGCACAACCATAAATAGCTTTAATATACAAAAAGTTCGGATGCTTTAGTTTCAAGCGTGATCATGGACCGATGTCAGAGAACGATTGAAAACTAGGAAGTACTGAAGAGCCGTTTCGTACTAGTTTTGGACCCTTCATCAGTAACCACTGAAGAAATTACCTGACGATTATGCTAAAATCATGAATTGGTAGAAATTAGAACTCATGAGTCATTGAATTGGGTCCCAGTGGCTGAATGGTCTAAGAGCTTGTCGTGTAACCGGAAGGACCTCATTTCGAACCATGGTGCGTGCGTACTGCTAAAATGTCCCAAATCAGGACGAAACAACTGCCCAGTACTCCTTAGTTTTCAATGGTTCTCTAGCTGACATCACTCCATGGTCAAACATCAAATAAATCGAATCCCTACAAACTACCTTTTGAAAATAAAAATTGTTTTTAAGCTCCTTAGGGTGCATAGAAATAATTAAAGAATTGTCAAATTGACACTCAAATACCTAAATTTTGACTCAAAAGCAATTTTAACCTTATCGAATTTCTATCTTTGTGCCATTGAGTACTACGTAATTTACAATTTTTATTTTCTACTTCTAAAGCCACTTCTGAGTAATTATATCAATTATGTCACCCCCCCGCCGCATTACTCAATAACAGACCACTATATATTTTTGTAAGTATAAATACGACTGTACAGCCTCTGAAGATGATTTCATCGATAAAGAAAACTTTCTTCGCTAAATCTGTCTTTTATTTTCTTAATTAAAGAATATTCTAGAATTACCAAAGAGTTGTCAAACCAACCATGTACTTATGTAAGGGCCGAATAATTTAGTTGAATAGCTGTCAAAAAATGTCCTGTCAAGAGTGTACGCAAAGAAAAAATTGGGTTAAGAGATTATACTACCAAAACAAAATGTAATTAAAATGACCAAATTCACAAAAAAAAACAATTGAGGAATTTTTATTTATCATGAAAAGGAGAGATTAACAACGGTTTCCTCCAGGATGCACAAATTTGGCTTTAATCTTTTAGTGGTATTGGCTCCAGTGATGTGTACCAATCTTCAGCTCCCTTGAACTTAAATTATCTTAGAGAATTTTTTCGCACCGATTGCATGACTGCTGTCTAACCAGTGAAAAGCAGTTGCATCACTAAGTCTCTCAGAATGTGGTTAGATATGCAGTCACAAATCCTGCTTTCTGTTCGTCTGATGTATCTGTTTTGGCAGGTGGTACCGTTAGTATTCACGAAAAGCATCCTGATCCAGTGTCTTACAGTTTGAAATGTCCAAAGTTACGTAATATCCCGTTCATCATAATTGTCATTACCCTGAATACAGACTTGATGATTTCAACAGATCGGAGTAATAGTAACCTCCTCGCAGTACCGCTTAAAAGTTGAATACTCGATCATGCATAGGAACTTGAAGACACTGGTACAAAACTGAGATAATTAGAATAAAGTGGCTTTTAAGATCTACTTGGTCTACAGTAATTCTTCACCTGGTACATATGGGCGATAGAAATTACACTGAAATCAACTTTCAGACATCTGTGTGTTGTAAATCAATCAGCCGGAAGATTTTTATTTAATTCTAACCACCTTACCTGGATTTTTCAAATTACACCTGCCACCATCAATTGGCTTTTGGACTTCCACATCACGATGACTCAGTGAACTATACTGACGGGTGAGATAGTGGTAGGGCTAAAGGACGTTACAGTTGCAGCATGATTTACTTGAACCAGAACAGTGATGTGAAGATAAAGTGTTAATTCCATGAAAAGTGGGTGCAGCCACGCTCCTAAAAGGAAGGCTTGAAAAAAGGTTAGCCCTTCTAACCAGTATGATGATCGGTACTAAGCGGTAAGCTTTTTTAACGAATCCTATCACTTCTGAACTAGCCGTGCACTATGACAACAAGCATAATGTGTTTGGACAGCGAATACTGCTCTCTGTGTTCGTTTACTTTTAGCCAATTGACTAATTAGATCTACAAATCATCGTGTCAAGTTCCTAAAATACATAGACCGCGAAATTTTGTGATTTGTGAGTATTACTGTTCACTATTTATTGAAATCCCCTTTTTGGTACTTCAAATGATGAGTTCTAGGTTCGATTCTCGATGGGAACATCATCATTTACTGAGATGTAAGTGTATCCAGATGATGAGTTCTAAATGGAACGATATGCAGCTCCTGGACTTGACTGTTAGCCACCACCAATCAAATAACATTAGAGTTCATCCTGTGAGCCGTTTAAAACTTACTACTGCATAACATTTATTACACTTATGGTTTCAGACTAATATAGACAATTGAGATATTATCATAATATGTTTAACTTAAATTGTTATTACTCCAAAGTAATGGAAACAAACATTGTAGGAAGAATTGAATTCATTTCATTCTGATGTGCTCTAAATCTTTTGCATACTCACTTAGTTAATGTTTTGTACCGAAGTTGATAGCAAAGAGTGTCCTTGTCAAAGACAAATACCTTTATAGTTTAGTTCGCAAAGATCGGGAAAGCAAGACAAGCTTTTATTACTCTCAAGTCTCTGTAGAGGTCAGCAGCACTCAGCATGAGAAATAAGATCCGAATGTTCAACTCCAATGTGAAGTCAGTGCTACTCAATGTATTGATCAGAGACTTGCACTGCGCGTCATGAAGAGCACCTCAAACAAACTACAGACCTTCATCAACAGCTGTCTTTGCTCAGTACTTAGCTCAAGATCGGATGGCCAGAAAAGATCAGTGATAGGAACCTCTGGGAGTGAACCAACCAGGAACCGGTTGGGAAACAAATAGGCAGGAAGAAATGGAGGTGGATTGGCCATACTCTGGGGGAACCATCAAGTGAGTGACATCACTAAACAAGCCTTTGAGTGGAACCCGAAGGGAAGTGGAGAGTTTGTCATCCAAGGGTGACATGGAGGAGGTCATGTGAAGAGGAGATGAAAGCATGTGAGCAGACTTGGAGCTAGGTGAAAACTCTAGCAGAGAGTCGAACGCAATGGAGACGTTCGGCTGAAGCCCTATATTCCTCTAGGAATTAAAGGAAATAATAATAATTAGTTCTCTGATGAAACCAGCAAAAACTTGCCCGATAGGATGTGGTTAGTACCAACGATATGGACTAGACACATAACACCTTTTATTTTTATCTAGTGACCAGCCAACGTACCTATTACATTCCGTTATTAAGTGAATTATGGGCCTAAATACTTCAGTGGGGACGTCTCTGACTGCGACAGTGTGGGTTGAGAATTCGAATCTCCGGGTTGAGTGTCAACACACGGAAGATTGCAGACACTCCTTCCCAATGCATCCTTAAAACTACGGAGCCTAGATCAAAGGTTGACTTCTCATCTCCTCCAACTACCTAACATATTTTCACATCAATTAATCAATATTTCAAGGTTGACTATAAACTGACTTCATTTAGAGAACCACGGAAACCCGGGAGTGCTGGACGTTTTTTCCTTTCTTTCTCAATACTCTCCATCAGTATACACCCAGGACCCCTAGATTACAAGGCGAACTCGTAAGGCATTCAGCCCCTGGAGCAGAATCCAATAGTCCATGGATCATAACTTTGACAACTGACGATATACCGCCACCGCCATTCAGCGTCATCACTGAGTATCTGTCCTTATGCCCAACTTGATGAACCCCGGTGGTTATAGCTTCTCACCAGAACTTCAGGAAACTTCGTCCACTAGTCCGTCACCAAACAGCAACAAGACTAGTTTTCAAATGTTTGTCTATATCGATTTCATTAATTTCAAGTGTGACCAAGTATACTAACAGTGATACCATAAAAGCGCGTTAATTACACACAAATTTTGAAGAATTGGTTCTGTAGGGATTTTGTTTGATTGAATGGAGGATTTCATCATGAGCTGAAATCAGTTAGAGAACCACTGGAAAACCTGCAGGAATTACTGACCAGCTGTTTCGTCAAACTAGTTTGGAACTCTTCATCAGTGCGCACCAACCCACCAATGGAGTTCGAACCCAGGACCTTCTAGTTACAAGACTAGCGAGCCAGCTCGTAGACCATTGAGTCACTGGGAACCGATCCAATGGAAAGTCCTTAAATTCTAACTTCTGACAATTCACGACATAGCGTGACCATTTGGCAGTGTCTTCTTTGATGAGTTACTGCCTCATCTTCAACCTGCTGTACCCTACTGGTCACGGCTTCCCACTCTAACCCCAGTGGTTCTCTAACTGATTTCAGCTCATGATAAAATCCTCCATCAAATCAAACAAAATCCCTACAAAATCAATACTTGAAAATTAATCGGATGCTCACTGGTGACTGGCCCTATTTAAGCAGTTAACCTGGAGTTCTAGTGAGAAGCCGTGACCAGTAGGGTACAGCAGGTTGAAGATGAGGCAGTAACTCATCGAAGAAGACATTGCCAAATGGTCGCACTATATCGTGAATTGGCAGAAGTTAGAATTCAAGGACTGTCCATTGGATCGGGTCCCAGTAACTCAATGGTCTACGAGCTGGCTCGCTAGTCTTGTAACTAGAAGGTCCTGGGTTCGAACTCCATTGGTGGGTTGGTGCGCACTGATGAAGAGTTCCAACTAGTTTGACGAAACAGCTGGTCAGTAATTCCTGCAGGTTTTCCAGTGGTTCTCTAACTGATTTCAGCTCATGATGAAATCCTCCATTCAATCAAATTTTGAACTCTGCAAGTTCACTTCATTCACACGATGTTTACTGTTTTCACTTTGAAAGGCTGTTTTTTTACAAAATGTAACTTTTCGCATAAAATATCTCCTAAATTAATACCTGTCTATCAAACCAAAAAGTATCTCATCATGTATTTTAATCAATATATATAAATATATTGATTATTTTTCTTCAAATCTTACTTCATCATTTCTCAATCCTTTTATGCATACATATACTAGATGAATTCAAAAATTATTGAACCATGTTACGAATTAACTGCTGGTTTACAGTCAATACAGATACCAAGCTTTTTCGATGCTCAGCACAATTATTGGGGTACTACGGAGGTGACAGAGATTCGTGGACGAATATTTGATTTTGACCAGTGGAATAGTTTATCCTTAATAAACTTTAATGAATTTCTTATCTCATCTGATGTAAGTGTTGGGGAATGCTTTTTTTTAATTTTAGTACATTTTTATTGATTGATGACCCTGAAAGTAAAAGCCAAAGGGCAGCTTGCTTAGAACTTGGGCTACCGAAAATCTTCATCAATACATTACACATATTCTTAAAAATAGTAATATGCTTTATTCCAAAATAGTACTTGTGATACAGAATGGAATTCTCAGCATTTCCCTACAGTATCGCATCCAGTTTGTACATAAAATTCTGCATAGATTATGGGTAGTCTCAATTTTGACAACAGCAAAAAAAGAGATAGAGAGAAAAGGAAAAGAAAACGTTGTATCTATAAATAATAGGAGTTGGAAAGACAAGATCCAGTTGTTCTACTGACTATTTAATAAGTTGTAGGTATCACGCCTATTACTTTATCGCACAGAACACGAGCCAAGTAGGGAGTGTATGGTTGAGTTTTTGTGCTTACTAGTGCGAGCATATAGTTTTCTATATAGTCTTCTGGTTCTGCCTAATGAGATACAAGGGGTGGTGGAGTTGTGAATGAAGATGGTGGTGTGAGTTAGAAAAAATGGATTTAGCCCATTTTTCACATGAGTCCAAGTGCCTGTTGACTAGAATATTAACAAGCAGGTCAAGTGGCACGTTGCTTACCCTGCTGACAACCTTCAACATCCTGCGTAATAAGATATAGTCTTTCTTCAGTAGCCCTGGGAAAACTGAGGGGGAACAATAGAGAATAAAAAGCAGGATGCAAGAGTTAACGAATCGTAGGAGTAAGGGTTGGGTTATACCAGAATGTCCTAACTTCTTGATGTAGATGGTAAGACGGAATATTTTCTTAGAAATCATCAAGATATGAGACAACCAGGAAAGATCAGCAGATAGAATGACGCCTAGGTATTTAATTTCTGACTTGGTTTCAATTTCAGTGCTATCGATGTTGCACACCTCGTGAGTTCTAACCAGTTTGTTTAGGTCAGATTTGTGCCTAAAGGTGAAATTGACTGTTTGACATTTAGAGGTAAGACCGTTTTCCTTGGACCACTGACTGATTTCTGATCAAAAGCCATTTAGTTTGGAATAGTCACTTTGACACTTGACAGGGAAAGATACAATCAGATCGTCAGAATATTTAACAGAATTGATGTCATTTGAAGATAATAAGTCATGCAGAAATAAAGAAAAGAGAAGTGGGAAGAGTACAACACCTGTTCACTTTGTTTTAACTGACTAGAATATGATCACTAGTGGTATTATTTACCTGTGCGAGTATTTAAAGTGTTTGTAACTTAAACTTGAGAAAAAGCCTTATCCTGGATGACAGATAATCTCAAAAAACACGAGATAACTCTTCCTGGATTGTGTCCTTAGATTATCGAATGTACTCCTGAACATTTTATAGTTGGCATTCAACCAAGTGTCGTGAGTTCCTCGAAGGAGAAAAAGAAGAGATTTCGTAATGGATTGATCAGATAGAGCTGTGGAACACGGTCTACTTTGAAGGTCGTGGATGAAGAGAAAACATCATGCAATAAACTTCACTGAAAATTCTGTACATTATATAAATGCTGTTATTATTACTGATCTAGCCCCCACCCAAGCTTTTTTTGGGCAATCTAGGACATAAATGAGCATTTGTTCCAGAGAGAATAGCTCTTCTTTTCATTGTGATATGCAAGGCCTACCACTGAATCCAGGTAACAGCTATCAGTTGTACACTAGAATAAAGTAACTGGAATCAGACACCTGTAACCTTCACTAACCATCAGAAAAAAACGGATGCACTAGTGTATTTGCTCAGGACAACAAACACCAAAATATCACAACAAATGAACGGATTCCTTGTGAGGTTTTAGAAGTATTCTGATGTTTTTCGATGAATCGACAAGAAAGAAAAAGACTGAAAATTATGTACAACAATCAACACTGACATTACTTGTGTTGGTGAAGGCTGACAGACACCGCAAACCTGCAAATCTTTTACTTTAAGCCTCATTAATTTGATATACCTGATCCTCAGAAGATGAAAATGTTCACACTAGGAGTGAATTTAGCATTCGTTATCTGCAACTCTAAAGTTACTGAGTCAAGTATGACACCTCTTTTGCAGCGAAAACTATTTGATGCTATTTGTATATACTTGTAACTTTCCCTTGATACTTCTGAACCACTATTAAATGAACAATGTCACCTTAAAGGTCAAGAAATTATTGAGTCATCCTCTCAAAGAGTATTTTTTGGCCAAACCGGTCTTGAAACAATAAAACGGGAATTTGTAAGTAAAAAATAATATTCGAAATTACCAGGCTAATGAGCGCGTTTGGTAATGCTTGGCGTTTAAAGTTATGCGTGCTAGGTATGAGATTCAGGGAGAACACTATTAATCACTGAGAGACAGATACACCTAGATGACGAGTCTCAAATGGGACGAAACCTGAGTCTTTAATTCCACTATTAGCCAATACTAAACAAGTAACTTTGAGTTAACAGTCATGTTAATATCAAATAGTCTGTTCAAGGAGCCAATGCATCTGAATTAGGCCTAACTATTCGGTTCGTCAGGACACCGGGACTATCTGAAAGTGGTAAGGAAGGAAACGTAGCAAAATACCCTAAGCATAAAGAAGAAGAAACAAAAGAAATGGTTCACTCAGGATACCTGGAAGCTGATAGATGAGAAAAAGATGACAAAGTTGAAGATAAACTGCTGTGGAGGTGAACAATAAAAAGCTATGAATATAACCTACCACACTGTGAACAAACAGGTGTAGAAAAGTGATAGAAAGAGCAAAAGACACTCTTGCATCTCAGTGAAAACCAAAGCAGAACAGATTAAAAGTGAAAATATCACCTCGCAACACCATCAAATCACCATGTCTATATCCTTACAGAGGTAAACTCATATGAAAACAATGAAAGATAGTAAAGGAAACACATTCACTAAAGAGATTTAACACAGGAAACGACCGACTGATAAGTCTAAATGACTTATGAATCTATATTCACCTAAAACTCGTCCAGAAATACCACCACCGTCAGTGGACACAGGACTGCCACTGAAAACCGATCCCCTCAAGAAAATCGGAAGTCCTGAGAGCCATAATCTTAATGGAAACCACAAAAACAGCAGGAGCACACGGGACTACCACCACCACCCCTTGAAAAAACACTGAAAACGGACCCAGACACCTCAGTAAACATGCCCATGCAACTACTGAAGAGAATTTGGAAGAAAGGAAATATATCAGATAATCAGAAGGGGGGCTACTTTTCACACTCTCAAAGAGGAAAAACTTAAGCCTTTAAAGAATCATACTTCTGACCACTCAAAGCGAAATATTAGGCTACATTGTCCTACAGAGTCTAAAAGAATAGAGAATTCAGCGGGAACAACCGTATGATGACACCGCATTCCAAGTAAGTAATTCACAAGTGAAGTACATGAATTGGAGACAATAATAAGCCAAGCTTGCTCACTATCACTAATGATCTTCCTAATTGCAGAGGGCTGGATAATACATCACACCGCATACGCCAAAGCGACTAGAAGACTCTAGAAGATCCCAACTTCGCAGATGATTTGTCTAACATAGCACAAACTCGAGGATTTACAAGCAAAATCCAACAAGTTAGGAAAAGATGAAAGCAGGGACCCAAGGTGAACATTGAAATAATCGAAGGGGATGCAGATACTTAACCAACAACAACAACAAGCACCAATCACCGTAAGTTGGAGAAAGCTAAAAGAAATCGTCTCGTTCAATTGCCTGTGCAGCATTACTTCACCTACAGGAGACATAGGTGAGAATTTTAAAATTCTCGGTTGAGTCTAGAATGCAAGACAGGCATTCGCTACCCTGAAGTAGGTGTGAAGATCTACAACTCGTAGGGTAAGGAAAAAGACCCCAATTTTCTACAATGATATAAATTCGGTGCTTCCACATCGTTCAGAGACTTTGTGCACATATCAAAAAGCACTTCTAACAGCCTGCTACAGATTCCCACCTACAAGTTCCTTCGCTTGGTCGACACTGAATACCAGATGTGCGATCAAAATGGATAAACAACAAGGAACTCTGGCAGACAGCAGACCAAGCAGCAAGCTGTTGTCTAGTAAATATGCTGAAGGGTATAGAGATGGACTGGACATTCTTTGAGGAAACATTTAAGTGAATGGGAAGTGACACGATTTTTTGTGTCCAAGTTCAACATTGTGGAGACCATAAGTGAAGGAAATGAGAGCTTGTGGTCAGCCTCTGAACCATCTTAACGTAATGGCAAAAAGCCAAGTGTGACGGGTATCTACCTCTGAGGCTCTGTGTTCAACTCAGAATGCAGAGAATGAATAATAGTATACAATATTCTCTGAAATTTCACCTTTATTGAATAATTTTTCAACTGTTCATCAGTAAAAAAAATCGCATCTTCGATTTAATCACACGAATTAAGAACCTCTGATAAGCTGAAATTTCATAGAGTTTCGTAACATACTTATTGAAATGTTATTTTTCTAGTATGGAAGCTGTTTTGTTGCATAAAACCATTAAATATTATTCATTCACTAAGATGACTAAGGACCCTTTAATTTGAGTCTGTTATAAAATTGATTTTCTTGTGAATAAACGAACGTCTTTATAATTTTAGGTCATGATACATCCAACGCCTTCAAAAGTCTTATCATCATCCAAACAAACAGTTGAGCTAAAGAAGAAAGAACTGTTGGAAGGACGAATAAAGAAGGATTTATTTATTCCACTTCGCATCCAACCATATAAAGTGAGCTATTAAGCTGTTTCTTCTTCTTCTTCAAATAATTGGACCAATGGTGACTAGTAGTGGCATCCAGAATGCACGTTTCGTCCTATTTGCATCCTAGGGTTTCCGAACATGATTCTGCATGTTTAAGCAAGGTTTATTAGTAGCGCGATTTCACCTCATCTTGTAGACAGTGGACATAAATTTCATGTTTACAAAGCATTTAAAGTTATCTATCGTATCCGACTATCCCTAGTTTCGCCTTACGAGTTCGTCTTTTACAAATAGTTGAAGTCATTTAAATCCAAGTGATGGTTTGTAAGGATTTGATTTGTTTCAGGATTTCATTATGAGCTGACATTAGTTAGAGAACCATTGGAAAACCTGGGAGTACTGGACAGCTGTTTCGTTTTAGTTTGGGACTCTTCGGCAGCTATGTCATGAATTGGCAGAAGTTACAATTCAAGGACTATTGGATCGGGTCCCAGTGGCTTAATGGTATACGCGCTGGCTCGCCTTGTAACCGGAAGGTCCTGGGTTCGAATCCCGGTGGGTGCTACTGCTGAAGAGTCCCAAACTAAGACGAAACAGCTGTCCAGTACTCCCAGGTTTTCCAATGGTTCTCTAACTAATGTCAGCTCATGATGAAATCCTGAATCATTTAAATCCACTAGAAGAAGACCAACTTATGTGTTAAGAAGAAATTCATACAGCCACTTTTCTTATTTTGGCCATCATTACTTGATTATAAAAGTCTGACAGTTTCCCTTCCCCTTAAGCCTTTTAGAAGCAATAATTATTCTTACTATCCTATTATTCTGCATTTTAATTATTGCATTAATTTTCTTAGTATATTATCACTATATACGTGTTTTGAATTGTATTCGAATTGCTCTTAACATCTCGATATTATTAAAAAAGCATCAAAGTTGTCGATAATGGTTGTTCTTTAATGAACTATGTGTAAATGCAATTGTAGATCTTGATGAGGAACCTATCAAAAAGAGTATTCTTTGGTCAACCCTTTTTCTCTTCCATTCATCGCTGGTTTTGCATTTCTTTGAAAATACTTTTTCAACTCCATTTTTCTATCTTATTTCCTTTGTAGATTATGTCTGACATAACTGTAATGCCCGGTGTGACGCTTCAAATCGAAGCCGGAGTAAGATTAGAATTTGCACCTCATATAGGCCTGCTGGTTCTTGGTCGAATAGAAGCCCATGGAACACCAAATAACCCAATAATCTTCACAAATTTAAATAGTGAACAAACTGATAACAATAAATTCACTCCAGTCAAAAAATCCAAATATGTATCCGTTAAATTCAAGAAACCCAACATAGTGAAAAGTGAACAAGTAATCGATAATGATATACCGCTAGGCAGGATCACTTTGTCTACACAAAATATTCGATTAATAGGAGGTATACAAGTAAGTTATTGAGTAATTTTTCAAGAATCTTTTTATCTACTCATACCGTTTCAAGTAGTTAGTTTCGTTTGTTGTAATTGTGACCGTCCTTAACATCATCCAGTCTGAAATGGACATTTATTTCGGTAACGCCTGCTTAAAAAGAAATGGTTACTGTGAGGCACAATTTTTGACAGATCAGAAATCATACTCTTCAGCTTTTAATACCGCACGCCTTCAGATCTAACCACCACTTTATTACAGGACTTTCAGACTGAGTAGTGCTTTTTGGCCTTCCATTAGCTTTAATATTTCATTATAAATATTGTACCAAACAGCTGGCTTTCTTCAGCAGCACTCACTTCATGAGGAGCCTTCACAGTTAAATATATGTTCCGCTTTCAAAAATTAATATCACGGTTTTGCTCACATCTTCGGTATTACGCTACTTTTGTCCTCCGTACTGTGCACTTTTTCCTTTCATATTTTCTAAGTTGTTTCACTAGCATCGTTCACTTCTTCGTCTTTTCACCATCGAATCCATCCTTCCAATATTCAATATTCTTCCAGATGATGTACATATTTACATATGCATCTGTTTACTACTTACAGATCCTTTGAGTAGTACACGCCATACCATCAATCCTTACATACAATAAAAGTGTCTCATATCCTTAGTTCAACCAACAAACACAATTAAATGTCAAGATGGGAAGAACATAAAGAAATATTTTAGTATACACACACACACACCACTGACGCTAAAATTTTAATTAAAAATGGATCAATACACAAATTACTGAGCAGAATCTAACCATTAGTCTTTTACTGATAGTTATAAGTGAAATAATCAAAGGATGATTTCACTTACTGAGCTAACAACATCATTAGTACCAAAAGTATTTATCATGAAGCGAGTGCTTTGAAAACCACATTATGTTCAATGGGTGTTCTACTGAAATATTCAGCTTACTGCTATATGCACACAACTGCTTACCTTCATGACTTCAACATCCTGACAACAAGTAATGACGTCAAGATGTCGAGTTGTTCAGAAATGATGGAAAATATATATACTAAAATCAGGAGGCATTAACTTCTGGATCGCAATCTGTTGATTACATGACTGTGAGATCACAGATTTTCTAGCTGTACTTTAAATGTGTGTAAATGATAATGAATAGGTTCAAACTACAATGAGGTAGATTGCAGACCTTTATCAACAAACAACTGTCTTCGCTCTCTACTCAAGATCAGAGAGCCGGGCCGGAAAGAATCAACAAGAAGAAACTATGGGAGCAAACAAGCAAAACAAGAACCAATCGCCAACCAACAAATATGCAGGAGAAAGTGGAGATGGATTGGACACTCGCTCGGTGAGGAGGCCACTGGGTGACATCGCGCGCGTCAGGACATTGCTCGAGTGGAACCAGGCCGAAAGGGAAGCGGCGAGTGGGACGTCAGTGCGAGGGTGACATGGAAGAGATCGTGTGAAGAGGAGTTAGAAGAATATAGACTTGTATGGATGCAGATGAAAAGTACAGCAGAAGGAAGACAGAAGTGGCAAGCGGAGACGTGGAGTTGAAGCCCTATGTTCCACTAGGAACCCAAGGGAACAATAATAATAACAATGAGGTATTTGGGGCATATTAGCTTTCAGTCGCCTTGTACTTGATTTTCACCTATTTCCATAAACTCCCACAAATTACGCTCGTGCCTACTAACATGTTGTGACTGAAATATAAGTCAGAGTATTTAATCAATGAATGCTGATATCAAAGATTTTCGGAGAGCGTTATGAGAAGACAAAGTTTGTCTGAAAAATTTGATGTGTTGCATTTCTACGATACATTTTGAACAACCTGATAACACCCTGCCTCCAAAAGAAACAACAATATCCAAGACAAGGAAAACTGCTAACCAAATGAACTTTCTGGGTAGTCTAGAATGAACCGTCAGACAATGATGGAAATCCTTAAACTCAGTTATAGAGATAAACTGTGTATCCAAAACCGAAAAAAAAAGAATCAGAATGGAAACAATTTTGGTGCGCAAAATGAAGACTGCATGAAAGTGCTATTGAGAAAAATAGGAAGCCTTCGAAACCCAATATACCTGAATAAATTGAGGAAGAAACTTCTAGGAAGTCATTTAGAAGACGAGTGGTTTCCTCAACGATGGATGCAGTCAGCAAATTTATGGAATCACTACAAAATTTTCTATACAAGCCAAAATAATCAGTTAACAGATAATGTGAATAATAAAACATAATCCAGTAAGCAAACTTTCCCAGTTGCTTATACCAATATGTTGAGTACTTTGACTTAATTGAGGTCATAAGGCATCTATAAGATATTAAATATTCGTCGAATCTCACGGTATGAATCCTCTAATCTCCTCATATTTACAGAGAGTTATATTTGAATATGGCTGGGAGATTCTCGAACCATAAATAATGATAGCCGATTTGTGGATAAAGAATAGAGAAGTATGTCATTTGATGATTCGTCCATGAAATTCGCCGATCTACCTGCATGCTTTTCTTTCATTTCCTTTTAAATATACTGAGTGGTAGGCTAAAAACTCAATAAAAGTACAAGTGAGTAAAGGTTATTTTTGAGGAGTTAATCAAATTAACTAAAACAAGATGAAATTTAATAAACTCCATACATTATGTTGAAGAAAAACATCATCCAACACAGTCACCCATTACTGAAACAATCAAGTTCAAGACACATAAATAAATTCATCTACACAAATAGTGTAACAACAGAAGACAAGGGCCAGACAACAGATCGTTTATTTACGAAATCAACACATACTTATAGATTTTCATGTACATTATTATAGATTATTGTAAGCAAACAAATACAGTCTTCTGATTAGTGGTTTATCGTTGAACGTTAATCTTTCATCTCTTTGTGGCCGTTCATTGTATGTCAGATCATCTATATGCCGACTGTATTCGCCTACGCAAAGTCTTCTGTGGTTGGTTGTTGAATCAGTCTTTGTTCGTGTTTTCTCATGACAAATATTGGGGACGTAAACATAGACGTAAATTACTGTCTACCAATTTGGTTAACAGTCAGTCCTCACCAAAAAAGGTGTATAGGTTTGAGCATTTTTGAATAACAGATGTAAAGGGAAAATAAATATCACATCTGACAAAGTAAACAAGTGGAGTAATATGTGATAAAGTGAAATTCTTCAATTTAAAGATACCACTTCAATTGCATAGATGATTTCATCATGAGCTGACATCATTAGAGAACCACTGGAAAACCTGGGATTACTGGACAGCTGTCTCATCAGCTTAGTTTGGCTCTCTTCAGCAGTACGCACCTACCCACCAATGGGGTTCGAACCCAGGACCTTCTGGTTACAAGACTAACGAGCCAGCTCGTAGACCATTGAGTCACTGGGACCCGATCCAATGGCCAGTCCTTGAATTCTAACTTCTGCCAATTCACGATATAGCGCGACCATTTCGCAATGTCGTCTTCGATGAGTTACTGCCTCATCTTCAACCCGCTATACCCTACTGGTTACGACTTGAAAATACCAAATTAACTTAACTTGTGAGAATATAAAATCAGAGATCATATGATCTGAAGGAAGTAAAAGTTCTCAAAGCCTCGGAATTATATAATCTAGTAAAATATATCTGTAATAAACACTTTAAAGTGATAAATGAATGGTATTCATGAAAAATCCCCATCAAAACAAGTGATTCAGCAAGGAGACTCACTTCAACGGATTTATTATCAAAGTGTACATTCGTATATATGTATGGTTTCTTTTTTTTATGAGAAATTATTTCCGATGAAGGAAATGAATCATAGGTGTGAATGCATAAAATAATAATAGTAGTATGAAATGTAATGTCAAGTGGTAAAACCATTAATGTCATATACAGAATAATTCATAGGATGCATAGAACTTGGAAGGGGCATGCAATTATAGGATTAGTAGGCAAATCGAATAAGAATAAAAACATTACGTAACATTGTTTGAAATTTGATAGCATAGAATTTGATTGCATGGAAGATTTCATCATGAGCTGACATCAGTTAGAGAACCACCGGAAAACCTGGGAGTACTGATGTCAGGTCATGATGAAATCCTCCATGCAATCAAACAAAATCCCTACAAAACCAATATTTGAAAACATAGAATTTAACGTTGCAAAACGTAATTGACTTAAAATGACAAATAGAACAAGTGAAATAATAACGGGGACAGTTCAACGCGAGAATAGTAATAATAACAATTGACGTAATAAGGAGGAGTATACAAACTGAATAGACAAAGTGAAAAAATGAAAAATTGGTAGGGCTAAAATATGATTGGGGATTACCATACTTTAGCACAGATGAATTAAGACCACGAAAGCTGGAAGGGTTGAAGGAACCTTTTCTGTATACAGAGATATGGCTTTTCTACTTCGAAGACCAAAAATTCAGCAGTACTGATGAGTCGGATACTTAGTGATTTGAGCAGATCACTTTTCTCCTTGTATACTTTAAAGGTAGAGGCTGTAGAGATAGAGTGATCATTATCGACCAGATGTTCAGTGATTGCGCTTCTTATTGCTCCACTTCCACCTCTTCGTAACCAGGCAGGATAGTATTCTTGCACCTTCTTGGACAAAACTCAAGTCGAACGACAGATATACCTAGCTCCACATGAGAAAATACAGTTGATAGTCAAACCACTAATACTGTAATAATATCAGGGAAAACTTACAGGAGAAACAATCATTAAAGACACGTTAAATAACTGCTTCACATAAGCTAGGCGATATTTCAAATATCAGAAGTTCAAGTCACTGAATAAACACAATTTTTATTCTTTTTCGTTCCTATTGGAACCTAACGCTTCATGTTTTAGCTCCGAAGTCTCAGTTACCGATGGTGTCGTTTTTACGGAATGAGGTTGCTAGTCTCAAGTCCAACCTTCCCCCTTTACCGGGCTTACCATAGGCTTATCCAGGTTTAGAAGTGCGTCAGACGGGAACCTGT